AGTCAAAGTACAGCCAAGTTTTGCAAATAATTGTGTGCCACATCAATAAAATGTCCGTACATACAGTGCACAGTGATTTTTTGGGGGGCACCCTGTAGAAAACTGAATCCAGTTTTAAGCAATGATAAACTTGTATAATACAACAATGAATGTCTTGTCTATGTGATGATAAACTTGAATGATACAACACTGAATGTTGTCTATGTGATGATAAACTTGCATGATACAACACTGAATGTTGTCTATGTGATGATGATGTCTATGTGAAATGCGCTGTCACCGCAAGGTGACACTAACAACACAAGAAAAGACAGGGTTACAAATACCAGCATTAGAGAGAAAGTTGGAATAAGACCATATCTGGATTATATTCACTGACAAGGAAAGAAATGGTTTGGTCATCTAATGAGAATACAGCCAGACCAAACCACATATGAGACTTTTTACAGCCGAGCATTTGGAATGTAGGCAAGAGGAAGACCAAGATAGATATGGATACATGTTGTAGCTAAAACCTGTAAAGGGATGAACAAATCCATCACCTATGCCACCCGAGTAGTGCAAGATATATATAGAAAACCTGGGCTACAGCCTGGTAACAGAGAGATGACAAAAGAAGAAGAATCTTAGAACAATTCATGTCTAACCTATTCATCCCATAGTTCTCTATTGCATTTTAAAGAAAATAGTCTTGAAACAAGCTATGTCTGACTTATGCATCACATAGTTCTATATTATATTTAAGAGAATGCATTCTTAAAACAGTCAATGTCTGATCTATATATATCACACTTCTCTACAGCATTTTAGAGAAAATACCTTTGAAACAGGCCACGTATGTACAGCACACAGTTCTCTATTGTATTTTAGAGAATATTGTCTTTTAGCAATCCATGTCTAAACTACATACCACACAGTTCTCTATTGTATTTTAGAGAATATTGTCTTTTAGCAATCCATGTCTAAACTACAGACCACACAGTTCTCTTTATAATTTATTGAATAAAGTCTGGATCAAACCATGTCTAAACTACATACCGCACAGTTCTCTTTATAATTTATTGAATAAAGTCTGGATCAAACCATGTCTAAATGATACAACAATTCTCTATTGTATTTCACAGAATACAGTCTTTAAAAAAAAGCCATGTCTAAAAATACATACCCGTTTTTGGTTGCAATTTAAAGAATGAAGTCTAGAATAGATATGTCTATTTCGAAAGAGGAGGAGGCCCGAAGACATCAGAAGGAGACAGACATCATTTTTCGGCCATGTTATGAGAAGAGGGAAAATAGAACATGTTGTGACCACTGGAAAGATCTGTGGAAGGAGGGATGGAGGAAGACAATGAGAGAAGATGCTTGACAGTCTTGTTGCATGGCATGGAGGTGTGTCGGCACACGAACTGATACATGCTGCAGGAGATCGTGGATTATGGAGAGGCATGTCGGCAAGGCACCTGATGATCATGATGAGTCTACACATCACAATTTTTCTATTTATTGTAGATAATGCAGTCTTTAAAGAATCCATGTCTACTCTATATAGTATCACAAGGACCAGCCAAGCCATGCCTAACCTAGACACCAGTTCTCTGTTGTGTCTGTCATGGAAACAAGTCAACTATTAGACATGCAGCATAGACTGCAACACTGAAGTGACAATGAGAGCTCATGAGAAACAAGCTCCAACTCACAAACCTACATTTCTGTTGTCATATCGAGGGTGTTGATAAAGTCAGTCTAGGACAATAAACATGTATTTTTGTTTCCACATTGAGGGTGTTGATAAAGTCAATCTAGGACAATAAGCATGTAATTTTGTTTCCACATTGAGGGTGGTGATAAAGTCAGTCTAGGATAATAAGCATGTATTTTTGTTTCCACATTGAGGGCGGGGATAAAGTCAGTCTAGGACAAAAAACATGCATTTCCACTGTCATATTGAGGGTAGTGATTAACTCCTGGACAACAAACATGCATTTCTGTTTTCCTATCGAGGGCGGTAATTAAGTCAATCCAGAAAAACAAACACAGCAAAAAGGCCAACTTATCAATAAAATATTAACCGTAAGCAGCCATGGGTGGCAGTGGAAACATGTAGGCTGAAATTGGAAACATGAAGACTCTGGATGTAATTTCAAACGTATAAAGGCTACAGGGGTCATTTAAAATGATGTAGGCTACACGTGTAACATAAAACATTTTACTAGTTATAAGTGTAATATGAAACATGTAGGCTATCGTGGAATTTGACAGTTACACTGTGGGTGTAATTTTAAATGTATAAAGGCTACAAGTGTAATTTAATAAAAAATGTAGGCTACATGCGTAATAAAGAAAAACATTTATTAGTTACAGGTATAATATAAAATATATGTAGACTAAAGATGTCATTTGAAAAATGCATAGGCTACTCATGTAATATGAAAACATATGTAGGACATAATTTAATCCTAAACATTCACAGAGTGTAAGTGTGTTTTAAACACATGTAGGTTGTACGTAGAATCTGAAACATGTGTAAGGTAAAAGTGGACAATGAAATATATTCAAGTGGAATTTGAAACATGTGTAGGGTAGAGGTGGAAAATGAAACCGGCGAAACTGCTGAATAATTCAATCACTAATGGTATAGTAGTGGTTAACAACATAGTATGTGATGATTATGTCTTTGTAGTTCATCTACAGTGTCTCCCCAAAAAATGAGACCAAGTCAAATAAGACTAAACATGATTTCTGAGGATGCTGGCAGTACAAGCTGTCCCATAAGTCCCCATCATCATCATCAGTTCTCTTTATGCCTAGTGACACATGAGGCTTCAGAGAGGACTTTCCATGCTTTCCTGTCCTGTGCAATCTTCAGTGCAGATTTCCATGTCAGAGATGCAACACTTAGTTCACTTTCCATCGTTCATCTCCATGTTGTTTTTGGGCGCTCTTTCTTTCTCTTTCCTTCTGGTGTCCAAGTGAAAGCTGTTTTGGCAGGTATATCAGGATTCATTCTCATAATGTGGCCAAGCCATTTCCATCTTCTCTTGGCTATCATACTGTCTAGAGTTCCCATACATAAGAAAAATACCAATGTTTTTAAAACACATTTTGATGTGTGTCCTTGACTGCTGAACAACATGTGTAGGTTCTATTCAAGTTTTTCACCCCATCCCATCCAGCGTGAAATTTCATAGTAAAGTCCCTGGTTAAGTCCTTCAGTCCGGGGTGAGGTTAGAGTCAGTCTTAGTCACTGTTCATTTAACATTAATGCTAAACACTAAAACTCCTCTATTCTAGGTGTGTTATGTGTTGGTTCTTTTCACAGTTGTTATTATTTTTTGTGTCATAATTTCCCCTGTCTGTTACTTTTGTTTGTTTCATCGCCCTCACTCTGACCTGTGTGGGAGTGCTGTCCTTACTTCGTGACTCAGCCTTTGTGATGAATTTCCTTGACCTGTCAGTATTCCTGCAAAAAAAGCCTAACACTAACATTGACTTTAACCCTAACACTAACATTGACCATAACGCTAACACTAACATTGACCATAACCCTAACGGTTGAACACTCGCTCACAGAAAATGGAGCTGCTCCATTTTTGTCTCAGAGAAAAAAACACTTGAACTTTTAATGAGGGATATTGTTTGTGGACCCGGTCAAACGAAGCCCAGATACTTAAATACACCACCATGACCATCTGCAAATAGTTGCAGGTTATCGTTTACATGCCCAACGAATACAGGTCATAAAACTCCTAGACTTTAGGGCTGGCACTGAGAATTCTCTATGAAATCTTGCATGGGACACGATGGAGTGAGAAACCTGAACAGAACCCATGTACCAGCACAGGGGGAGTTATGCTTATTATGGTGTTGGTGATATATATATTCTTCCTCTGTATGGAAACTTACAGGCCACCCTGTAAAAGACCTACCCCAAATATAAGCTCTTATTGGGATCATCAGCCAAATGAAGCGATTTTGTTCAATTGTTTAAAACACATATAGCAGACGTCTAATTATAAAGCAATAAATGTATAAATCAATAATATTATCAACATTTTAATTAAATAAATAGTGAAATAAATGTATATTTCTGATCCTTAAAAAGGAAAGACAAACTAAACAAACAAAAAACACACCTAAACTGTCTTTTGCAGCACTTATTAATTTAGTATTATTTTTGGATGGAAACACAGTGTGTTTTTTTTTCTTCACTTCCTTCTTTTTTTTTTTAACCAGTCTGAGTGTCAAATCAGAAACAACACAGACCACAGACAACTGATACTGTTACGGTTTCTCTCATGCTGTCTGTCTATCTTGTTCCAGGTGGAAAGAACCTTATTCCTCTTGTCAAATGTGATTACAAATTGCAATGCCATTTCCACAAAGAAGTTTGGCTACAGTGTACTTACTGCTGTTTTGGGGGGACATTAATGCAATGCCATTTCCACAAAGAAGTTTAGCTACAGTGAACTTACTGCTGTTTTGGGGGGACATTAAACTGTATGGTCTAGTTCTCTTCAACAGTGTGACTCTCATGCCACTGAAAGAAAACCACAAGTGTGGTTTGTTTGTAGCGTGTGTATAAATCAATGCTGAATGCCAAGTTTTATAGATAGGGACTATAAGCCACAACTATTGGCACAATCAACCAATTAGGCTATTTAACTTGTTGCAAAAAAAAAAAAAACCAGACCACAATTATAACCGAAGCTGTCCTCAGTAGGGTTGCATGTGGTCGACTTTTTATTTCTTCTTCTTAAAGAGCGAGCGAACAAATAGCAAGTTATGTGTCTATCTTTGTCTAACTGTAGGACATCCTGTCTAGAAAACATTCAATGATCATGGTGAGTTTGATTAAAAAAACTGTCGATAGAAAAGGACAATACAAACAGGGCGAAAAAATGAATAAACATCAGTGAAACAACAATGTGAACTCCGTGACCCCACAGTGTGAATGCACTCTGAGAACTGCTGCTGTCCGTGAATCTTTCCTGAGAAGCGGATCATCCACTGAGGGGGTCCTCCCGACAGTTGATGGCGTAGCGAAGTCGCTGGGTCATGACCTCCTGGCTGGAGTACTGTGGCAGCTTCACCATGAACATGCAGGTCTCCACGCGGATGTACCGGGAGTCTGGGGGACCTGGACGTTGGGAGCATCAACATGTCTCAATCAATGTGTCTACCTTTTCAGTCAGATGTAAATAAAAGACTCAATGTGGTGTGTACAATATTTCTTCACCTTCTTCTTCTGAAGGTTTACCGGCAGTAAACTCAGGTGGGAAGTTCTGATTACTCATCCACTTTCTTTTTCCAGAACTTGAGAGTTGCATGCATATCAATTTTGCAGATCTGGCTTTTTCATATGCAGACTGTTGGTTCCTCGCCTCTAAGGCAGATGCAATGGGACTTCACAAAAAAAAAACCTATTAAGTCATCTTTTATGACAAGCTTTGGGATGAGGGGTGGGGTGGGGGGGGGGGGGGGGGGGGGGGGGAGGGGAGGGGGTGGGATTATTTTTGTCCACCCCAAAAGCGGGGCCCCTAAACCTACAGCGGAAGTAGAAGATATTAATATAGACAATACTGAGCTCAGAAAGTGGCTTGTATCTTCTGTGCTGGAAATAGAGAACATTAGCAAAACATAATGGGCAGGCAGAAATGACAAAAGTAACACATACAGAGAGAGAGAGGTCTGGTTTAGATTAGAGTTTCCTGACAGGGAGCTCACACCCCTCTGGAGGGAAATTTGATCGTTGGGGGGGGGGGGGGTGTATTTATGCAAGTTACATAGGAGGGCACAATAATTTTAGAAAGGCTAATGTGGGGCATGGCACACAAAAGGATGGCAAACAAACCCTGGTTCAAAAAGAGTTGATGTAGGAAGAAAGGATTCAGCAACAAAACACTGAAGATTTGAAGATTAAAAACAAAAACAAAAGACACCAAAGTAATCAACTTTCTTCTTTCTTCTGTATAATATCCCTTTTGTGTCGCTAGGTGTCATAAATGACAAGTATCTGAGTTAGGGCACACTCAGTTTGGTCAGAATTCTGAGGCTGTCAGTAACTCCTACAAATCATCTTCTCTTTCACTGCCTCTTTGTGTTTGTGTTTTAATTCTCATGTTGTAAGCCTTTGCTACAGGAATCAGTGGATTCATTCTCACCAGGTGGCCAAACCATTTCAGTCTTAACATAATAAATATACATGTCTACAAATAAAAAGTGGAAATAAACAACACTTGACATACCAGTGCCATCTGGTGGGGCAATCTTCATAGGGTACGGTGGCACATGGGCAGAGTCCGGGCCTCCCTCCTGGCAGAGACAGGTCTGAGGGATTCTCTCCTGGTTACAGGCAAACTTGATAAACCTGGCTAGCTCCTCCTGACTGAAAGATTCCAGCGCTGTCCAGAAGTACTCGATGTGGGAGTCTGACTCCACTAGTCCAACCTGGTACATGGTGTGTGCCTGTGGAGAGGTAGCAGCAGTAGTCATTTCAACAATATCCTGTTCAACCCATCCAGGTTATAATATATATATGTATATATATATATATATATATATATATATATATTATATATATATATATATATATATATATATATATATATATATATATATATATATATATATATATATATATATATATATATATATATATATATATATATATATATATAATATATATATATATATATATATATATATATATATATATATATATATATATATATATATATATATATATATAGGTTTTTTTTCTATTTCAATCACCATATAACCACTGATGAGGAAATACTGCCTTCATACGCTGCTTCATCCTCAGTTGCATCTGTATTGTCTGAAATGCCACACTTCTTGGATCACATTATCCCAAGATCTGTTCACCTAGGTACAAACCTCTACTGTTGGTTTCTTCATTTTATCCCAGGATCGGTTCACCCAGTTACAAACTTCTTCTACAACTCATTTCTTCCCATTGTCCCAGAATCTGTTCATAAACTTCTATAGCTTGCTTCTTTTATTAAAAGAAAGAATGACAGTAACAAAAACAACCTTTAAGAAATGAAGACCAACTTACACAATGTATTAGAAAAAGCACACAGAAGTTCCTCACATCCCCCCCCCCCCCCTTAAAGAGGAAACCAAAAAAACAACATGAAGAGCAGTTATTTTAGTTGCAAATAACAATTAACAGACACAATCTTATTTGTTATAAGTAAAAATAATAAAAGCTTTTTAAAAAAGTTTTTAAAAAATCAATGACTAAAACGTTTTCAACTGACCTTCAAGAAATCCAGGCTGATCTGTGGCCGGCCACTGGTTCGGATCTCCAGGTCGTACGGGGTCATGATGGCCAGCGCCTGGTAGGGGATGAGACTGGAGAGGCCAGTGATGACTGCAGCCACTCTGTGACTACTGGTCAGTTCCTGCATCCGCAGTCGCTTGATGGCATCAATATACAGCTGCCTGGTGTTCCAGCTGAGAAGAAACACATAATTGGCTGTCATAATTTATGGGAGTGGCTGAGTAGGTCAATGACTGGCTGTTATAATTCATGGGGTGGCTTAGTAAGTCATTGATTGGCTGTTATAATTCATGGGAGTGGCTTAGTTAGTCATTGACTGGCTGTTATAATTCATGGGAGTGATTTAGTCAGTCAGTGATTAGCTATCATAATTCATGGTCATGACTTAGTAAGTCAATGACTGGTTATTATAATTCATGGGAGGGATTTAGTAAATCAGTGATTGGCTGTCATAATTCATTAGAGTAGCTTAGTCAATGGTTAGTTATTATAATTCATGGGAGTGGCTAATTAATTCAATGATTATCCGTTATAATTCATGAGAGTGGTTTAGTAATTCAATCATTATCTGTTATAATTCATGAGAGTGGTTTACTAAGTCAATGACTGGCCGTTATAATTCATGAGAGTGGTTTAGTAAGTCAATGATTGGCTGTTATAATTCATGAGAGTGGTTTAGTAAGTCAATGATTGGCTGTTATAATTCATGAGAGTGGTTTAGTAAGTCAATGATTGGCTGTTATAATTCATGAGAGTGGTTTAGTAATTCAATGATTGGCTGTTATAATTTATGAGAGTGGTTTAGTAAGTCAATGATTGGCTGTTATAATTCATGAGAGTGGTTTAGTAAGTCAATGATTGGCTGTTATAATTTATGAGAGTGGTTTAGTAAGTCAATGATTGGCTGTTATAATTCATGAGAGTGGTTTAGTAAGTCAATGATTGGCTGTTATAATTTATGAGAGAGGTTTAGTAAGTCAATGATTGGCTGTTATAATTTATGAGAGAGGTTTAGTAAGTCAATGACTGGTCGCAGGTGGTGATTTTGCGTATATGGGCTTAAGACAGTGTCCATGTTAGGCACTGGTAGCTTAATGTTGGCATGAATATGCTGTTTATAATCTGTCTCTTTGCATTCATTGTTTTTTTTGAATATCTTAATAATGGTGACAATTGGTAATAAAGCGCACTTGCTTTCTGACATCTGGTTACTATTTCTCTGTCAATTCTACCATCTTCTGTGATTATACATTCAAGATATTTAAATTCCCTAATTTGATTAAGCCCAGAACCATCCAGCTGTTTGTCTAGTGGACCAGGGGCTATACTAACTTGCACTGAACGTAAAATAACCTACTGAAATCACAACCAACCAAACAATAACAGAGTTAGTTCTGCAAAATCCTGTAAAGGATACACAACCAACTTACTCTTATTAATTATATGCAGACATTCTTATTAATTATATGCAGACATTCTGATTAATTATATGCAGACATTCTTATTAATTATATGCAGACATTATTATTAATTATATGCAGACATTATTATTAATTATTTGCAGACATTATTATTTATTATATGCAGACATTATTATTAATTATATGCAGACATTCTTATTAATTATATGCAGGCATTCTTATTAATTATATGCAGACATTCTTATTAATTATATGCAGACATTCTTATTAATTATATGCAGACATTATTACTAATTATATGCAGACATTCTTATTAATTATATGCAGACATTCTTATTAATTATATGCAGACATTCTTTTTAATTATATGCAGACTGCTGGTTCCTTGCCTCTCAGGCAGATGTACTCTGAGTGAGAAGGCAACACCCCTAATTAGTTGACTCATAGGACATGCTTGTTGAGGGGCAGTGGGTATATCCCCCCCTCCAAAGAGGGTCCTGCGTCGCAGGTCGAACCAGACTAAAGTAGGTACCAGGATGGCTGTCCTGGGGAAGTAACCACGGCCGGCGTAATGCTGACCATATTACCCACTTAGTGCCAATTGGTCCGTAAAAATATGGGTGCTCTTTCCAAATGCCCGATGCACCTAAGGCGTGAAAAGGGATCTTTACTTTTTTTTCCAAAGGGAGTCCTAGAAACTACATAAGGAGAACTCTTTCAGATAATTAAGATGCATTTCTATTGGTTTCAATCCTTCACTGATTTAAAAAAAAAGGTTACAAGATAATGGACAGGTAACTCTGTTTTTCTATTACACTTTTAAGGTTTTCATCTAAAGCCCCTTTGTATTGATTGATTTCAGCACTATTCTTTGTGATATAAATGAAGTAAAAACAAGGTTAACTATGGTCACAGATGGACTGGTCACACAGCAACTAACCTGACCAGCGTATTCCTACCGCCAGGGATGATCTCCACATCCATGCCAGTGAGGGTGCTGTACACAAATCTGGCATCTGTATCTCCACAGATGTTCTCCAGCTCCCACTCTGATTCTGCCTGTTGACATGTAGCACATATTTACATTTAGAAATTGTAGCTTTCTTCAACACTTAGAAACAACATTTCAGATATTCTTAATCTCTCATTCCAACTGTGCCTGTGTGCATGTCATTACTTATATTTAGAAATCATATTTTTTTTTTAAACATTTAAGTCATACAATTTCTGATATTCTCCAGCTTCTTCCTACTCTGCCTGTCTGTATATAGAACAAATCTTATATTTACAAATCATAGGATTCTTTGACACATAAGAAACATTTTAACACACTTTCTATCTTCCAATTCCACACTGTTCTGTCTCTATGTGGGTTTTGTTTTGAAGTCCATGGGAGGTGGGGGACGGGGTGAGGGGGGAGCCCTATGCCTCCTAAATGTCCCAGAAAAAAAAAAGGATTAATCAAGGACTTAATGTCACATGTGTTTTTGACTGAAAGGTGCAGCAGATTTTGCAGCCTAGCTGTAAACTACAAAATAAGGTGCCACCCCTACTTTTAAGAGCAAATGCAGAGGCAGAAGAAGAGTATACGTCGACGTTATATTTGTACATGGAAACAGTGGCAGCTTATGAGCAAAGTAATTGTGAAACAGTGCAGTAGATGTGCAGGACAGTACCCACTGTTGTGTGCAATCCGAAGATTCACATGATTGACGACCGCTAATGAACATGAGATATGATGAGAGACACGACATCACTTGCCGACATAAGTTTTTGACAGCAGACAGTTACAAGAAAGGTAGGACGAGCAGAGGCTTGTATTTATATGTCCTGATGCCGCAGTTTGCGGGAGAGCAAAGTCTCTGGGTTCCATGTTGGAGGAAAGGAATTACCCTACCGTTGTCCTGATGTCGCAGTTCATGGGAGAGCAAAGTCTCTGAGCTCCATGTTGGAGGAAAGGAATTACCCTACCATTGTCCTGATGCCGCAGTTCGCGGGAGAGCAAAGTCTCTGAGCTCCATGTTGGAGGAAAGTAATTATCTTACCGTCGTTGTACAGTGATTGTAATATATTCATTTCATATACACACATTATATCTTTGGAGGACTGTTGAATAAAAGTGTTGATATTGCCTGTCAACGACGTGTTCTCAAATGTAGAAGTTGCAACAGTTGACCTTGTTGGTGGCGTTTTTCTGCCTGTCGTTGGTTTTGACATTTGTTACCCCAAGAGTAATAAGTTACTTGGACTTAGTACGGCACTGGACCTGGGACTACATTTTCTAGAGAGCATTGTAAGAGTACCACCGAGACAGTACCTAGATAGCACTGTAACAGTATCACCAGACAGTATCTATAGAGCATTGTAAGAGTACCACCGAGACAGTACCTAGATAGCACTGTAACAGTATCACAAGACAGTATCTATAGAGCATTGTAAGAGTACCACCGAGACAGTACCTAGATAGCACTGTAACAGTCTCACAAGACAGTATCTATAGAGCACTGTAAGAGTAGACACGTACCTAGATAGCACTGTAACAGTATCACAAGACAGTATCTATAGAGCATTGTAAGAGTACCACCGAGACAGTACCTAGATAGCACTGTAACAGTATCACAAGACAGTATCTATATAGCACTGTAACAGTATCACAAGACAGTATCTATAGAGCACTGTAAGAGTACCACCGAGACAGTACCTAGATAGCACTGTAACAGTATCACAAGACAGTATCTATAGAGCACTGTAAGAGTACCACCTAGACAGTACCTAGATAGCACTGTAACAGTATCACAAGACAGTATCTATAGAGCACTGTAAGAGTACCACCAAGGTAGTACCAAGATAGCATTGTAACAGTACCACCAAGAGAGTACCTGCACAGAACTGTCACAGTAACACAAGACAGTATCCAGATATCATTCTAACAGTATTACCATCTCAATCTTCTTGATGTACTTGTAGGTGACGGCATCCGCCTGCTGCAGGTCAACCACAGGGTCAAGGGTCAAACCAACCAGCAGCTTCCAGACTGTAGAGAGAAGGTCAAGCCCCAGAGGGATGTCTGCTCGGATGGTGATGCCCAGTAACTGAAAATCACAACAGTCACTTTACACTAAAGACACCAGACATCCGTTTTATATTCAATATTAAGCAATCAATTTGCTATTTTTACTGACAAAATTCCAGTATTAACTGTCTGTTCTACCCATAAAAGTGTCTGTTTTATCCAAGCAAATGTCTCTCTTACTCAAGCAAATGTCTGTTTACCCAAGCAAATGTCTGTCTTATGCAAGTAAATGTCTGTCTTATGCAGGCAAATTATCTGTTACCCGAGCAAATCTGTCTTGCCCAAGCAAATGTCTTAACCAAGAAAATGTCTTAACCAAGCAAATGTCTTAACCAAGGAAATGTCTGTATTACCCAAAAAAATGACTATTTTACCCAAGTAAATATATATCTTACCATGCAAAGGTGTGTCTTGCATAAACAAATGTCCTACCTTACCCAAGCACATGACTGTCTTACCCTAGCATAGTAAACATGACACAGGCACTAAACATGACAGGCAACAAACATGGCACAGACAGTAAACCTGAGACAGACAGTAAACATGGCACAGACAGTAAACATGGCACAGACAGGTAACATGGCACAGACAGTAAACATGACACTGACAGTAAACATGGCACAAACAATAAACATCCCACAGATAGTACACATCATACAGATAGTAAACATCATACAGACAGTAAACATGACTCAGACACTAAACATCTCAGAGAGAGTAAACATCCCACAGATATTAGACATTGCACAGACAGTAAACAAGACACAGACAGCAAACATCACATGTAGTTATGCTTAATTCTCAACCAAGAGCTTACCTGGCCGAGGAAAGAGCAGCAAGTTTTCTTCAGAATATGTCATCTTGCCTGGTTTCAAGAGTAGTCTGCCCTTGTTGACCCCCATGGCTGAACTGGGGCACGACAAGAGAAGGCCCAGTGCAGACGACTGCAGTTCTCTGGCCACCTGCCACAGGTAGTGTCGGAATGAGCCACCTGCAGGGCAGGGTGAGAGTAAGGGCAGGTGTTATGCAACTGATTACTCAAACTCCAGAAGTCTGAATTTCACTGTGGACAATTTTTACCTTAGGGCTCCTGGTAATGTTACAGCAGAAAAATACAGAATCATGATCCAGCCTATTCTTACAGGAGAAAAACATAGTATCATGATCCAACCTGTTCTTACAGGAGAAAGACCTGGAGTCATGATACATGGTGTTATGACAGAAGAAAAACATGTAAGAGTGTTTTTACAGGCAAAAGATACCTGAGCTGCGTTTGTTTTTCGTTGGCACAGGAGCGGAGCATATGTGGGGTGACCCGTTTGCTATGAAGCTGAAACTAGGATTACCAGATTACCAGATTGGGTCATAATTCAGAGTGTTGTCACAGGAGAAAGACATCCAGAATCATGATCAAGGTGTTATTATAAGAGAAAAATATTTTTATTTAGAGTTGCTATCCTGGTTTAATTACAGGCAAAAGTCATCTGGTGTCATGGTCAAGGGTGGTGCTAATAAGTTACAAAAGTGAAACATTTGCTAAAAGGGGATTTCTTATGATGGTCTGAAGCCTCTTATGGTGCTAGTCCCCTCAAAGGATCTTACAATATGAGTTAGTTATTTCCCCTGATCCCCCCCCCCCCCCCCCCCCCAGAGTGGACTGGGTAACTAGCCTTCTCAGATACATATAATCACCCCCATGCCAACAAAGGAAATATGTTTATGAATGTCTCACATTTTAGTTGCCAGTTTGAAACAATCAAGAGTAGGCTGTCACTAGATAACATCAGAGAAACTCTACAACAGTACCATATGTCTGTGGATGAGATGGCCACAAGAGCAGGCACCATAACCTTATACCTCCTTCACCATTTGTAGCAGTAAAAGAGGAAGTGAAGAAGAAGAAGGTTGTAACTAGATAAAATCAGAAAAACATTACAACTGTAGGATGATGTGTCTCTGGACGAGGTGGCCATAAGAGCGAGAACCTTAGATCTCCCTCAATATATAAAGTGGTAACAGAGGAAGTTAACAAGAGGAAACAGAAGACAGTGACTAGACACAATCAGAAAAATACTACAAATGTAGGATGATGTGTCCCTGGACGAGGTGGCCATTAGAGCAAGAAAAATGAGAACCTTAGATCTCCCTCAATATATAAAGTGGTAACAGAGGAAGTTAACAAGAGAAAACAGAAGACAGTGACTAGACACAATCAGAAAAACACTACAAATGTAGGATGATGTGTCTCTGGACGAGGTGGCCATAAGAGCAAGAACCACAGCCTTATATCTCTCTCAGTATCTGTAGTGGACATGAAGAAACAGAGGGCTTAATCTCTCTACACACATACACACTTCTTCTTTGTTCAGCGTTTTCTGAGCCCTTGAGGTTCATTGCTGCAAATATCACTCGACTATTCTCATCTTTCTGGTTGGCTTTTTTCAGTATTCCGAGCCCTTGAGGTTCATTGCTGCAGATATCCACTCATCTCTCAGATAGCCTTCAGTATTCTAAGCCCTTGAGGTTCATTGCTGCAAATATCACCCACCTTCACTCATCTCTCTGGTTGGCCTTCTCTTTTCAGTTGGTGACACCAAGTGTTTGCAGGTCTGACTGGACGTTATCCCTCTACACACATACACACTTCTTCTTCTTCTTCTTCAGCATTTCAAGCTCTTGAGGTTCACTGCTGCAGATATCACATGCCTTTACTCATTTCTCTGGTTGGCCTTCTCTTTTCAGTTGGTGACAACAAGTGTTTGCAGGTCTGACTGGACGTTATCCCTCTACACACACATATATACATACAAATGAAAAATAACAATGTGGGGATTCTTCTTCTTCTGCGTTCATCACATAGTGATTCCCAAGGTGAGATGAAGATGATGACAGTGAAACGGCTGACCACTTACTTGTGCCATGTACCTCCTCTCCTGTCATCCTGACATTGAAAGAGTAAGTGGGGTCCCCACCACTAGCCAGCCTGACACACAACTTTCTGGAGCTGATGTTGCACAGCTGTCGGTAGGATTGGCAGAAGATGCTCGACTGGGAGTCTCTCTCTCCTGGTAGATGCAGAGGGAGAGAAAGATAAGATCTCGGTAATAAGTATCTTACTCAGATATACAAAGGATAAGATAAGTTTCCCAATAACTTCTTCTTTGTTTGACACTAAAAGGATAGTCAGTATGTTATGTTGTGGTTCACAGTTAGACTATATCTGTGCCTTTCAGCCTAACAATTCAAATTTCAAGGAACTAATAATTATTGCCATTTACAAAATGTACAGTGGATAAAATTATTGGGCTGTCAAGAGTAGATAACTCAGCAGTACCCCTTGCCAAGAGTAGATAACTCAGCAGTACCTCTTGCCAAGAGTAGATCTCAGCAGTACCCACTTACCAAGAGCAGATAACTCAGTAGTATCCCTTACCAAGAGCAGATAACTCAGTAGTATCACACTGTCAATGTAGATTATTCAACATTGGGCTGCCAAGAGCAAATAACAGTGCCAGGTTGCCAAGAATCTCGAATGCTGAATGTTCAATTAAGAATCGACATCACAGCACACGGGACACTCTCATAAGTGCAAAATGTTCCAATTCTGATGGTACTATTAACCTTCTGATTGAACAGAAGAGTACTCACCTGTACCGATGGTCTCTAGTGGATTCAGGGTTATTTCTGGGGCAGCCTGGTCCGGTTTCCGTTTGGCCGAGGCATTGAGGATTCTGTTTAAAAAGTTCACCTGAAAAAAAAAAGGAAAACTGCACACATACACTGTAAGCCAACATTCCTTCTCATTCTGTTCATGTTATGTCCAATTTAATTGGACTAGTGCTAGAGTTCACTGTGGGGCACTGTCTTGTGATAATTTACTTATATGACTAAGCCATCTGACCTTACTGATTCTTTTTGGTATTGTTTAACACTGATTCTCTATCTTTTTCTCTCAGACATACACACACCCTCTCTCCCAGTCCTTTTTACGCTATAGGCGCATTGGGCATAGAAGAGCACCCATATTTTTACAGACTATCAGCACGAGAGAGAGAGAGAGAGAGAGAGAGAGAGAGAGAGAGAGAGAGAGAAGGGGGGGGGGAGACCAGGCCATAAGGGAGTTCAACAGGGCAATAAAGCTGATCCTCATGGCTTTAAAAAAAAAAAAAGGATCAATTATCAGAAGTGACCTATCACTAGGCTTTTAGTCAGTTTCTGGGATGACCATTCCATCCAATGAAAATGAAAACAGAAATTTTCTTAAAACAGATTATGACAAAATAAAAATAATTTTGTGACTAAATAGCAGTTACCTTGTGTTACCATGACAGAGTGAGTAAACAGTAGCTAAAGGTGTGATTATTTCAATTGTATAATTAATATTTATTTTTTTAAATGGGTTTCATGAATGTAAAATCAATAACAACCAGTGGCAGAGGGGCTGAAGGTCAAATGGCTGTGACTAAAGCCCAGTGCAAGTCAGTGCTGTGTATGTTGCAACATATTCCATGTAGCCAATGCCTTCCTTCACAAACCAAGAAACAACAAAAACACTGCCAACAAAAAAGAAGGAAAGAACAGCCACGTATACCCTACCTTGCTATCATAAAAGATGACACATCTGAGCTGAGATAGAACAAAGGCTGTGCTGCGGCTGTAGACGCTGGCTGGCCTCAAGTCTACCAGGGGCAGGAACATGGTCTCCAGCACATTGTTGAGTTCTTGCAGAAAAGCAAACCTCAAGCGGAGGCTCTCTATGGGGATGCCTACAACACAGGACACAGATAATAACTAAGTATGTAGATATTACTGAACTAGCAATTCCATCCCAATCAAATGACCACAAATGGACTATAACCACCACATGCCAGACAAGTCTTATGTAACCATGTCACTGGTTTTTTTTTAAAAAACAGCTGGGTAAATCCCAGCTGCATGAAGTACCAATTTTTTTTAAACACCTGAGTGAAGTACCCTTTACCTTTTTCATACCTGAGTTAAGTATCCTTTTAACATTTAAACAAAGTATTTTTTTGTTTCCACACGAGTAAATAAAAAAAGAGCATTTTTCATACATGAATAAAGTATTTTTTTTTAAATTTTTAATCTGAATAAAGTACCCTTTTCGCACCCGAGTAAATTACCCTTTTCACACCCGAGTAAAGTACCCTTTTCACACCCGAGTAAAGTACCCTTTTCCCACCTGAGTAAAGTACCCTTTTCACACCCGAGTAAAGTACCCTTGTTCGCACCAGAGTAAAGTACCCTTGTTCGCACCAGAGTAAAGTACCCTTTTCGCACCAGAGTAAAGTACCCTTTTCACACCCGAGTAAAGTACCCTTTTCTTACCCGAGTAAAGCACCCTTTTCGCACCCGAGTAAAGTACCCTTTTCCCAACCGAGTAAAGTACCCATTTCACATCCGAATGAAGTACCTATTTCACATTAAAATACTTTTTTCATACCCAAATGATGTACCATTTTCACACAAGTAAAACACCCTTTTCATGCCCGTATTAAGTACCTATTTCATACATGTAAAATACCCTTTTTACAACCGAATGAAGTACCTATTTCACATAAGTACCTTTTTTTTAATATACACCCGAATAAAGTACCTATTTTACAAGAGTAAAGAAACCTTTTCCCAACCAAATGTGGCACCTATTTCAAACGAGTAAAGTACCCCTTTCACAACCGAATGAAGTACCTATTTCACAAAGTACTCTTTTCACACTTGAATGAAGTACCTATTTCACAAGGGTAGGCCGGCATCACAACAGGCGACTATCAGTCCCTTGGGAAACCATAGAGTTGTGCTGCTGGTTGTGGAAACAGCGCCTGCTATAACTGTAAAGTCCACTGTGGGAGTAGCAGTCTCTGCTACACAAAAACATTGATACTCTATCATTCTGAGGCTGGTTTGATCTCAGACGTCTCCTATCTACAGCTTGCTGTGTTTAGCTTCTTTCAAACTGTGACTGTCTTTCATTGTCTGCCTCCACAGGCAGCTGATCTCTCCCAAATGTCTGTGACAATGTTATCTTTCAGATCGTACTTGCTCATGTTCTTATATCACAGCTGTGGCCTTCAAGCAGATCTCAACTTTGTTATTGGTAGCCACTATATTACAGCGACGCCCAAACAGATGTTGCTAGAGCTATTTTCATAAACCAGTAACATATATTTTTTAAGGAGATATCCTGCGACCTAGTTTAGGCTAGCCAACATGGTGAAGAACAAATTAAACCCTGATGCAAATTCTTCTTCTAAGCGTTCTACGGCTGTAATCTCTGGCAAAAAGTTCTGCTGGTTGGTCTACTTCTGGACTTGGGTCTTGTTCCAGAACATAAGTGTGCCTGCACATCCGTTTTACAGATCTGACTTACCTGTATGCAGACTGATGGATACTTGCCTCTCAAGCAGCTGCACTAGGACTTCGCAGGAAATACCCTAATTGGTCACCTTTTATGACATGCTTGTTAGGATGGCCGTGAGTCTATCCCCCATACCCTGAAAAAAATTTGGCGCTCCGAAACCCCCACGGGGGCAATGCAGATTCAAACCCAAGAACTCCACACTGCCAGGCAAGTGTCCAGCCACCTGAATGAGCTTTTTGATCACTAGGCAATGGTAATCTGGACGAAAGGTAGAACCAGACACAGATGGTTGGCATTTTTCAACAGATATTTACAAACAATTTTTGGCTGTTACATTTTTTTCTGGGCAAATTTGAGTTCAGTAGTTTGCTACTGCTTACTGAACAGTAGGTTCTGGAAAGCCCTGCTAAAACCAAGGCTGACTTTTGCCAAAATGTCTCGCACTGGGATCACACCCAGCATTCTGGCATTTCAGAGCTCGTCCACAAGGTATTAGTCACAGATGCCGACTACTAACTTCATTAGGAGAACTTAACAATTTGGTAACAACTGGCACGATTGATGAAGAACTTAACAATTTGGTAACAACTGGCAAGATTGGTGGAGAACTTGATAATTTTGGTAACAATTGACAAGATTGATGAAGAACTTGATAATTTGGTAACAACTGGCAAAATTGATGGAGAACTTGATAATTTGGTAACAACTGGCAAGATTGATGAAGAACTTGATAATTTTGTAACAATTGGCAAAATTGATGGAGAACTTGATAATTTGGTAACAACTGGCAAGATTGATGAAGAACTTGATAATTTGGTAACAATTGGCAAGACTGGTGGAGAACTTGATAATTTGGTAACAATTGGCAAGACTGGTGGAGAACTTGATAATTTGGTAACAATTGGCAAGACTGATGGAGAACTTGATAATTTGGTAACAACTGGCAAGACTGGTGGAGAACTTGATAATTTGGTAACAACTGGCAAGATTGGTGGAGAATTGATAATTTGGTAACAACTGGCAAGACTGATCGAGAACTTGATAATTTGGTAACAACTGGCAAGATTGGTGGAGAACTTGATAATTTGGTAACGACTGGCAAGACTGATGGAGAACTTGATAATTTGGTAACAACTGGCAAGACTGATGGAGAAATTGACAATTCGGTAACAACTGGCAAGATTGGTGGAGAACTTGATAATTTGGTAACAACTGGCAAGATTGGTGGAGAACTTGACAATTTGGTAACATCTGGCACGATTGGTGGAGAACTTGATAATTTGGTAACAACTCGCAAGATTGATGAAGAACTTAACAATTTGGTAACAACTGGCAAGACTGATAGAGAACTTGATAATTTGTAACAACTGGCAAGATTGATGAAGAACTTGATAATTTGGTAACAATTGGCAAGATTGATGAAGAACTTGATAATTTGTAACAACTGGCAAGATTAGTGGAAAGTTAGCAAGAGGAAGACAAAGAGATGGCTTGGCCACAAGAAGAATGACCTGATCTGTGATTCTGGTGGTCATGCGGGATGGCAAAATACGACAGCCTATGCTTGTCAGCAGTCACATGACAATGATGATGACAGTGAGGTAATGAGTCTAGGGATTGAAGATTGCATGGCTAGCCCCATCCCCAATAAACTGTCAGGAAAACAGAAAAACATCTATCCCTTTATGGAGGACTGAACCCTAGTCTCCCAAATGACAGCTCAACAATATAAACCACCAGCCAGCAGCTCCTATGTAACCGCTGAAAAAAAAAACGATGTGCAGCAAATGACTAACCTTGCAGGCAAGAGTATTTTTCATTGGTCAGATGAGCTTCAGTCAGTCGTACTTCGTGTGGGTGGAGGCGTGCTGAGGAAATAGCCAGCTGACAGCAAACTTCATTGACGTATGAGACCAGAGCGGCATCTGTTTCAATTGTCCACTCGGACATCATTTGTGCAGCAGCTGTCAGATCAGGACAGGCACACCTGCAGCAGGTCAAAGGAGAGGAGGGGGGGGGGGAGGGGGGGAGATTAAGAACAATGAGAACACAAACTGCAAATACTACAATGGGACAGTGCAGAAATGATCACAGAGCTACACTGATATAATAGTATTTACAAAGTTGCTACATTATTTTTCTTCTTTTTCTTCATCTACTTTTGTCATTCACTTCTTGGATGGCTTTAGTGATAGTTTTGTTAATCTTGTTTGCAAGATTTAGCTACATCATCTTGAAATCTATCTCTTCTTTGGGTGTGAGCATGTGCTTGTGGGGTGTGTGTGTGTAAGGCTGATGGTGTTAAATCCTACTGTGATTAGGAAGAGGTCGTTTATCTTGAAGTTCTGTAGAGATAGTTTAATGTGATTAGTGCTAGTTGGTTGAAGTACTGTTCACTCTATTAGTCATCTGTATAATAGCAAAGTGGGTCTTTGTCAGTATGAGAAGAAGAACATGATGATGCCGTAAGCACAGGATTCAAGCGACTCAGTGTGGTGACGTGGTTTGTCTGACTACACTAACTACAGCTGGGCAGTCCTGCACCCATCATGTAGCTTGGTGAGGTGCAGGAAAGAGCTTGGATTGGAGGTTCTTGGTTCGAACCCAATTACTGCATGAAAACAACTGGAAGGCCAATGCGTGAGTTGCGATTTTAAAGCACTCTTGTCAATTGGGGAAGGGCTTACTTCAAACCACCTCAAAGGCTAAATGCCTATCATTTTCTGTAACTACATTCAAAGGCAGATGTGTGTGTTCTCAGGGTTTTGAACTGGTTTGTGTTTAGGATAGATATCATTGTCATAGAGCTATCAACATGCCATTGCCATCAGGGCAGTAAGCAGCTTTATCACAGATGGTACTTTGCCAGTGATGACCTGGTTAAAAATTAAAGTTACACCATTCTTGCATACCCTGTTGACATTTTAGCTTAAAGAAGGCAGGATAAACTCTGCAACATCCCATCAGAGTTCGCTACAGTATTCTACATCAAATATATGAACACTTTCACAGCTGCTAAAGTGAGCTACATTACATATTGAAATCTTTAGCTTAATGGTGCTTTTTTTTTCATCAAATTAGCTGTCACAAAACACTAAAATGCTGAACAATTTGTGACTATCTTCATAAATTTTCTCTTAACAAATGTAAAATTTTTATCTGCTTTACAAAGAAACAATGGCAAAGGAATGGAGGGTTTAGTATGCCTTGTCTCAGGGTCAATACACTGCTAAGGGAGAATCCAAAAGGAAAAAGAACAAAGATCATAAAGGTGGAGAAGGAAGGAGAAAGATGAAGAGAAAGGAAAAGGAAATATAAGTAGCTGTATTTAAAGTCTGTCTGATGGCACTCACCTCTCCAGATGTAGGTCCAGCCCACAAGCAAACAGGCCCTTCCACAAAGCCCTAAGGTCCTGCTTGATGAGGTCCTCACAGTACTGTATGAAGCTGTTCAGGGTCAGCAGTCGGCCCTCACACTTGGTGGTGCTCTGTATAAAAAGGGACATTGTTTTTTACTGGAAAACAATGTTGGCTTTCGTGACTGACTCTACAACAGCGGGCTGCAATTCTGGTGTAGGACTGTTGGTGTCGGCACATCATCTTCTCCTTCTTCACGTTCACCAACTGTAAACTTCTGCAAAAAGTTCTGCTTGTTCGTCCATCTCTAGACTCTAGCCTTGTTCCAGAACCTGCATGTTGTGTGCATATGAATGATACAGATCTCATTTATTTGTATGCAGGCTGCTGACTCCTTACCTCACTTTCTGCTACCTCCGCGACGGTTTGGGAGTATAGAAACAGTGATAGTTTTCTTTTCCTACGCTCCTTGTAACTACTTTCTGTCTCTCGGGCGCGAGCCACTGCCAACAAATGCAGAAATAGAAAAACATTCCAGTTCTGATAGCCAGGAATCGTTGTGCCTGCATCGCTTTTCCCTGCAGTACTTCTTACCTGTACACAGGCGCCGTCGGCGCCTGAAATAGACTCACAACAACACAACCTTCCACAAATGTTACATTCTATAAGGGAACGTCAAAACAAGCCATATCATAACACCCCTTCAGCATAGGAGAGTTCCAGCGACCTAAGGAGGCATGAATGGAAAGGGACATTACTCTTACTTAAGCGGGCTGGGCTGTATCTCCTTTGACACCCAAATTGAAAAAAAAGAACAAGTGAAACAGAAGATATAGAAGTGAACAGTGGATTTATATCGGGACAACTAATAACAGTACAGTTACATTTACATAGGAAAAAGTGTTACAGTGTCGTAAAGCTGTGAGAATGCATTGTCTAGCAGGCATTATAGTAGCTTCTTATATGTATGTGTTACTGAGTATCTTATATGTATGTGTTATTGAGTATCTTATATGTATGTGTTACTGAGTATCCTATATGTATGTGTTACTGAGTATCTTATATGTATGTGTTATTGAGTATCTTATATGTATGTGTTACTGAGTATCTTATATGTATGTGTTATTGAGTATTTTATATGTATGTGTTACTGAGTATCCTATATGTATGTGTTACTGAGTATCTTATATGTATGTGTTACTGAGTATCTTATATGTATGTGTTACTGAGTATCTTATATGTATGTTTTACTGAGTATCTTATATGTATGTGTTATTGAGTATCTTATATGTATGTGTTATTGAGTATCTTATATGTATGTGTTATTGAGTATCTTATATGTATGTGTTATTGAGTATCTTATATGTATGTGTTACTGAGTATCTTATATGTATGTGTTATTGGGTATCTTATATGTATGTGTTATTGAGTATCTTATATGTATGTGTTATTAAGTATCTTATATGTATGTGTTATTGAGTATATGTATGTGTTACTGAGTATTCGTGAAATCTGTTGATATTTTTTGTTGTTTAAAAAGAAAGTTTGCCTTAGTGCACCTATTCTCAATCTATTTAAGAAACTAAATAGAAGAAATCCTTTAAGAATATCATTAATTTCTTTAAAATGAATTATGACCAAACTGAAGAAAAAATATGCGTTTAAGACATGCATACCTTTGATTCTTTAACAGAGATGTCCGCAGTGGCTCCCCTCTTTCTCTTTTGGAGACTTCTCCGACTGTTCACTGTTTTCCTTGGGAGTGGCCATCTGCTTCTCCTTGTCTGTAGACTGAGATCTGCCAGAGGACAAAGATTACAACCAGTCATCACAGGGACAGTTGACTTTCACTCAAGGCTACATACAGTAAGGGAGGCAGTTGTAGTAGTGTAGTGGCTACAGACATGTCTCTACATGCAGCAGAGAGATCCCAGGTTTTGGCCAACTGGAAGCCAAGCTGTATAGAACAGTGGAAGACATGGGTCTCTACATGCAGCAGAGAGATCCCGGGTTTCGGCCGACTAGAAACCAAGCTGTATGGAACGGTGGAAGACATACATCGCACACCCGAGCCTTCATAAAGGCTTGTGGTCTCCTCTTCTGAAATCCAAGACAGAGAGCAACAAAAGAAGAAGGCAGATTTTTCCAAAATTAACCTTACCACCAAGATCGACTCAGCCTAGAAAGTGCACCAGGTAATGTCTGAGGGAAGTCAAGTGGCCATAGTGTGCCGACTGGTCTGTAAACACAAAGTCTCTCCATATGCCCAATGCCTTACATAAGAAGTGTCCTTGGCATACGTACACAGTAAAGAATCCGAACTCAGGCATTGTGGTGAAATGTTCACAGTGTCTATGACATACAACAAAGCTATTCAACTAGCATCCCCTAGGCCAAATGATGGCCCGCTAATGCCTAGTAAGTGGCCCGCAGATCACAACCAGTTGCACTGTATTAAGACACATAATATTTGTTGCGACAATGGAGAAGATTTGAAATCAAGAACTTGGTTATGATGGCAAGATGAGCGCATGAAAGCAAGAGGAAAGCAAACAGAAAACTACCTGAATGGCCTAGCCAGATGGATGGGGCAAGATAAATAAAAACATTGAACTCATCAGCTATTCTGGTGATGCTGGGAGATGGCAAACATGAGAGTCTATGCTTACCGGCATGGCAAATGATATGATAAATACTTTAATGTTTTTTCTATGCTGGATCTCGGGCCTCTGGCCTGCACGAACCCCTATTTTTCTAATTTCGGCCCCTGAGTAAACTTATTTGAATGGCGCTGACATAAAATCATCTCTCTCTCCTGGATGTACCTTTCTCTATCACAAAGCAGTCAGAACATGTTTAACAATCTAGTGTGCTGTCCTGTTGTGACAGTCTGGTTTCACATTAGATGAACAAATCAAAACTAAATGCTGAGATTCTTTTTCTGCATTTATTTTTAAAAGGGCGGCTGCATTTTTTTTGTGTGGTTTACAGCTAAGCTGTGATATCTACGCCTTTTGGCCCAAAACATTCCATTGTAACAGATTCCTAATTAGTTGCCCTTTGTGAGATTCTTTTTAAGGCATATGGAAAATTATCACCACTAATCAGGAGGACACAACCATTAGATATATGAAAAACTATCATCTCTAATCAGGGGGAGACAATCATTAGATATATGAAAAAACTATTTTCCCATTTTATGTTCAGGATTTCCTAAGACATTTAGTTTCAAATGCATTTAACTTGTTTGTTCCACATCTTTGGTAGTTCTCCAACTTACGCTGACACATATTAGAATTGAAATAATGTTAGAACTGTAGATTCTAAATCTAGTGCAATATGCCAACTGCCATTTTTGATAATTCACATCACAGGCAACAGCAAATGGGCCCATTCTGCATTTCCTGCAACTGAAAGAGTTAGCAAAATCTGTTCACTTACTTCTCATCTTGTCCCTTGTCTTCTGCACCCAGAGCTTGTTTTTCTTTCTGCGACTTGGACACAGGTTTTCTCACAGTCTTTCCTTTACCACTCTTGTCTGTCGATGATGGAGAGCTGCAACACAATGTCTTATATCAAATTCCTGGAGAATCATCAACACTAACTCTTTAAGTCCCAGAAAGTGTTGAATTCAACAATGTCTATGCTAAAATTTGTGTATGTCCCAGAAACAATGTTTCAGGCTCGCAGGAGATACTATATCCAACTCCACATTGGAACAATCAGTAGAGGTACCTTGGAGTGGTTGCTGCAGCAGAGGCCTAGGCACGCACTGGGCAGATGCCTAATGTGCAAAGACATTGGCTGCGATAACGTAAGAAGTCTTGTAGAGCTTTAGAGTTCAGCTTTGGGAGAGAAGGTGTCACAGCAACAATTGGAAAATAAGGGGGTGGGGGTCACATAACATAACAAGTCTTGTAGAGCTTTAGAGTTCAGCTTTGGGAGAGAAGGTGTCACAGCTACAATTGGAAAATAAGAGGGGTAACATAACATAACAAGTCTTGTAGAGCTTTAGAGTACAGCTTTGGGAGAGAAGGTGTCACAGCAACAATTAGAAAATAAGAGGGGGGGGGGGTACATAACATAACAAGTCTTCTAGAGCTTTAGAGTACAGCTTTGGGAGAGAAGGTGTCACAGCAACAATTAGAAAATAAGAGGGGTAACATAACATAACAAGTCTTGTAGAGCTTTAGAGTTCAGCTTTGGGAGAGAAGGTGTCACAGCAATAATTGGAAAATAAGAGGGGTAACATAACATAACAAGTCTTGTAGAGCTTTAGAGTTCAGCTTTGGGAGAGAAGGTGTCACAGCAACAATTGGAAAATAAGAGGGGTAACATAACATAACAAGTCTTGTAGAGCTTTAGAGTTCAGCTTTGGGAGAGAAGGTGTCACAGCAACAATTGGAAAATAAGGGGGTGGGGGTAACATAACATAACAAGTCTTGTAGAGCTTTAGAGTTCAGCTTTGGGAGAGAAGGTGTCACAGCTACAATTGGAAAATAAGAGGGGTAACATAACATAACAAGTCTTGTAGAGCTTTAGAGTACAGCTTTGGGAGAGAAGGTGTCACAGCAACAATTAGAAAATAAGAGGGGTAACATAACATAACAAGTCTTGTAGAGCTTTAGAGTACAGCTTTGGGAGAGAAGGTTTCACAGCAACAATTAGAAAATAAGAGGGGTAACATAACATAACAAGTCTTGTAGAGCTTTAGAGTTCAGCTTTGGGAGAGAAGGTGTCACAGCAATAATTGGAAAATAAGAGGGGTAACATAACATAACAAGTCTTGTAGAGCTTTAGAGTTCAGCTTTGGGAGAGAAGGTGTCACAGCAACAATTGGAAAATAAGGGGGGGGGGGGGGGGGGGGTAACAAAACATAACAAGTCTTGTAGAGCTTGAGAGTAAGCTTTGGGAGAGAAGGTGTCACTGCAACTATTGGGAAAATAAGGGGGGGGGGGGGGGGGGGGGGGTAACAAAACATAACAAGTCTTGTAGAGCTTGAGAGTACAGCTTTGGGAGAGAAGGTGTCACAGCAACAATTGGAAAAAAAAAGGGGGTTGCTGGAAGGTGGGGGTGGGGGGGGGGGGAAGACATAACAAGTCTTGTAGAGCTTGAGAGTACAGCTTTGGGAAAGAAGGTGTCACAACAACAAATGCAAAAAAAAGGGGGTAACATAACAAGTCGTGTAAAGTTAAAAATGACATATACATGAATATGCAACTTAGGTAATTCTCATCTGAATGGCACTTTGTGTCCCTGGGTGTTGATCACTGATTGTGCGGTCCTGGTGAGGCTGAGGGTCACTCGTTCTTGACATATGGGCAATGACATGATGACCATAATGAACATGTCATTTGGACATCATGAACAGACATACATGTTTGTTATGAATATATATTCATTATATTAGAAAATGACAAAATATCAGTGGCATTTGAAGAATGATAGAATCACAATAACATTGGCACAATGACATGGGTACAATGACATGATCACAAGTACATGGGTACAATGACATGATCACAAGGACATGGGTACAATGAAATGATCACAAGGAAATGGGTACAGTGACATGATCACAAGGACATGGGTACAATGACATGATCACAAGGACATGGGTAAATGACATGAACACAAGGACATGGGTTCAATGACATGATCACAAGGACATGGGTACAATGACATGATCACAAGGACATGGGTACAATGACATGATCACAAGGACATGGGTTCAATGACATGATCACAAGGACATGGGTACAATGACATGATCACAAGGACATGGGTACAGTGACATGATCACAAGGACATGGGTTCAATGACATGATCACAAGGACATGGGTACAGTGACATGATCACAAGGACATGGGTACAATGACATGATCACAAGGAAATGGGTACAGTGACATGATCACAAGGACATGGGTACAGTGACATGATCACAAGGACATGGGTACAGTGACATGATCACAAGGAAATGGGTACAGTGACATGATCACAAGGACATGAGTACAGTGACATGATCACAAGGACATGGGTACAATGACATGATCACAAGGAAATGGGTACAGTGACATGATCACAAGGACATGGGTAAATGACATGATCACAAGGAAATGGGTACAGTGACATGATCACAAGGACATGGGTACAGTGACATGATCACAAGGACATGGGTAAATGACATGATCACAAGGAAATGGGTACAGTGACATGATCAGAAGGACATGGGTACAGTGACATGATCACAAGGACATGGGTACAATGACATGATCACAAGGAAATGGGTACAGTGACATGATCACAGTGACATGGGACATGGGTACAGTGACATGATCACAAGGAAATGGGTACAACAATGACATGATCACAAGGAAATGGGTACATGGTAAATGACATGATCAACAAGGACATGGTTCAATGACATGATCACAAGGACATGGGTACAGTGACATGATCACAAGGACATGGGTAAATGACATGATCACAAGGAAATGGGTACAGTGACATGATCACAAGGACAGGGTACAGTTGCCACAGGACATGGGTACAATGACATGATCACAAGGAAATGGGTACAGTGACATGATCACAAGGACATGGGTACAGTGACATGATCACAAGGACATGGGTACAGTGGGTCACAAAGATGGGTACAGTGACATGATGACAAGGACATGGGTACAATGACATGATCACAAGGAAATGGGTAAATGACATGATCACAAGGAAATGGGTAAATGACATGATCACAAGGAAATGGGTAAATGACATGATCACAAGGAAATGGGTAAATGACATGATCACAAGGAAATGGGTAAATGACATGATCACAAGGACATGGGTACAATGACATGATCAAAAGGACATGGGTAAATGACATGATCACAAGGACATGGGTACAATGACATGATCACAAGGAAATGGGTACAGTGACATGATCACAAGGAAATGGGTACAGTGACATGATGACAAGGACATGGGTACAGCGACATGACACCAATGATATGGGTACAGTGACATGATGACAAGGACATGGGTACAGTGACATGACACCAATGATATGGGTACAACAACATGGGCACAAAGATGGAAAACAATGGCTTGAACACAATGGTAGTGTCTGCCGGACACCATAAAGACACAAGTTTATCTCTCTATAAAATCAACTTACATATCCTTGTCTCGAGACTTCTGAATGCCATACTGTCTCAGCACGGCAGTCACAGCCTCTACTAATGGTTTCTTGGCCGGGCGGACAGCATTAAAGAATGGGCCCAGAAGGTTCTCGCTGGCAGGGTTGAGAATCTGGTCCTTACACAAACAGATGTCCCCAGAGTCCTGCTGCTGGTCCACAAAGTAGCAGCTGTAGAAGATCTCCGTCAGAGCCTGGCTGGCAGCAGCTCCCAGCACCTGAGCACCCATCTTGCCAGAGATCTTGAATGAGAGGTAGCTCTCCAGAGCGCTGTTGGCTTCAGGTTCTGTCAGGAGAACTGGACTGACAGTTTGTACGTTGAGGTTTTCATCTGGAGCTTCCATGTTTGTGTCAGATTCTTCGCTAAGGTTCACATTCAGCCATTTTGATTTCAAGAAGGCTTTCCGAACAATGTCTATTTTAGTTTTGGACGGGAGGCATATCACAGCATAGCCTTCAATGAGCTTGGATTTCTTTTTGGAGTCTGGTGCGGGGGCTGTTTGCTGAGGCCTGGAGGATTCAAGCTTAGTCTCACTGCTGGCTGAAGTTGGAGCACATGCTTCCGTGGATGATGACACTGATCCAAGCTGGGAAGGGTCTCCCTTGGAATCTAAACTACTGAAGTCACTGGGAATTGGGGCAAAGATTTCATCTCTATCCAGCCCACCATAACTGTTGCACACCTTGCGGATGGACTTTTTCACTGTGGTAAGTTCTAGGTATGTTGGTATGCCAGTTATAACAAGCAGGCGAGAATGAGATGTTGGGGATGATAAAGTCATGGCCGCAGCCTTCACTGCCTCACTGACCTGGTCCTGGCAGTGTGGTTCTTTGAGTGCCAGATAGCGTAAGAGTTTTGCAGTTGACACTGCTAGTGGAAACCAGGCCATATCATCCACTTTGATTGAGGTTGATGAGGATGCATTAGAAATGGTGCAGATGCTAGAGTTGCTGGATGCCTTGATTGGCTGGACGGAGATCACTCCTACTGGTACTGCAGTTTGAGTATCTAGGGACTGAGACAGGTGAACTGTGCTGGAGCTTGCAGAGACCTCAGACTCTGTGCCATCTGTCGGACCTCGCTGGTCCAGGCTAGACCTTCTGGTAGAGGCTGCAGTCCTCTCCTTCTTTGGTTTGAGTTTCTTCTTCTTGCCTGAAGAGGATGCTCCTGCAGTGAGGACACAGCTGGTTCCTGCAGCTGTATCTTCAGCGCAAGCCTCTGTGGCCTCCTTACACACGGATATCTCACAAGGTATGACTTCAGAAATGGCCAGGCACACCTCCATGAGGGTCATCAGATAAGTTGACCAGCGACATGTGTCGGTCACCCCCAGACCTATCCCATGTCCAGCGGTGGTGGTCATCTCCGGCATGTTTTTGGCTTCCAGATCATAGAGCTTCTTCAGCTCTCTAGGCAGGGCAGTCAGCATGCCCTGCGTGGGGCTCAGTCTTGTGCTCAGTTTAGTCAGCAAGCTGCTGCCTTGACAACCCTCACTGTATCGCAGTATCCTCATGGTTTGAGCCAGCAGGTGGAAGAGGTACTCCTTCACTAGTGCTGGGACATCTGTCTTCCACAGGAAACCACACAAGAACTCAATGACGTGCAGGAATACCGGTGGTGTCACGTGAATGTTCTCCAAACTCCACAGACTCTCATTAGTTTCAGCAGCTTCTGCACTCATTGGTGATGAAGCACAGGAAGAGCCAGTGGACCCGCTTACAGCGATGCCTTCCCTTTGTCCAGCAGTCTTCTCCAGCTTGTTGCCACAAGCATTCATACCACAGCCAAAAGTCTCAGTCACAAGGGTCTCTACATAGGCAACAGCCAGCAGGAACTGTGGAGGCAGTGCGTGAAGTGTCACCGTGGTACCAGGAGCTGGGGAAACACCGAGCTTCACAAAGACTCTGTCTCCGGGAATCAATGCTGGGGCAAACTGGCCACTGTTGCAGTTCTGGGTGTGGACATCCCGCGGGTAGCAGACTACCACCTGTTTGGTCACCTGGCCACATTTCTTGATACGTTTGCCAGTGTACGTGCTAATACGAGCCCACGGGGATCTGTAAGGGGGATTCCTGTAGCAAACAAAATAGTTTAAATAATGCAGACAAAATCAGAACATAGCATAATTTACTGCCTGGCATATTTCACTGTATTTCAAGCATACAAATGAATCCTTACCACTGAAAAAAAAAACAACAATGTCTTCTCAAGTTACACTATACATCTTGTCTTCAGAAGTCTTGATTACCACTGAATTTTAAAATTTACCATATGATCTTTTTGTCTGCACAAGGAAGGATTGTTCATTTTTATTGTCAGTGCTTCTGCCAAGTTCAGTAAATGCCTATTCAGTGTGTAATTTAAAAAAAAAAAAAAGGCTGTCCCCTTCAGTGAATATTTCAACTCAGATGCTTGTTTAATGCCTTCGGAGTCTGTGGCTTAGGCATTGCGAACACGCTCCATAATGCCGGGTTCTATCCTAGCTGCAGGTCTTGCGCTGGTTTAGACAGTGGTATTGAGACGCCGACCATCCAGAAAGCAATGGCAAATTACTGGGTTGGTTCTGCAACGTCCTGTAAAGGATACTCAACTAACTTAACTCTACCGCTATATTTCGGTTCTGCTTGTTCCTTCCTACCGACATTACTTCTGTTTTTGAGAAGAATGGCAAAACAAAAACAGTCAAGCCTGGACTTAACAAGACACAGCAGAGAAAATAGTCAGAACAACTCAAACTATATAGGACAAGATGAACAAAACATGGTGGACAAGACAGAATAAATGAGACAACCTAGACTAGACAAGAAAGACAGATGAGACAAACTAGATGTAGACAAGACAGACAACCTAGACCAGATAAGACAAGCCAGACTAGATAAGACAACATAGACTAGACAAAACAGACAACCTAGAACTAGAAAAGACAAACTACACTTGACAAGACAACCCAGACTAGACAAGACAGACAACCTAGACAAGACAAGACAGACACGATGACCTAGACTAGGCAAGACAATCTAGACTAGATAAGACAACCTAGACTAGACAAGACAGACAACCTAAACTAGACAAGACAGACAACCTAAACTAGACAAGACAGACAACCTAGACAAGACTATCTAGACTGGGGGGGGGAAGACAAAAACTAGACAAGACAAGATAGATGAGACAACCTGGACTAGAACGACAGATGAGATAACCTAGACTAGATAAGTTAATTAATACAAACTAGACAAGACAAGATTTACATAACAATTTAGACTAAACAAGACAGATGAGACAAATTATTTTAGAAAAGACTGATAACACTAACTAGACAAGACAGGTTAAAAACAAGACAGATGAGACAAACTAGACTAGACTGGACAAGACAGAAGACAACATTGACTAAACTGAACAAGACAGACAACTTGGACTAGTTAAGACAAATCCAATGATCTAGACTGGACAAGACAGACAGATTAGACACCACAAAAGACAACCTAGACTAGACTGGACAAGACAGATGAGACACAGCAGAAAGGAGAGGGCAACAGAGACTAGACATGTCCACCAGATGACTCACTCCTTGCTGCTGGCCTCTGAGCTCCGGACACAAGACACCAAGATGCAAGCGGCCCCAGGGAAGTGGACATCTGTGCTGACCTTGGTCTCATTTACCGGGTAGGTCACATAGGGAAACATCTCGGGGGCAGTCTATAGGGCATAGGAGAGGACATGTCTAGAGGTGATCCATGCTTGAATCTTCAGCAGAACTGCTAGACGACTAAACACAACTACTTACCTGCACTCAACACTGACACATGCATCATCTACTTCTTCTGTTCTTCCTTCAGTTACACAATCAGATGGTTTCTGGTGCCATCGGAATTGGAACTTCGCTTACTGCTGAAGATGGGGGGGGGGGGGGGGGGGGGGTGGAGCACTTATGGGAGTGTTCTGAGTGCTGTGATGTCAATTCTTATTCAACATTCCTCCAGCTACCTTATCGAGGTGCTGGAGTGGGGTGGGGGGGGGGGGGCTCTTTCGAAGCACTTGCCACCATGCGAGGGGGTTGATGGTCTCCAATAACAGTCAAATATTTTAGGGGGTGGTAGATATGCTGCAAGCAGTCGTGGGACTTAGGCTGCACTATTTTGTGGAACGTAGATGGGTTGGGGTTAGGCCCAGTTCTAGATGTTTTGGTCGTAGTTAAAAGCATCGGATAGCTGGGAAACCCGCTCCAACCACCCTCGAAAATATTGGACTGTCCTGTGACCTCAACATGGGGGAGAAATTGGGAAATAACCAGGTTTTCTCCTTGCTCTGTTTTCATATCTCTTTCATTATGCAGCAGTTGGTACCAGAGCATTTTGATTTTACTCGCACATAGTAGTGTAGATTGGTCCTTTCGCCTCCGAAAACCTGGTTCTCTGGCATCTCTGTTACACTCCCCCCAAGAATTCTTGGTCAATCCCCCAAAAAGTGTACTTAACAGCAATGGTTCTGGTTGCATAGATTTTAGGAAGCACAGATAGGATAACATTTTACTTAAACTATCATTCATGTGAGTGGGAATAAATGGGTTATAGTTTTTTTTAATTTTTAAGTTGCTTTTTTTTTTTGGTAGCCATGATGATGTCATAACTCTCTTAGCCTTTAGAAATTAGGGTCATAGGGGTCATGATATCAGTCACCTTAAATTTAGTTCCCTGGGGAATTTAGCTGATTAATTCTCTGCTCCATTTGATTTTAACTGATTACATAACACAGCTGATTGGTCAGCTCAATGAGATATTCCATTAACCTGAAGACACATGCACAGCTGATTGGTCGGCTCAATGAGATATTCCATTAACCTGAAGACACAGCTGATTGGTTAGCTCAATGAGATAGTCCTCTCCCTGATTGGATGCCCTGGCGATGGCAACAGCAAGCTCCCGTTTGAGGCGAAGACTGTTGCGGTAGACAAGCGTGGTCAAAGACACCAGAGGCTCCAGGGAAAGCTGTGACAGCAGTGATGTCTGTAGGGGTGAGACAGCTTCAAGGGTCCCAGTAGTGAACGGGGCGGCCAACAGGTGTTCCGACAACAGCTGAATGTTCTCTAGGTCCAGCTCCTGCACAAGTAATATATTTGTTTCAAGTTACAAGTCATAATGCTGGTCTCATAATGTTTTTTCTAAAGTTACTAGCAGTATTATATTTGCTGATATCAAAAGAGTAATATGTTTTTCTGATATTACCTGTGCTAATATTTCTGCATTTGTCTTATGTTACAAGTAAATCTGTTTTTCTTGACTTAAATTAGTCATATGCCTCAAGTTACAAGTCGTAATGTGGTTGTCTTAAGTTACAAGTCGTAATGTGTTTGTCTCAAGTTACAAGACATAATGTGTTTGTTTCAAGTTACAAGTCGTAATGTGTTTAGTCTCAAGTTACAAGTACATAATGTGTTTGTCTCAAGTTACAAGTACATAATGTGTTTGTCTCAAGTTACAAGTCATAATGTGTTTGTCTCAAGTTACAAGTCATAATGTGTTTGTCTCAAGTTACAAGTCATAATGTGTTTGTCTCAAGTTACTAGTACTAATATGTTTGTCTCAAGTTACAAGTACACATGTGTTTGTCTCAGGTTACTAGTAATAATATTTTTGTGTTTGTCTATAGTTTCAAGTATATGTGTTTATCTCAAGTTACAATTGGTCACTGTCTCAAGTTACAAACAGTAATATGTTTGTCTTAAGTTACAACACTTGTGTTTTATTTAAGGTAGAGGTACAAAAAGAAGGGTGGGGGAGGGGTGAGAGAGGGAGAGAAAGCAAGAGAGAGAGAGAGAGAGAGAGAGAGAGAGAGAGAGAGAGAGAGAGAGAGAGAGAGAGAGAGAGAGAGAGAGAGAGAGAGAGAGAGAGAGGACAACAATCTCTAACTATACCTGCAACGTTGCAGCACAGGCAGCCATGCCAGAGCCAAGGCTGGCGGAGCATGATGTCATCTCCATGGCAGGAGAGTTACAGTGATCCATCAGACGCAGGAATGCTGTTCTCAAGTACATGCGTGCCAGAGATGACTCACTCGACAGCAGCTCCCTGTCGAGAATGTCAGACAAAAACAGGGCTCATAAGTAATTCACAGGCAGCATCAGAATGGCAACAAGAATATGACATTCCATGTGTGGGTTGTGGGGCCCCAATATGGGAGGAGGGGACGAATGAACCCCTCCCCCCACCCCAATAAGCATGTGACAAAAGGAGACTAACTGGGGGGGGGGGGGGGGGGGTGTTTGCTGAACCTGAATGTCTCATCAGATCTTATCTCATCCTGATGCTCTGGTTCCTTGCGGTGTTGAGGTAAGGTATAATTTTTATAGGAAGTGCCCGTTTGTGCGCTTCGTAAATGGGGATTTCCAGGGGTTCTTTATTCCCTTAGTGCATGGTGGGCATCTTCTTTGCTTTCCGCCTGGTCTGTTCGTTACTACTTGCTGTTTATACTGTTTGCTGAAAAGTATGGATATCTTAATCTAGATGTAAATAAATTAGTGTGCCAACTGCGGTTTAAATACGAATGGATAGGAAGAAAAAGAATATGCTGTCAAAAAATTAGATCTTTTGTTTTTTCTTTGATCAGTCATAATTTGCCCTTAGCAGTCACAAATGGTCAAGAAATTAGCCACCATATACATTTTTTTAAGGACCAAGAGAGTGTACCCTGTGTGATTCTGTTTTTGTTTCTGTTTGTCGATAACTTTGCTTTATTTATTTTTTTTAATTAAAAAAAAAAATGTAAAATGTACATAAATATGTTTTTCTCTCCAGGTTTATGACAACACCCAGCCCCCTACCAACTAGATTTTGGGGGTCCAGGAGTTAAAGATAAAGAGTTTAACTTTCTCAGCAAAAGGCTAAACAAGCCAAGTTAAGACACAAAAAAGATGTTACCTGTGGATGAAGATATTGGATGTATCCATGGTCTGGCCGCCAGTGATGGATGACTTCCTCAATCCCTGTGCTGGCTTCTCCAGCATGATCAAGGGGTACCAGAACCTAACCAGGACCCCTTCACTCCTCAAGTAGGTCTCCACCTGAACCAGCTCATTGGCCTGCCAAGAGTACAACAGGCACGTATTTTACTGGATATGTAAACTGTCAGAATTCCTTTTAACAGCTGCAGTAGAAAAATTCAATATTTCTAAAATTATAATTAGCTTTCTTCTTCTTCTTCTTCTTTTTCTTCTTCTTAGCGTTCGCCGGCTGTACATCTGCAGAAAGTTCTAGTTGTTCATCCACTTCTGGACTTTAGTCTTGTTCCAGAACTTGAGTTTTGCATGCACATCAGATCTGGCTTATTTGTATGCAGGCTGTTGGTTCCTCGCCAATCAGGCAGATATACACCCTAAGAAAAGAGGCAGAAAACACCCCTAATTAGTCACCTTTAACACGCTTGTTTGGGACCATGGGTCTATCCCCCCCCACCCCCATTCAAAAAGGGGCTCTTGAACCCAGAAATCATCATTATCATGTGCCATGCAGGTAAGCCTAGGCAGTCACATTTCGTCATCTCACAAGAAGAAAAGCAATTTTTTTTACATGATCTACATCAGGAACTGGGGAGTCGCCGTGGCCCAGCAGCTAGGCGCTCGCCGCGGATCGGAAGGCGTGGGTTTGCTCCCTGGAGGAGCCGGACTTTTGTCAAAAATGACCTTGGCTCCCAGGTGGACCCAGCCTTGAGTGGGTACCGGGTGCAGTCCCGGCGTAATACTGACCACATCACCCATTTGTGCCGATTGGTCTATAAAAATATAGGTCTAGCCCTATATGCCCTATACGCCTTAAGGCGTGGAAAAGGGTCCTTTACTTTTTTACTTACATCAGGAACTGTCCACGCGAGACAGAGAGGAGAAGAAATCTTACATTGTCCACATCCAGAACTGTTCCTGTGAGACTGAACTGTTTTCAGCATTGTCCGGACAGCAAACTTGGGCAGCTGGGTGGCAGCGTAGGTGCTGATCCCGCTGGGTGTCCGGATGATCACTGTTGTGCCTTTCTTCACACGGTCGATGGTGAACTTTGCCAGGTCTTCTTTGATGTCGTCAATTGTCGGAAGGTGTAGATCTCGTGGTATGCCACCATTCTCTTCATACAGAAATCTCCACCGTCTGTCTGGCAATATCTGTCATACCTGGCCAGCAAGAGAAAAATAAACTGAATACAGGGTCTTCTCGTTTCATGATCAAATTCTGTTCTGACTACAGTTTGTTAAGTCGAACTGGTCAAAGTGAAATTTACATTTTTCTAACATGATTGTATTTAAATATTAACTCTTTGAGTCCCAAGGAACGCATCATATGTTCATAGGGTCCTACGTAGAAGCCGATTGAACGCATGATATGTAGATTTTACTCTCTCTTTACTACCCATTGGGCCTGTGATGCTAAACCCCATGGGACTCACAGAGTTAAAACAGGTTTTAAATATACAAAAATACATAATACACATACTCTATCTACAGCATCAATTCCGGGAATTTTTGACCCTGCCAATGTAGTTATCATTTCTTTTTTACTATCAGAAAGAAGGTGATTTCACAACAGATCTCCAACGGGTGAGTCAAGCAGATATTGTTCTAACAAAAAATCTTCACAAAAACTGGTGGCCGCAAAGCAGCCGAACCACTGTCGAAGCATATGACTTAAATGGCGGGTGACTGCAGTCGAGCTGATTAAATTCCCCCCCCCCCCCCCCCCCCCCATTACATACTTCTTGGTTTCACATTGATCTTGGTTTTTTATTAGCTCCTTTCGTCTTGTCCGTTGAGTTTTCTAGTCACAGTTTGTGGTGTATTTAGTATTCTGCTGATAAAGACTTTGGTCGAAATGTTCGGTTGTGTTCCTCTGCGTCTTTTCTATTCCTTCTGTTAAGCTTTCTAGTCAATTTTTGTATTATTTTCAGCATGTTGAAGCATATGTTCCCTAGCAAAAGAATCTACTAGGACAGTTCAAAAGGTGACTCATAAGGAACTGCAATATCTGAAAGTGAGTTCACAGTGGGAACTACAGACATTGACTAACTACCAACAGGAAGAAGGCATAGTTCAGTGAGCAACCACAACCCTACTCCCCACAGTGGGAACTACAGACATTGACTAACTACCAACAGGAAGAAGGCATAGTTCAGTGAGCAACCACAACCCTACTCCCCACAGTGGGAACTACAGACATTGACTAACTACCAACAGGAAGAAGGCATAGTTCAGTGAGCAAACCACAACCCTACTCCCCACAGTGGGAACTACAGACATTGACTAACTACCAACAGGAAGAAGGTATAGTTCAGTGAGCAACCACAACCCTACTCCCCACAGTGGGAACTACAGACATTGACTAACTACCAACAGGAAGAAGGCATAGTTCAGTGAGCAACCACAACCCTACTCCCCACAGTGGGAACTACAGACATTGACTAACTACCAACAGGAAGAAGGTATAGTTCAGTGAGCAACCACAACCCTACTCCCCACAGTGGGAACTACAGACATTGACTAACTACCAACAGGAAGAAGGCATAGTTCAGTGAGCAACCACAACCCTACTCCCCACAGTGGGTACTACAGACATTGACTAACTACCAACAGGAAGAAAGGAAGAAGGCATAGTTCAGTGAGCAACCACAACCCTACTCCCCACAGTGGGTACTACAGACATTGACTAACTACCAACAGGAAGAAGGCATAGTTCAGTGAGCAACCACAACCCTACTCCCCACAGTGGGTACTACAGACATTGACTAACTACCAACAGGAAGAAAGGAAGAAGGTATAGTTCAGTGAGCAACCACAACCCTACTCCCCACAGTGGGTACTACAGACATTGACTAACTACCAACAGGAAGAAAGGAAGAAGGCATAGTTCAGTGAGCAACCACAACCCTACTCCCCACAGTGGGTACTACAGACATTGACTAACTACCAACAGGAAGAAAGGAAGAAGGTATAGTTCAGTGAGCAACCACAACCCTACTCCCCACAGTGGGTACTACAGACATTGACTAACTACCAACAGGAAGAAGGTATAGTTCAGTGAGCAACCACAACCCTACTCCCCACAGTGGGTACTACAGACATTGACTAACTACCAACAGGAAGAAAGGAAGAAGGCATAGTTCAGTGAGCAACCACAACCCTACTCCCCACAGTGGGTACTACAGACATTGACTAACTACCAACAGGAAGAAAGGAAGAAGGTATAGTTCAGTGAGCAACCACAACCCTACTCCCCACAGTGGGTACTACAGACATTGACTAACTACCAACAGGAAGAAAGGAAGAAGGTATAGTTCAGTGAGCAACCACAACCCTACTCCCCACAGTGGGTACTACAGACATTGACTAACTACCAACAGGAAGAAAGGAAGAAGGTATAGTTCAGTGAGCAACCACAACCCTACTCCCCACAGTGGGTACTACAGACATTGACTAACTACCAACAGGAAGAAGGTATAGTTCAGTGAGCAACCACAACCCTACCCCCCCACCCCTTTTTTTTCTTGCGGAAAGCATCTGTCTCCTACCTAAGCAACGAGATGCTTGCCTGAATACTTGTAACAATTTTTTTCTGGTTAACCCATGGTGCATAATTCATTCAGAATGACTACATTGCTTAATTCTGCAACACATGTAGATGTTTCTTTCATGCTTTTGTAATAAAGCCATTAGAATTGGTTTCAAATGAATGCTCCAAATAGATTAGTTTCTTGATAGCTCGGCCACATGACAAAATAAGAACACTGATGTGACTAGACCCTTCATGGACAAGCAGGCAATCCTATTGGAGGTTGAAGTAAACCTCATGGAGGTTGAGATAAACCTCATGTAGGTTGAGATAAACCTCACAGAGGTTGAGGAGGTAAACCATAAGAAGGTTGAGGGAAACCTCTAGGAGGGTTAGGCAAACTTCATGGAAAAGCAAATCCTCATGAAGTTTTATGGACGTTTAGGCAAACCATGGAATTTTAGACAAACATGGGGGTTTAGGCAAACCATGGTATTTTAGACAAACATGGGGGTTTAGGCAAACCTCATGGACATTTAGAGAACCCTCATGGCATTGTAGACCAGCCTAATGAAGGTTTAGGCAAATTTTACTGAAATTCAGACCACTGTTCTGGAATTTTAGACAAACCTACTGGGATGTAAGACACACCTACTGGGATGTAAGACAAACCTACTGGGATGTAAGACACACCTACTGGGATGTTAGACAAAACTGCTGGGATGTTACACAAACCTCCTGGCATGTTAGATAAACCTTCTGGGATGTAAGATAAACCCTCTGAGATGTTAGACAAAGCTTATGAAGGTCTAAATCAGACAAAGTAAACAGCAAGGCCCAGTATACCTAGTTGTAAGGCTCCTCTGATCTGCTCCAGGCCATCCTTCCGTTCGGCCTCATTGCGGAACCTCCTCCTGATGACTGGGAACACCTTCTGCTCCCAGGCCTTCACCAGCAAGGCATAATGGTCTTCGTTGGCGGACTCGTCCACGACTGTCTCATCGTCAGAATCCTCATCGTTGAGGCGGGCAAACATGCTGTCGGGGCCGGTGACCACAAAGTTGTCATAGGAAGGTAGCAGCTTGTAGCTCAAACTGGCATCCGTATTGTATTCTGTAGAAACAAGGGAGGTAACAGTTCAAACAGTTATTGCAGAGTTACTGAACTGGGATTTTGTTTCTTCTTCTGTGCTTGCCTTAAAAAAAAGATAGGTTGGTATATGTGTTGTAGTATACAGCAAGGCTGAGACATCAGATTTCAGCTGCCACTTAATTAGTTGCCTTTTATGACATGCTTGTTAAGTGGCAGTTTGGCTGTTTTGAATCCTTCAGAGTATCATTACAAATTGTGGCTACACCTTGAAAAAAAAAAGGTATATTATGCAAATATATCACATGATCATGGTGCCTATCTTGAATTTGTTTGGCTATGTATAGACAATTCAGAAAATGTTTTAAAGCCATCCACTTTTTCCAGTTTTTAGTGAATGTGTTCAATGTCAATGCTGTAAAATGTTTGGGACATGGTTGGCAATGAATGAAAAAAGCTATAAAAAAAAAAAAAACAAGCAATAATTTAACGATTTACCAAATATTGAAAGCTAATTAACATTTTGAATAAAGTGAGAAATTTTTATTTTATTTTTGTTTATTGTCTTCTTTTGTCATGTTACAATGAGCATTTGTGAATGCTTGATTATAAAAGCATGTTTAGTTGAAGTCTGAGCTACTTCCTTTATTACATGGAGTTGACGTTGTAGCTGTAGACCTCTGCAAGAGTCTTTGTTGGTAATTTGGATAATCCTCAACTGTGTGGTATAACTTGAAACAGGGCGTTGAGCATGGAAGTGTACTGCAATCTGGGCAGTACATGCTAGTCTCTTTCTTTACCTGGTGCCTTATACACTTTAGTCTGGTCTGTACCTTGCCTTTTCACATTTTAAAAAAAATGGTGCTCAGTAAGTTGAGATGCTGTACTTGTGGCCTTGAAGATGAACAGCAGGTCCAGTAAGAGCAAGACTGACATCCTGCCTGGACCTCTTTGCTGTGATCTTATTCCTAGAGTTGGCAGTGTTGTAGCTTATATACTCTTGACCGGAGCAGTTTATATATAATAATATAATGGCAGGTACCATTTATAGGACCTATGTGGTTAGGGATCGCACCTAGCTGGCGGAAGTGATCGACTCCCACCCCCTCCCCCCCCCACCCCCCATTGTATTTTTCTGCAAGAACTGGCTTGGTTATTATTCTGCCCCTAGGAACTCAACCTTTCTTAAATGTCTGGTCCATAACATCATTGGAGTAAACAGCAGATATCAGGTGAACTCTCTGAGTGTCATGCCAGGTAATGGTCAACATGCCTTTTCTTTTGTCCCAAAGAACAGGATTATTGGCCCTTTTCTGTTTCAGCTGCTTGTTCTTTAAAAAAAAAATTAGTCGGCACACATCCAATTGTGTCTCTCATGGCACCTCGTTGTTCTTCGTATGGAAGAAGATTGTGAAGCTTAATAAGTTCATTTTTAGCTGATTTTCTCCATTTATAAACAGCTTTAGAAATGTTCTGGTCTCTTGTGCCACACCCACTTCTTTCTTCAGGTGTACCTACATCACCTCCGTCATCAAGTCTACCATTGTTGTCGCTACTTTCAGTTGTGACGATGATAACATTGACTGGTGTATCACTATGTATCCAAGAAATATCATTTTCAGGACTACATTGGCTGGCAGATTCTGAATCATCAAAACTATGGATCTGGTTCTGGTCACCAGACATGACAAAAAAAAGGCTGAATATGTGATGCCAATGAAAATTATCAAAATGTCACTGAAAACAATGCTTGTATCAGCTCAAAGCTATATTGACTGTAGGCGCAGCCCTCTTGGAATAATTAAAAAAAACATCTGTTTGCAGTCTACATGTCACAAATTTAGTCAGGAACATGTTAACAACATATTTATCAGACGACTCATTCCATGACCATATGACATCTATCACTAAGGAAAATGTGCAACAGCTTAGTTAAAAAAAAAAAAAACATTTGCTTTAATTTTGAACCCCTTAAATGCTATTGTTAGATAATGTATCTAGACTTCCTAAATTTTTGTGCAGGCGCACAACAGACGATAACATTAACTATGGCTCTTTTAAAAAGGTCACCATAGGCAAGTTGGAAAACTGACATTAATGGGAAACTGGACCTTACTGGAAGTGTTGCTTTTGCAGCTCCTTGAGGTGAAAGGGTTAACTCAACTCAACTCTAGAGAAAAGACCAGGTGACCTACCTTTGAGCACAGGTGGAGGTTCAGCAACTTTGCAGGGAGCTTTGGGTGGAGTCCTGCTGTCTCTAGCCGACTCAGACTGAGACGTGGCTGGGGCAGGTTCGGCACTGTCACTCTCACTATCAGAGGCAGCATGGAACGGCAGGTGACCAAATGACTCCCGGATGTCCCGCAAGACATCGTTGACTGCCTCTGCTGCATCCCTGTGCTGCTGGCCTTCAGCATAGGCAAAGGGTCGGGTGCCAAAGTTAGCCTTCACACGGCAGTTCTGCAGGAGGCAAGCAAATCTGTTTGCTTAAACAAATACAGTGTTGGGAAACTCATGATCTTGAAACCCAGGCCATAGAAACTGGAGTGGATCAGTCACAGTTATGATGGTTTGGACTCGTATGATGAATGAGAGAGAATCAGCCACCATGTCAGGCATTGGAGGCCAAGAACCAGGATATCAGACCCCAGGACGACTTAGGGTTTGCTGGGAAGAACCAGGGAACTGGACTCCAGGATGACTTAGGGTTTGCTGGGAAGAACCAGGGAACCGGACCCCAGGACGACCCAGGGTTTGCTGGTAAGAACCAGGGAACTGGACTCCAGGATGACTTAGGGTTTGCTGGGAAGAACCAGGGAACTGGACTCCAGGACGACTTAGGGATTGCTGGGAAGAACGAGGGAACTGGACTCCAGGACGACTTAGGGTTTGCTGGGAAGAACCAGGGAACCAGACTCCAGGACAACCCAGGGTTTGCTGGGAAGAACCAGGGAACTGGACTCCAGGACGACTTAGGGTTTGCTGGGAAGAACCAGGGAACCGGACTCCAGGACGACTTAGGGTTTGCTGGGAAGAACCAGGGAACTGGACTCCAGGACGACTTAGGGTTTGCTGGGAAGAACCAGGGAACTGGACTCCAGGACGACTTAGGGTTTGCTGGGAAGAACCAGGGAACTGGACTCCAGGACGACTTAGGGTTTGCTGGGAAGAACCAGGGAACCGGACTCCAGGACAACCCAGGGTTTGCTGGGAAGAACCAGGGAACTGGACTCCAGTACGACTTAGGGTTTGCTGGAAAGAACCAGGGAACCGGACTCCAGGACAACCCAGGGTTTGCTGGGAAGAACCAGGGAACTGGACTCCAGGACAACTTAGGGTTTGCTGGGATGAGCCAGGGAACCAGACTCCAGGATGACTAACGGTTTGCTGGGAAGAACCAGGAAACCGGACTCCAGGATGACTTAGGGTTTGCTGGGAAGAACCAGGGAACCGGACTCCAGGACAACTTAGGGTTTGCTGGGAAAAACCAGGGGACTGGACTCCAGGATGACTTAGGGTTTGCTGGGAAGAACCAGGGAACTTCCAGGACGACTTAGGTTTGCTGGAAAGAACCAGGGAACTGGACTCCAGGACCCAGAGTTTGCTGGGAAGAACCAGGAAACTGGACTCCACGATGACCCAAGGTTTTGCTGGGAAGAACCAGGGAACTGGACTCCAGGACGACTTAGGGTTTGCTGGGAAGAACCAGGGAACCCAGGGTTTGTTCCAGGGATGACACAGCTTAGGAAGAACCAGGGAACCAAAACTCCAGGAAGAGCCCAAGGTTTGCTGGGAAGAACCAGGGAACCGGACTCCAGGACTGGGAAGAACTTAGGGGGTTTGCCGGGAAGAACTTTGCTGGACGAAGAACCAGGTAACTGGACTCCAGGATGACCCAGGGTTTGCTGGGAAGAACCAGGAAACCGGACTCCACAACTCAGAAGAACCAGGGAATTGGACCCAAATGACCCAGTTTTGCTGGGAAGAACAAGGGAACCGGAGGACAAATCAGGGTTTGCTGGAAAACCAGGAACTGGACTCCCAGGATTTGACCCAGGGTTTGCTGGGGAAGAAGGGAACCGGACTCCAGGATGAAGGGTTTTTTGCTGGACTCCAGGAACTGGACTCCAGGACAACCCAGGGTTTGCTGGGAAGAACCAGACTTCAAGATGACCCAGGGTTTGCTGGGAAGAACCAGGGAACTGGACTCGTGGATGACACAGCGTTTGCTAGGAAGAACCAGGGAACCAAACTCCAGGAAGAGCCCAAGGTTTGCTGGGAAGAACCAGGGAACTGGACTCCAGGACAACCCAGAGTTTGCTGGGAAGAACAGGGGAGCCGGACTCCAGAACAACACAGGGTTTGCCGGGAAGAACTGGGGAATCGGACTCCAGGACGACTTAGGGTTTGCTGGGAAGAACCAGGGAACTGGACTCCAGGACAACCCAGGGTTTGCTGGAAAGAACTGGGGAACCGGACTCTAGGGTTTGCTGGGAAGAACCAGGAAACCGGACTCCAGGGCAACTCAGGGTTTGCTGGGAAGAACCAGGGAATTGGACTCCAGAATGACCCAGGGTTTGCTGGGAAGAACAAGGGAACCGGACTCCAGGACAAATCAGGGTTTGCTGGGAAGAACCAGGGAACTGGACTCCAGGATGACCCAGGGTTTGCTGGGAAGAACCAGGAAACCGGACTCCACGATGACCCAAGGTTTGCTGGGAAGAACCAGGGAACCGGACTCCAGGATGACCCAGGGTTTGCTGGGAAGAACCAGGGAACTGGACTCCAGGACAACCCAGGGTTTGCTGGGAAGAACCAGACTTCAAGATGACCCAGGGTTTGCTGGGAAGAACCAGGGAACTGGACTCGTGGATGACACAGCGTTTGCTAGGAAGAACCAGGGAACCAAACTCCAGGAAGAGCCCAAGGTTTGCTGGGAAGAACCAGGGAACTGGACTCCAGGACAACCCAGAGTTTGCTGGGAAGAACAGGGGAGCCGGACTCCAGAACAACACAGGGTTTGCCGGGAAGAACTGGGAAATCGGACTCCAGGACGACTTAGGGTTTGCTGGGAAGAACCAGGGAACTGGACTCCAGGACAACCCAGGGTTTGCTGGGAAAGAACTGGGAACCAGGACTCTAGGTTTGCTGGGGAACCAGGAAACCGGACTCCAGGGCAACTCAGGGTTTGCTGGGAAGAACCAGGGAATTGGACTCCAGAATGACCCAGGGTTTGCTGGGAAGAACAAGGGAACCGGACTCCAGGACAACCCAGGGTTTGCTGGGAAGAACCAGGGAACTGGACTCCAGGATGACCCAGGGTTTGCTGGAAAGAACCAGGGAACTGGACTCCAGGATAACCCAGGGTTTGCTGGGAAGAACCAGGGAACTGGACTCCAGGATGACCCAGTGTTTGCTGGGAAGAACCAGGGAACCAGACTCCAGGACAACCCAGGGTTTGCTGGGAAGACGACATTCAACAGTTCCTGACACAGGACTGAAATGGAACAAAGAAAAAAAAAAGAAAACTGCTGATAGAGAAGTCTGGTGATCTCTCTGGCAAACCTCTACACTCCAGGATAGAAGAGTACTGACTAAGTCAGTAAAGTAAGTGAGAAAATTATGACAAAGGCAAAGAAGGATTCTGTTATGACTGGCTACAATAAACTCAAAGTTAGTCATTTTTTGCAGGTTCTTATTATCATCAGGGTCTCTCTCTCTCTCTCTCTCTCTCTCTCTCTTTCCTCTTTCTCACTTATTCTCTCACTGGCTCTGTAATTTTCTCTCTTTCCCTCTTCCCTAAGCACAAACAAACACTGACAACATATTTTCACAGAGGCAGAGGTCAGGCATCTAAGCCAGTCGACCTCTGCACACTAAACAGCATTGAGGTCAACTAAAGCATGAATTGATTATCATATTTGTTGTTTGTTAACTGGTTTAGCTTAGCATGATTATGTAGACATTATCTCTACTAGTGAAGATAGCATGATTATGTAGACATTATCTCTACTAGTGAAGATAGCATGATTATGTAGACATTATCTCTACTAGTGAAGATAGCATGATTATGTAGACATTATCTCTACTAGTGAAGATAGCATGATTATGTAGACATTATCTCTACTAGTGAAGATAGCATGATTATGTAGACATTATCTCTACTAGTGAAGATAAGTCCCTCTGGCAGGAAACAGTGAACCCCAGCCTCACAGTGCAGCGGCAAACATGCTGTTGCAGCTCTACCATGTGCTGCCAGACAATTAAAAAAAGAAGTGATGCAGCAAGTGGTACCTTTTTCTGTATGTGGACTATAGGATACATGGCTCCAGATACATTGTCCAGACATGCCCGTAGTCTCTGCCCATTATACGTGAAGTACACCTGGCCTGTAACGTAAACATGTAAACAGACAATGTACTAGTTAACAGTTCTCACCCTCCTTCTACCTTCTTTTCTATACTAGATCCTGAACCAGCACATCATACCCAGCCTTCTTCTCCATTATTTTAAGTGTTGCTTGTCTTTATTTCTATCCATTCCTTTTTTTTTTTTTTTTCTTCAAAGTCTTCCTATATTTTTGGTAATGCTGGAGTGCCGGGTTCAATCAAAGCTGCAGACCTTGTGTTGGTTTTGACAGTGGTATCAAGAAGCCAATAGTTCAGAAAGCAATGACGAACTACTGGATGTAAATTTGCCTTAAAAAAACCACAACAGCCAAAAAATTATGGGGTTGGTTCTGCAACGATCTGTAAAGGATACGCAACTAACATTTTTTAACTGCCTATCTTTGTTCCTTCTTCTTCTTCTGTATGTTGGGCTTAAAATTGTGGCAGGCACAATGATTTACATTGCCAAACTGCAACAGCTGCATCCCAACACTTCCATTTTAGAACATTCCTAATTAACCACCTTTTAGGATATGTTTGTCGGGCAAGTGGGCCGATCTCACAGTCATTCAGGCAGAAAACTGGGGCTTTTGAATGGAAATACTATAGGAAGATTTGCAGAATACCATGGACGATGAGGAGAAGAAGAAATACTGACACCCTAAAAGAGATGACCTAGTAAACAGCATCTTGCCTCAGAAACTGAAATATTTTGGCCATATCAAGCACCACAGGGGATTGGAAAGAATATATTGCAGAAGGCATGGGGCCAGAAAAGAGGGGCAGGGGCCGACCAGTAGGAAGATGGGCACAGGATATAACAAACACCTTGGGTAGAAAAGTGCACAAGGCAGGAGATCTGGCAAGAGGCTGAGTTCCTTTGAGCCAGGTTAGGAAAAGCCTGACGTTCTGCAAAGAACCTGCTCCAGGATCATGGTTATCATATCTGCTTGGCTGCTGAACTATGACCAGACAGGGCTTGAACCACGGCCTCCATCAAAGTGCTGTCTCTGCATCCCCAGGCTTACAAGTTATAAATATGTACATACTATGTCTCACAAATGCAATGGCAATAAAAAATAATAACAAAAATACTGTTTGTTGTTTGCATTTGCCGGCTGTAAACTCCCCCCCCCCCCCTCCCCCGGCAAAAGACAATAGTTGTTCATCCATTTAGGGATTTTGGCATTGTTCCAGGATCTGAGTTTTGCATGTGGATCCCTTTTACAGATCTTGCTTATTTTTTATGCAGACTGTTGGTACCTTGCCTCTCAGGCTGATGAAGTCTGACTTGGAAGGAAGCTTGTTGGGGAGGCAGTGGGTCTATTCTTGATTTCCCCCACGATGGGGCCATGGAACCCACAAGGGGAACAACAAAAACAATTACTATCCTATCCTTGGTTGACTTTATTTCTGTCTTGTGTATCTACTTTTGTATCTTTTGTGCCGTAATACATTTGTCTTCTTCCTTTTCAGATACTGAATAACCGCTGAGAGTTTCGCAGCCTGTGTGTAGCTTTTGTGCCGTAATACATTTGTCTTCTTCCTTTTCAGATACTGAATAACCGCTGAGAGTTTCACAGCCTGTGTGTAGCTTTTGTGCCGTAATACATTTGTCTTCTTCCTTTTCAGATACTGAATAACCGCTGAGAGTTTTGCAGCCTGTGTGTAGCTTTTGTGCCGTAATACATTTGTCTTCTTCCTTTTCAGATACTGAATAACCGCTGAGAGTTTCACAGCCTGTGTGTAGCTTTTGTGCCGTATTACATTTGTCTTCTTCCTTTTCAGATACTGAATAACCGCTGAGAGTTTCGCAGCCTGTGTGTAGCTCAATCAATCAGTCAGGTGTCGCTAAAATGGATATCCAACACACTGTCTCTTGTCCTGGTTGTACATTCTTTTAGACTGCTGCCCGTCCATCTCCTGATGTTGTCCTCCAATTGTATCGTTGCCCACCTGTGCTCTCTTGCCTTCAACTTTTCCCTCCAGTATTTTTTTTAAAAACGTGTAAAAATGTCTCTTTTAATGTGACCAAAGTATTTCAATTGTTTCTTTTTTATTTCTTTCAGTAATGATCTTTTCTCCATTCAGCTAGTGGACTTTGGTTCATTAATACAAATACTTTTAATTAAGAAATGTGTTTTTTTTCTCTCTCTCTTTCTCTATGTATGGAAACTTCTGGTACACCATAGAACACAAGTCAACAAAATTACCTTTAGGTGTCTGGGCATTATCAGTGACATCTCCAGACCTCTCCCATCCAATACCAGCCACGTCTCCGGCATTGAGAGTGACCTCTAACCTCACACTTCGCCACTGCAGCAGGCTGGCTCCATTGTAGTGCACAGCCTTGCCAGTGCTGGGAGTTGATGTTCAAACACAAGCTTTATTATTGTGAACAACTAAAGAGAGCGTCATACCAAGCAGCATCAACAGACAGCAAACTGTGGCATATAAGTTGAGTTTTTAAGCCTTAAACAAATCTGTCCAAAACAAGGGATCGTCCTATATGGCAGGCACAAAATGCATTAGGCAGGTGTATGCCTAAGACAGAGTCAACTAAAAACCTTGCACGCCTAGTCAACTTGTATGTTGTCATTTACAGTAATAACCATGCACATCTTATATGAGATAGATGCCGCGGTGAAGTAGCCTGTGGATCTGTAAGTCATGGGTTCAAACCCAAACTTTAAAAAAAAAAAAGACCTTTGCTTCCAAGCCTTAAATGGAGACCAGGTAAAGTGCTGATTGGTCTATGAAATACAGTTCTAGCACTATATACCCTGGATACCTAAGGGTGTAGATACGAATCCTTTACACCAAATATAATCAATCATAATTTGATTACAACTACAATGGAAGCTGCAGTAGTGTAGTGAGGGATAAATTCTCACCAGCTAGCCCAAAAGTCTAGGGTTCAAGTTCACATAAAGGCTGCGTTCTTCCAAAAATGATCTTGGCTCCCATGTGAACCCAGCCTATGATGGCTAACAGGGTAATGTCCTGAGAAGTAAAGGCACAATGCTGACCCCACAACCCACTGAGTGCCGATTGGTTTGTAAAACTGTACCTCTAACACAACATGCCTGATGCATCAGTCATCTAGAGAATTTATCACCTTTGCTTACTGACAATTAAAGATAATAGTTCAGGTACCAGGAGCAGCATCTTTCCTGGAGCCACATACAGATGAGTTGTGGACCATCACTCAGTCCTTAAGGAAGAAAACAGGGGCTTTTCAGCTGAAATGCTACAGAAAAATTCTCAGAATATGATGGACATCTTGGTAGGAAAGTGCAAGAGGCAAGAGAGCTGGTGAGAGACCGAGTTTTTTTCAGGCAGACCATAATAGGAGTAACATTCTGCAAAGGACCTACATAACGAGGATGATAAGGTGAGCCTGCAGTGCGTGTTCTGTCACGTTTAGACCACTGGTTCCCATAGTTGTAAGACCTGTGGACCCCTCTATTAATTTTTGCATGGGCAAAGTGCATGGGCATTTACAGCTCGCTCTTCAGGCAGAACAGTTAAGGAAGCCAGCGGTGCCTTCTCCATGACCACCAGCAGCATAACGATGGAGGTGATGGCGGTGACACAGGCTTTCATGTGGCTGGGATCACAGGACTATTCTCACATGTGTGTGCTGAGTGATTCTTTGAGTATGATCCGGCGGGTCGAGGCAGGCTGGTTACGCAAACAGTGGCTTGAGTCATTGCAAAATTCTCCTGTGTGTGCAGTTACTTTCATATTCATCCCCGGGCATGCAGGCGTTGTTGGTAATGAGAGAGCTGATAGACTAGCAGTACTGCATTAATTGAAGATGGCCGGCCCATGGATCGGCACAGCCAAGCATGAGAAGCACACTGGACGCACACAAAGTCTTGTTAACCAACATAGGACTGGTACCATTAACCGCACGACGCTGATGAATATGTTGAGAGGGGAATCTGAGCACCTATGGATGTGTCCGGAGTGTTGTGAAGATAATCTAACTCATAACTTATAAATTTTTTTTTTATAGGGCCATTGACACACACTTTACTGTACCTCACACACACATTTTACTGTACTACACACACACACACACACACACATTTTATTGTCACACACACTTTTTATTGTACCACACACACACACATTTTACTGTACTACACACACACACACACATTTTATTGTACCACACACACATACACACATTTTATTGTACTACACACACACACATTTTACTGTACCACACACACACAAATTTTATTGTACCACACACACACACATTTTATTGTCACACACACATTTTATTGTACCACACACACACACACACATTTTACTGTACCACACACACACACACATTTTACTGTACCACACACACACATTTTATTGTACCACACACACACACATTTTATTGTACCACACACACACACATTTTATTGTACCACACACACACACACACATTTTATTGTCACACACACATTTTATCGTACCACACACACACACATTTTTTTGTACCACACACACACACATTTTATTGTACCACACACACACACATTTTACTGTACCACACAAATTTTATCGTACCACACACACACACACATTTTAATGTACTACACACACACACACATATCTCACTTGAGAAAGAGACAGGTGCCAACTGGGTTAGTCCAAGCTCCATCTTTCTTCTCTGCCGGTGGAGCAAAGCCGAAGGAGACCACAGCTCCACTCTCATCATGGGAGTCCCCAAATGATGCTACCTCCAGCTCCCAGTAGAATGATGGTGCCTGCAGCAAAGTGTTCAGCCATCGTTTAACAGAGGTCCAGAGTTCAAAAAAGGCTGGAGGGGTGGGGGGCATTCGACTGATTGGCATCTTTCCATCTTTTCAGATAAGTAAAGTAAAGGACCCTTTTCCACGTCTTCAGGTCTACTGGGCATACTAGGCTAGACCCATCCAGCATTATACCAGCCGTCTTTACTCATTCAAGGCTAAGTCAATCTTTTTTCAGATGACAGTATTATACTGTGCTATGAAACCATAGTAATGCAAAGATTGAACAGCCTTTAAATTAAAAGTCTATGGTTAAGCACCAGCAGGTAGATAAAAATTAGAATTTTGAGAGCATGCATCTTCCCTGTGGCTACATATGGATGTGAGTCGTGGACTATCTCTCAGTCCTTAAGAAAGAGAATAGGGGCTTTTGAGCTGAAATGCTATATAAAGATTCTCAGAATATCTTGGACAAAGAAGATGAGAAATATTGACATCTTAAAAGATCTGAACATCAAGGAAGATTGGCTAATAAACAGCATCCTGTCTCGGAAGCTGAAATATTTTGGTCATATCAAGCGCCACGACGGATTGGAAAAAATTATAGCAGAAGGCATGGTACCAGGAAGGAGGGGCAGGGGCCGACCGACATGAAGATGGGCACAGGATATATGTGACTCCTTGAGTGTGAAAGTGCATGAGGCGGGAGAACTGGGGAGAGACCGAGTTTCTTTCAGGCAGACTGTGATGAGAGCGACGTTCTGCAAAGGACCTGCTACATGATGATGATAAAACTTGAAATATTTATATTATTTCATATCACAAAGCCTGGGCAGAGTCCATGTGTTGCCCTTGCTTCATGATCTCTTCCTCAGTTTGTTTTGTTTACTCCTAAGGAAAGGTAATACAGATAAGTCTGATTACTAGTAACGAACTCAGGCCCATCTAGCTGACCTTTCACTGATGTTTCCTCAGGCTGGTCAGCGTTGCTCAAGGCTAGAGGGGTGTTGAAAATTCTCTCATGGGACCTAGGTTCAGTGTGCCGGGTGGGGGAGGGGTTGGAGTTAGGGCCAGCTGTACATGTTATGGGAGTCGTTAAAAGTGCTCACACTCTGTAATATAGAGCATGCGTAGTTGCTGGTAATAGTGTAGGCGCAATACAACGACACAGCAAGCTGACACCCCTGCCACTTAAACTTGCTCATCTCAAAGGTGAAGACACACGAATGAACGTCCAATCACAGTGTCCTGGCCTGACTTCATCACTCACAAGTGTTTACTGAGTGGAGCTGGCCCTGAGCTCATTACATGTTCCTAAGTCTGAAGTAAACCATGCCAGATAAGCATCAAGGAATAAGGGGTTCAAGTAAACTTGTTCCAATTTTGTATGCCAGCTTTGCTGTTAACTATTCACCAAAAATTACTACAACAAATAATGAGTTTGCATGCCTCTCCGTCTCACAGGGGTGCAGGGGTCTGTACATAACTACAAGATGTATGCTGGAAGAAGCACCAAAATAAGTTTGGAGAGCATTAAAATATTAGGAAATTGCTCAAACTTCAGCTATACAGATACTTATTTCTGGGAAACAATAATATAAGGTAGGAAGCAGTGTATTTTATGTAGATACACATCAGATCTTGGGCAGGTGGAAAATCAACAAGAGAAAAGAGTAAATCATATGATGACTGCATTAAGTTCCCAGTCCTGATGCCTCCACTATGTCTACATAAGTACTCAGCCTTGATGTCCTGTGTCTACACTAAGTACCAGTACCCAGCCTCGATGCCTCCACTATGTCTACATAAGTACTCAGCCTTGATGTCTCTACTATGTCTACATAAGTACTCAGCCTTGATGTCTCTACTATGTCTACATAAGTACTCAGCCTTGATGTCTCTACTATGTCTACATAAGTACTCAGCCTTGATGTCTCCACTATGTCTACATAAGTACTCAGCCTTGATGTCTCTACTATGTCTACATAAGTACTCAGCCTTGATGTCTCCACTATGTCTACATAAGTACTCAGCCTTGATATCCTGTGTCTACACTAAGTACCAGTACCCAGCCTCGATGTCTCCACTATGTCTACATAAGTACTCAGCCTTGATGTCCTGTGTCTACACTAAGTACCAGTACCCAGCCTCGATGTCTCCACTATGTCTACACTAAGTACCCAGCCTCGATGTCTCCACTATGTCTACACTGTACCCAGCCTCGATGTCTCCACTATGTCTACACTAAGTACCCAGCCTCGATGTCTCCACTGTGTCTACACTAAGTACTCAGCCTTGATGTCTCCACTACGTCTACACTAAGTACTCAGCCTTGATGTCCTGTGTCTACACTAAGTACCCAGCCTCGATGTCTCCACTGTGTCTACACTAAGTATCCAGCCTTGATGTCTCCACTATGTCTACACTAAGTACTCAGCCTTGATGTCCTGTGTCTACACTAAGTACCCAGCCTCGATGTCTCCACTGTGTCTACACTAAGTACCCAGCCTCGATGTCTCCACTGTGTCTACACTAAGTACCCAGCCTCGATGTCTCCACTGTGTCTACACTAAGTACCCAGCCTCGATGTCTCCACTATGTCTACATAAGTACTCAGCCTTTATGTCCTGTGTCTACACTAAGTACCCAGCCTCGATGTCTCCACTATGTCTACACTAAGTACCCAGCCTCGATGTCTCCACTATGTCTACACTAAGTACCCAGCCTCGATGTCTCCACTGTGTCTACACTAAGTACCCAGCTTTGATGTCTCCACTGTGTCTACACTAAGTACCCAGCTTTGATGTCTCCACTGTGTCTACACTAAGTACCCAGCTTTGATGTCTCCACTGTGTCTACACTAAGTACCCAGCCTCGATGTCTCCACTGTGTCTACACTAAGTACCCAGCCTCGATGTCTCCACTATGTCTACACTAAGTACTCAGCCTTGATGTCCTGTGTCTACACTAAGTACCCAGCCTCGATGTCTCCACTGTGTCTACACTAAGTACCCAGCGTCGATGTCTTTACTGTGTCTACACTAAGTACCCAGCCTCGATGTCTCCACTGTGTCTACACTAAGTACCCAGCCTCGATGTCTTTACTGTGTCTACACTAAGTACCCAACCTCAATGTCTCCACTGTGTCTACACTAAGTACCCAGCCTCGATGTCTCCACTGTGTCTACACTAAGTACCCAGCCTCGATGTCTCCACTGTGTCTACACTAAGTACCCAGCCTCGATGTCTTTACTGTGTCTACACTAAGTACCCAACCTCAATGTCTCCACTGTGTCTACACTAAGTACCCAGCCTCGATGTCTTTACTGTGTCTACACTAAGTACCCAGCCTCGATGTCTCCACTGTGTCTACACTAAGTACTCAGCTTTGATGTCCTGTGTCTACACTAAGTACCCAGCCTCGATGTCTTTACTGTGTCTACACTAAGTACCCAGCCTCGATGTCTCCATTGTGTCTACACTAAGTACCCAGCCTCGATGTCTCCACTGTGTCTACACTAAGTACCCAGCTTTGATGTCTCCACTGTGTCTACACTAAGTACCCAGCCTCGATGTCTCCACTGTGTCTACACTAAGTACCCAGCCTTGATGTCTCCACTGTGTCTACACTAAGTACCCAGCTTTGATGTCTCCACTGTGTCTACACTAAGTACCCAGCCTTGATGTCTCCACTGTGTCTACACTAAGTACTCAGCCTTGATGTCCTGTGTCTACACTAAGTACCCAGCCTTGATGTCTTTACTGTGTCTACACTAAGTACTCAGCCTCGATGTCTCCACTATGTCTACACTAAGTACTCAGCTTTGATGTCCTGTGTCTACACTAAGTACCCAGCCTCGATGTCTCCACTATGTCTACACTAAGTACTCAGCTTTGATGTCCTGTGTCTACACTAAGTACCCAGCCTCGATGTCTTTACTGTGTCTACACTAAGTACCCAGCCTCGATGTCTTTACTGTGTCTACACTAAGTACTCAGCCTCGATGTCTCCACTATGTCTACACTAAGTACTCAGCTTTTGATGTCCACTGGTCTACACTAAGTACCCAGCCTCGATGTCTCCACTATGTCTACACTAAGTACCCAACTTCAATGTCTCCACTGTGTCTACACTAAGTACCCAACCTCGATGTCTTTACTGTGTCTACACTAAGTACCCAGCCTCGATGTCTTTACTGTGTCTACACTAAGTACTCAACTTCAATGTCTCCACTGTGTCTACACTAAGTACCCAACTTCAATGTCTCCACTGTGTCTACACTAAGTACCCAGCTTTGATGTCTCCACTGTGTCTACACTAAGTACCCAACCTCAATGTCTCCACTGTGTCTACACTAAGTACCCAGTGGTCAATTTCTCCACTAGGTCTACACTAAGTACCCAACCTCAATGTCTCCACTGTGTCTACAGTAAATTTCCAATGGACATCCATTATCTTCATCATAATGACTATCTACACATGTGTTAAACGAAACAGGGACAGCATCACCTCTTTTGGAATTGGCTGGTTGGCGTAGACCATAGTTCCCCCTGGGCAGGCCCACTCCAGCGCTTGGGTCGCCTAGAAACATGACAGCTGTCATTCCATGAGAGAAGAGGCAAGCCCGAACAGGCGGGAAAGGGCGGGCCACATCCCACACCATCTCTTTGGACTGGACAGAAGACAAAACAAAGAACAGAGTGTGTGTTACATTCAATGAAATCTTAGCGAATCTTATCAGACAATCTTCCACAACAGCCTAAAATATATGCTTTGGTTATATTAGTATATACACTTCTTCTTCTTCTGTTTGTTTGTTGTTGTTTTTGTTCTTCTTCATTGTGTTGAGCTTTGTTATGTTCAGGATAGAGCAACATGTGAGCTGCCACTCTGTAAATTGTTACAGACACAGATGGATCTGCAAAGTGTTTGTATTTTATTACAAAGGTGAATGGACACTGTTTGAAAACAGAGAGCCTTGCATATAACGTCACAACATCCTGTATGAGAATGGAGGTGGAGGCAGTAACTGCAGTATAACGTACAAAGTATATGTAGCATGTAAGGGATCCTTTTCCCGCCAGTGTTGCATCTGGCATACGATTCTAGACTCATATCTTAATAGACCAATGGGCCTTGGATAGGCGATGTGATCAACATCATGAAGGCAGATTTTACTTCCCAAGACTTTACCCTGTACTCATTTTAGGGTGGGTTAATCTGGGAGCCAAAGTCTTTTTTGAAGAAATGTATTGCTGACCTGTGTAAAATTGTTGTTTAAAGGATGTTTTCACAGAATTCCCACAGGGCCATGACCCATATGTTTTAGCATTAGCGGAGTTAAAACAGGTATGGCAGACATGGGCACTCTGACATACAGATATTACTGGAAATGTTAACATTATGAACTGCCAACACAACCCTATGCAGCAACAAGTCAGTACAAGATGTAACTCCATGTAGAATGTCAAGTGCTATCCTGACTACACAAGAAGGCTGGACAAAACTTACCGGCCGAATGTCTGTACGACATGGTGGTGGTGGAGGCTTGGCACAGTCTCGGTAGAGCATGCGCAGTCTCTGGCAGTGAGACTCCACAACAAGCATTCTGCTTCCTGCAAACAATCCACATTGTGTGCATTGTATAAGTGTTGGGAATGTCAGGTACACGGCTCTCATGTGGCACATTCACACAGTCCAAGTGAGGGAGCAGTCAAACATTGCGGCCAAAAGATTTATCATGTAGCACAAAAGAGAAGAAAGGAAATCCTGGACACCAGCCCAAACACAAGGTAGTCAGCCATGTGTGTAGATATTTCTGTGCGTGTTCTTTCCTTCCCGATCACGTAGTGGGTCCTTTGAAAACATCGCTTCCGTCAAAGCACACCCTGAAAGAAACTCGGCCCCTTGCCAGCTCTTACTACACTTACACATTCCTACCCAAGGCTTTTCTTTAGTCCTGTACCCACCTTCATGCTGGTCAGTCCCTGCCCCCCTTGTACCTGGCAGCACAAGTAGCCCTCTGCTGCTGTTCTTGCCAACACATTGTGGGGCTTGATATTGCAAAAGTATTTCATTTTTTGAGACAAGATACTGTTTATTAACTGTCCTTGATAGTATTCACATATTACGAAAACAAATGAAATTAAATGAAATAATAAACGCCATACAAATCCTTCCTAACTTATTCATCCTCTCTGGAACAACTCGGCAACAATGTGTTGCCACAGTCAATAATTTAAAAAAAAAAACTTAAAAATAATTCTGGCTCCACCAGGAACTCAACCCATGACCTTAGGATTCGTAGGTGACTGTCTAGCCACTACACCACAGCAGCTCCTGCAACTCACCCCAGCTCCTGGAACTCACTCACCCCAGCTCCTGGAACTCACCCCAGCTCCTGGAACTCACCCCAGCTCCTGGAACTCACCCCAGCTCCTGAAACTCACCCCAGCTCCTGAAACTCACCCCAGCTCCTGGAACTCACCCCAGCTCCTGGAACTCACCCCAGCTCCTGAAACTCACCCCAGCTCCTGGAACTCACCCCCTAGGGGAAGTCACAATTAACTAATACACACACCTGTATGAGAATCCTTAGCCAGGGACTTGAGCATGTCTATAGAGTTGCCACAATACTGAATAAACCTCTTGGCAAACTCTATGTCCTGCAAGCACTGTGCTAGAACCATGGAGGTCCGGGTTCGAATCTCAGCCACCACTCTGCAGATCTGATTGGACATGGTGTTCCCATCTCCTGAGGAATGAAGTGGTTGAGTCAGCGGAGAGGTGGCCTCGTCTGACGGGAGAATGACCGCCTTCACTGCAGAAATCACTGTGTCTGCCATGTCTGATTGGTGTTTGAAGAACATCTGTGGGAGAGAGATGCAACATGTACAAACAGAAATACACTCTTGCAAGAAAACATCTGCTTATAGACATGGCATACTTGAAAATGCAGCTATATGGTTTAACCCTTTCATCCTTGAACACTAAAAAATGATTCACGAGCCCAATGGAATCCCCCCCCCCCCCCACACCCCCCCATCCCCAACCTAAAAAAAAAACATAAAAATTTTTTTTTTTTTTTACCACAGGTCATTCATACATTTGTTACAAATCTGTTTATCTGCATCTTATATATATATATATATATATATATATATATATATATATATATATATATATATATATATATATATATATATATATATATATATATATATATATATATATAATTATATATATATATATATATATATATTTATATATAATGGCAATTGAAGGGAGTTAGTTATGCATCCTTCACAGGATGTTGCAGAACCAACCCTAGCATTTTTTAGCTGTTGTAGTTTTTCTATGCAAATTTTAGGCACAGTAGTTTGCCACTGCTCTCTGAATGGTCAGCCCTCGGTACCACTGTCAAAACCAATGCAAGACAATTCATAGATAAGATCGAACCCGGCACACTGGCAATACAAAGCGTGTTCGCAATGCCGTAGATGCCGACATGAAGGCAGTAGTAATCAATAAAGATGAACAGAATTAAACATTAAATGGAATACACTCCCCAGGGTTTAAAAGACAAATGTATGGGGTGACATGCCAAAACTCCCAGTGACCTCCATCACTGAGGCTTACGGGAAAAATCTGATGTCAATGTGAACTTAAAAAAGCTATTTGGCTCAAAGTAAAGCTCACCTACATACTATTTTTAGGTAATATATTAATATCCTGACCTCCTACACATCTGCACAGGCGTGAAAAGAGCCATTACCTATGTGTCTCATAAACAGATTACTATTGACAGGTCGAGCGTGACATTTACGGGGCACTTAACACAACCGGAATGGACTGTTGTACGGCTTTTCAGGCGGGTACAATTTTTATGTTTGATTTTTATACTATTTCCTGATAAGCTATTAGGCTGACATTTTGCACAAACAGGTTTTGTGGACGACAATGAAATATAGTAAAAAAAAAAAGTATCCCCCCCCCCCCCCAAAAAAAAAATCGGGGGTGGCGGGGGGCTATAACATTTGATGTCCAGTGTTTTATATAGTCAGTGAACAACATATATTTTCGAAGCAAGATAATTTTATTACCATTAGAGTTATTCAGAGGTCTGACTTTGCACTGGGTTTTTATCCCATACAGCTCAGTCTCCTTCCTCAAAATGGCTAGCCAAATGCAGAGAACATTGCATAAAGCACAAACTCAATAGTTCCAGCAATTATCTCGTTATGCTTTTTAGCTGTCCATGCTATTCTCATTACACTTTTAATCTGTCCATGCTGTTCTCATTACACTTTTAATCTGTCCATGCTGTTCTCATTACACTTTTTAATCTATCCACGCTGTACTCATTACACTTTTTAATCTGTCCATGCTGTTCTCATTACACTTTGTATCTGTCCATGCTGTTCTCATTACACTTTGTATCTGTCCACGCTGTTCTCATTACACTTTGTATCTGTCCATGCTATTCTCATTACACTTTTTATCTGTCCACGCTGTTCTCATTACACTTTTTAATCTATCCACGCTGTACTCATTACACTTTTTAATCTGTCCACGCTGTTCTCATTACACTTTGTATCTGTCCACGCTGTTCTCATTACACTTTTTATCTGTCCATGCTGTTCTCATTACACTTTGTATCTGTCCATGCTGTTCTCATTACACTTTGTATCTGTCCACGCTGTTCTCATTACACTTTGTATCTGTCCACGCTGTTCTCATTACACTTTTTATCTGTCCATGCTATTCTCATTACCATTTTTATCTGTCCATGCTGTTATTACTTTTATCTGTCCATGCTGTTCTTGTTAGGCTTGTTATTATCCGCCCACACAGTTCTTATAATTCTTATATTTATTTAACCACAAACTAGTGGGGAAAATGTAATCACTGGAATACTGAATAATTTACTAGGAGAACACAAACATGAAAGAGGTGTCAGCATAATTTTGAACAGAAACAATTTAAAAAAAATGATTTATGAAAATTTCAGAACAAGTCCAGCTAGTGAGATTATATGGCATTCATTGCAGGAAAAAACAAAAGATATTGTGCACAGATTTCAGAGACTGAAAATGGAAGCCAATACTGACCTCATTCCTGACAGGGTGAACTCTTGCCATCGGTACTTTGACAGTGTCACTGTAGCTTGGTGATGGGACTCCACTGACGTCAGAGCTGTTGTCGTTGCTAAGCTGAACCGTCACAATGTCGTTTTGTTCCGACACCATGGTGACTGTGCCGTAGGTCCCATGGACACCCTCACCAGTTATCTGAGAGACAAGTAGGGGGGTGTCATGTAAGGGACATTATTAAGTTTGTTTATGTTTGTTATTTGTCAGGTACCATTTCTGTGTTTGATTTTCATACTATTTTCTGATAAGCTATTGGGGCTGATTTTCTGCACAAACAAGCTTTGTGGATGACAATGCAATATGGTAAAAATGTATTCCAAAATAAAAAATGTTAGTTACAACTTTTGATGTCTAATGTTTTATATAGCTAGTAAACAACACATTTTTTTTAAAAGCAAAATAATTGTTTTACATTTGGAGATAATTCATTAATTCACCATCAAAACACTATGTCCTGATAAGCTGTCGAGACAGATGTACAACCAGACAGTTACTGGTGCCATCGGAATTGGAACTCCTCGGCTGCTGCTGAAGATGTGGATGAGGGGCTTAAGGGATTGTCCCAATATTCAAGCTACTGCACTGATGACAATGCATTGTCATTCAAAAATAATATGAAAAAATAAAATGTACTCTTCATAATATGAGACACCACATAGGAAAGCTGTAGTAGCATAATGACCAGACATTCACCTCCCAGCCTTGGGTTCAAATCTGCATCAAGCTGGATTATTGTTTTCAAAACTGACCCTGGCTGTCAGGTCAACCCGGCCTTAAATGGGTTAACAGGTAAGGTCCTGGGAGGTCAAGGAGGCCGGTGTGATGTTGACCACATCACTCATCGAGCTCTGGTTGGTGCACATCATCCATCAAGAACCAACTGATTTAAGAGTAAAATATGGGGCTAGAATCACACACACAACAGGCATCACAGTACCAAAAGGGTCCTGAACTATCTGAGTCCTAGGGGGTTTAGCATCACAGTACCAAAAGGGTCCTTAACTATCTGAGTCCTAGGGGGTTTAGCATCACAGGCACAGGGGGTAGTAAAGAGAGTCATACAATCGGCGCATCATGCATTCACTGGGCTTCTAGGTAGGAACCTATGAACGTATGGTGCGTTCCTTAGGACTCAGCGAGTTAAATTCTAAGAACTCATGAAAGCATTTCTACATAAAACACCAAATTTCTGAAAACTTAAAGAAAAAATTTATTTACTTATTTCTATTTTTTAAAGTTTTCCTTTCCAGATTTGTGGTCTGTAGAATTAGGATCTCAAGGGTGAGAAGCAAACAGCTATGAACCCTGGAAACTCCTGTTCAACCTCACAGCCATACGGCATGATTTATACTGGGGCACCTCAAAACGGGTAGGAAGTAACCTGCAGCCCAGTGTTGGAGGGTTATACATATACAAAGTTTCTGAAACTCTTATTCTGCTTTTTATCTCCCAATGGAGCATAGGCCTTCAAGCAACCCAGGCAAGTCGTTCTATCCTTTGCTATCACATGCATCTCAACCCATCTTGTTAACTTCATTCTCTAGCTTCCCTTCTCCGTGTGTTCTTGGTTTACTTTTCCCTGTGGGTTCTAGCGTAAAGATATTTGAGTTATACTGTTCTCAGATTTTCTCAATTCGTGTCGTATCCAAAACAGCATCTTTTCTTTTGCTATCGCATGCATCTCATCCCATCTTGTTAACTCCAACTCTCTAGCTAGCTTTTCATACCAACAACAACAAAAAAATCACCACATTGGCAATTTAATAACACTTTACTACAGTAAATATTTTGTTGAACACATGACAAACCATATTCTCGCAGCACCAAGCAATATGTCTTAAAAATAATAGAAAGCAGGGATAGTCTTAAAACCACAATAAAAACTAAAGGACAAATATACACAGCATACATACAGGAATAAAAAAAGAACAGGAAAAATTTATAAAAACAGTAATAAGACAGACAAGGGTGAAATACAATTACAAACACTAAAAATGAAATTAGATGAAATAAAACAATATAAAAATAAAGGAGCCCCTATGGGTTCTAGCGTAAAAATATTTGAGTTATACTGTTCTCAGATTTTCTCAATATGTGTCGTATCCAAACCAGCATCTTTTCTTTACCTCTAGATTCACTGGAATTAGTATAGTTCTCTTCTAAAGCTCTACATTAGAGATTCTCTCATGCTATTGAATTCCCTACATTTTGCTCCTACATCAGTTAATGAATGTATATAGTTTATTGATAACTGATGTTTTAGCTGATCTCCATGTTTCCACTCTATTCAGCAGTACTGATATGACATTAGAACTATTTTAAGTTTAGTGACAGTTTTAATTTACTTCAATTTTCATAGCTTTTTTAAAACTACAAGGCAGCAACATGCATCAACAGACATGACCTTTTACCTTGACCTCACAGCCAGGTTTCAGAGTTTCCTGAAAACCTCCGAGGGCACAAAGTGCAGCATTTGCCAGTTTGGCTAAGGACATCAGTTGGTTATGTGATTGGTTGCGGGGAGACTTGGGTGTAGACAAACCATCCACTGAGCTCAGCAGCAGGGGCAGACCAGAAAGAGCATTGGCCAGGACCTGCAAAATATATCCAAACTATCACAAAACTGGACGCTAAAATGTGTCACTATCACAAAACTAGACAGTAAAATGTGTCACTATCCCAATATCGGACATTAAAATGTGTCACTATCACAAAACTAGACAGTAAAATGTGTCACTATCACAAAACTAGACATTAAAATGTGTCACTATCCCAATATCGGACATTAAAATGTGTCACTATCACAAAACTAGACAGTAAAATGTGTCACTATCACAAAACTGGACATTAAAATGTGTCACTACCACAAAACTGGACATTAAAATGTGTCACTATCACAAAACTAGACAGTAAAATGTGTCACTACCACAAAACTGGACATTAAAATGTGTCACTATCACAAAACTGGACAGTAAAATGTGTTAATATCACAAAACTGGACAGTAAAATGAGTTACTATCACTAAACTGGACATTAAAATGTTTCACTATCACAAAACTGGACAGTCAAATGTGTCTTTATCACAAAACTGTACAGTAAAATGTGTCAGTATCACAAAACTGGACAGTCAAATGTGTCTTTATCACAAACTGGACATTAAAATGTGTCACTATCACAAAACTGGACAGTAAAATGTGTCACTATCATAAAACTGGACAGTAAAATGTGTCACTATCACAAAACCAGACACTAAAATGTGTCACCATCAAACAGTTTTGATCATTGGTGTTTTATGATCATTTAAAATGTTTTCAAGAATAAACATGTGACAAGCCTTAGCAGCGTTTAGTGTTCAGTCAATCAATCAGATGCCATCTACACAATAAAGGTTGGTTGCAATGGATCTTCAACACACTCTGTCTCTTGTCTTGGTTGTAAACTCTCTCAGACTGCTGTTTGTACCTTTCTTTATGTTGTCCTCCTACTTGTATCATTGTCTTACCTCAAGAACAGACTCAGTGCCTTCCCAGCAAGCATGTCGTAGAAGTCGACTCAAGGGAAGTGGGGGGGGGGGGGGGGGGGGGGGGGGGGGGGTCCCTTTGAAGTTGGAATGCATTTGCTTGAGAGGCAAGGAACCAACAGTCTGCATATAAATAAGTCAGATCTGTCAAACGGATGTCCACACAACACTGGGGTTCTGGAACATGTCCAGAGATGGACAAACAACTAAAACTTTCCGCCGGCATGTACAGAAGATGAAGAGACATCGAGTCATGAAAGCATATGTCTTGGTGTCAGGTCCTGATTGTCACCAGCCAGTTAGTCTAGGTTCCAACTTCATTGCAGACAGGCCATAACTGCTCGGTTCCTGTGCCACTGGCAATCACACAAAAAGTCCTTCACTGTCCCGTATGAAAACCAGTGGAAAAACTTATCAGATGTGAAGCAGTCAGATGTGCCAACACTAGCAGTCCTACACAAGAATCGCAGCTCACTGTTGGCATAAATGGCTAGTCACAAAAACTGGCACTGTATCCGCAAAAGTACATGCCATTCGGAATTTTCTCGACCACCTGACATTTATTTTTAACTGACCAAATCATAACACAGAGACTGTGATGGTCAGTGTAATGATGACCCGATTTAACCTGTCCTAGAATCTAGACAGGACCATTTACTCTATATAAAAATGGAAATAGCAGCACATGCCCGATCGGTGACTGGCCTGAAAAGCATCCTTCACTTTACTGACCCCCAGAGTTAAAATGGTTGTACATGACACCCACACAGGGAGATCACAGGTCAAAGGCTGACACAAACCACACAGGGTGATCACAGGTCAAAGGCAGACACAAGCCACACAGGGAGATCGCAGGTCAAAGGCTGACACAAGCCATGCAGGGAGATCAGAGGTCAAAGGCTGACACAAGCCACAAAGGGAGATCACAGGTCAAAGCAGACACAAGCCACACAGGGTGATCAGAGGTCAAAGGCTGACACAAGCCACAAAGGGAGATCACAGGTCAAAGCTGACACAAACTACACAGGGAGATCGCAGGTCAAAGGCTGACACAAGCCACACAGGGAGATCACAGGTAAAAGGCTGACACAAGCCACAAAGGGAGATCACAGGTCAAAGCTGACACAAACCACACAGGGAAATCACAGGTCAAAGCAGACACAAGCCATGCAGGGAGATCACAGATCAAAGGCTGACACAAGCCACACAGGGAGATCACAGGTCAAAGGCTGACACAAGCCACACAGGGAGATCACAGGTCAAAGGCTGACACAAGCCACACAGGGAGATTACAGGTCAAAGCTGACACAAGCCACACAGGGAGATCACAGGTCAAAGCTGACATAAGCCACACAGGGAGATCGCAGGTCAAAGGCTGACACAAACCTCACAGGCAGATCACAGGTCAAATGTCAAAACAAACAATGCAAGATTATCCCAGGGCAAGGGTTGACACAAACTATACAGGAAGATCCCAAGTCAAAGGTCGATACAAAAGGACAAACACAACACATGTATTCACCCTCTGGACTGCCTGCGACCAGGTGTGAGCAGTTGAGCTTGTCTGTGAGGACAGCAGGTTGTGTAGCAGGGCAATCACCTCGGCCGCCATGGCGTTGGCAACATGGCCACTGATGAAAGCCCTGACAGGGTCCGTCCTACAACAAGAGTCAAACACCTGTACAATTCCAGGAGCTTTCAAAGACACAAGAATAACATTTCACAATGACTCCTCTGTTGTATGGTTATATGGCTGAAACGAATGAATGAATCCAGAATTGACATCACTGAAGCGGGACCTTCCCAGGCGTGCTCCGCCCTGTTCTCCAGTAGCCAACCAAGAGTCCACCCACTAATAGTAACAGCTGTAACCTGATTAAAAGCCCACCTATGTTTTCCCTTTGGCGTTAAATATCTACCAGAACCCCCCCCCCCCCCCCCGGCGTTTTTCTTTTCTTGATTGACAGTATTTTAAGAATCTTTCTGTAGTATCTTAGTTCAAAAGCTCCAATTTTTCTTCATTGAATGAGTCAGAGTATGACTTCCATAAGTTGCAAAAGGAAGATACATCTGAACTTTTTTACTGTAACATTTGCAGATGCTGTGCCATCCCTTATATGGTCATTGCACATAGGAGGGGTCTCCATGGCGAAGTGATCAAGCTGTTTACCTCGTTCTTTGAAGGTCCTGGGTTAATTTCACAGACTCATCATTCACTTTATGAGTGTAGTTTTTACATAGATCCCTGTAAATCGTCATGGGAACCACAGAATTCTTGCCTTTTGCAACGCTCTAGGCAGGTGGCTATCCATTCTGCTGACAGAGACCATATGGGTAAAACCCAGTGCAAGGAATCTGATCCACTTGAATGTACCTTTCTTAACCCTTTAAGTCCCATCGAAGGACAACCCTGGCGTAGCAGGTTAAGACAGTGGCCAGGGGATCGGAAGGTTCTGACGGATGTAGACTTTTTTCATAAATAACTATCGGCTCACAGGTCGACCCAGCCTTAAATGGATACCAGGTACATCCTGGGAAGTAAAGGTGGCTGGTGTGATACTGAAAACACCCACCGAGTGCTGACAGGTCAATAAAATATAGGTAGAGCCCTATATGCCCAATTCGCCTGGTGGCGTGGAAAAGGATCCTTTACTGTTCGGTTCCCATAAGATCTCATAGGAGATGCCTAAGTAGTACTTAGCCATAAGGAATAAAGCCTAAGTGCATTACTTTCAAAGAGGCAACATGTAACTTAGAACATAAAACATCCCATGTTGAATCTAAAAATAAAAGGTTAAATGTTCATAAAATCGTATCACATCGTGTGCTGTTCGGGACACAAGGGCATTAGCTGATTATGGACGCTTTGGCTAGGCTGAAAGAGTTTCATTGCAAAAACAAAAAAAAAAAAATGACCATTTTACCCCCCAAAAAATGAACATTAAAACCTAAATGATCACTGACCTGGCTAGCTCTGAATTTTTCTCCTTACAGATGACGTCAGCTGCTGTCTTCTTCTTGTCGGAGCCATTGTTGTTTTCTGAACTGTTAGTGTCACTGGGTGGCGCTGTGGAGATGACCAAACCCATCTGGGCCCACTTGTAGGCTTTCTTGAAGGCACTGACAGCATCTTCGGTAGTCAGCTCAGCCTTGCCATTCTAGATACAGGAGAGACAGGGGAAACAATCATTTCAACACAGACATTCTTGATACAGGGAACAAGTGGAATGGGGTGGTGTGGGGCAGGGTATTTACATAAACATTCTAGAGATAGGGGAACCAGGGAAAGCAATGTTCACATCAAGAACATTCCTGATACAGGAGCCAAGGAGGATGGGGCGGGGTGGGGATATTTACATAAAGATTCTAGACAGAGGGGAGAGAGGAGAAGCAATGTTCACGACATGGACATTTTTGAAACAGGGAAACCAGGAAGACATATATACATGAACATTTTACATACAAAGAACGGAGGGAATGGGAGTGTGGGGTGTATTTACATGAACATTCAAGATATAACTTGTTTGCAAGGACATTCTTGATATAGTAAAAGCAGTGTTTATATGTATTTTCTCGATAAAGGGAAAGCAGTGTTAATATTATATTCTTGATACAGAGAAAACAGTGTTTACATGGAAATTATGAACATAAGAGAACCAAGGAAAAAGCAGTGTTCACATAGACATTCTGGATATAAGGGAACCAGGGGAAAACAGTGTTTACATGAACATTCTGGATATAAGGAAACTAGGGAAAAAGTGTTGGCATGAACATTCTGGATATAAGGGAACCAGGGAAAAACAGTGTTTACATGAACAGGGGTTAATGTTTACATGGACATTCATGATACAGAGGAACGGGGAGGGAGGGGGGGTGTGGAAGGGGGTGGGATGTTTATATGGACTTTCTAATGCTGGGGGAATAACGTATATATGGACTTTCCAGACACAAGGAGACAGGAAAGAAAAAATGTTTATAAGGACTTTCTAGTTAAAGTGAAATAAGGGGGGACAATATTTATATGGGATCTTCCCCACAAGATCTCACCGCCAGACAGAAATCTGTTACCATAGTTCCAGTTCAAACTGACACATTACCTTGGCAAATGCCCAAACCTCTCTACCACCAACATGACAAGGAAATCTGTTACCATAGTTCCAGTTCAAAGTGACACCTTACCTTGGCAAATGCCCAAACCTCTCTACCACCAACATGACAAGGAAATCTGTTACCATAGTTCCAGTTCAAACTGACACATTACCTTGGCAAATGCCCAAACCTCTCTACCACCAACATGACAAGGAAATCTGTTACCATAGTTCCAGTTCAAAGTGACACCTTTATCTTGGCAAATGCCCAAACCTCTCTACCATCCCCACAACAAAGAAATCTGTTACCATAGTTCCAGTTCAAAGTGACACCTTACCTTGGCAAAGGCCCAAACCTCTCCACCACAGAAAAATATGTGACCAATTCAGCTGACTTCTTACCTTGGCAAGCTCCCTGTCTAGACGCATCACCTTGTCGATGTTGGCATTTCCCATCAAACGGAACGGCCGATTCTCACAGCTGTTCAACAGAACAAACAAAAATATAACACCCTTCTGCTCATTTACAGCTAAAGACACAGGCAGAATGTGTCAATAAACAAATGCTCTCATGTAACTACCCTGTTTCCCCACACAAAAAAGTCCTCACCTAATTATTCATGATATTTGTTAATACAAGCCCTAACTCAAATATAACTAGTTGAAATTGTAAGCTAGACGGACACATTTTGTTCATCTGTTGAAACACACAATGGATTTGCTATAACTAGTTAAAATTAAAATCGTAATTTTTTTTTTTTAAGTATCCAGAAACCATGAGTTGTAAATTGTAAACCCTTTGGCTCGGTACCATGGATATCGCAACCCTTCGGCCTTGATTCCATTATAGGTACCGTAAATCTGGGAGAAATGTGGCTTTGGACAAGAGTAAACGCACATGTATAAGTACCACAAACTTGTTGACACTTGCTCAGTAAACTGATTTCACTGCAAGTGTCTATTCTCTCTGTAAAATTTTGGGCTTCAAAAAATGTATATTTTTTACATGTGAATAAATTTATAAATTTTTGTATTTTAATAATGTAGATTTTTTGTACATGCCAAGACAACTGTCACGGAAATCACTTCCATTCAGATCTGTGCATTTAAACAAAGAAAAAAGAGTTGTGTACCCGCATCTGCCATTGTGAAACAGGTAGTCACGTTTGGGTAACTAATTTTACATTTCAGTTAGAAGGATTTCCTTCAATATATTAAATTGTTACCGTAGTATGCATCTGGCGAGATGAGGTGAAACTGTTCCCTTGACTGTTTTTGTCATCTTTATTTCATGGTGATTTGGCTACATTACATGTTGATGGGGATTGTTTAATGTTGAATTTTGAATTAAGAATCAACATCGCAGTACTCAGGACACTCCCATAAGTGCTGTCCCCATCTTCAGCAGCAAAGAGTCTCAATTCCGATGGTACCAGTAACCATCTGAGTGTATATCTGTGCAATGTGCTTTGCTAGTGGTATGTTTTGGTAAGCCACATTGCTATCTGATGAACAGTAAGTTGTTATGACACAGCAGAGACGAATGTTCAGTTACATGCTTTTATTCACTGAATCACAACATATCATAGGCACGAATTCTCTCGTCCTTGTGTTCGTTCTGCTTGGCTGATTTCCAACGGCCTGGTCAATCTTCTCACACACTACTTTGATCCACTAGCGTCTTTCGAATCGCACATCCATCCTCTAGCAAAACCTTGTACTTGGTATTAGGACATGTAGGAAATATTCATATCTGCTCTCGAAACATAACAAGTATTCACAATTCCTTCATTCTCCTCATGCGTCCATTCATACGACCTCCCGCAACCAGGTCCGAACTTCACAGTCTTACTCCCGTCTCTAGGTTCACGTCTTCTGTTCCTATCCCATGCTTTTCTCGTATCCCTTATTTAACTCACCACGGGATATTCGAGACCCACTTATCTCATTTTTCTCTTGTATCACTGGTCCTCTGACCTTGTCCTTCCTATCGGGAACTCTCTGGGATGTCCCCGGGAATTCACAACATTACAATCTGTCTCATCCTTCACCTGAGTGTTGAGCATCAGTCAGACCCCCTGGTAACTCCTCACAGCGCCATTCTCCTTAGAAAGTGATGATCCATCTGCATGTCTGCACTGTTCACTCGCTCCCAAAGGGCCTGCTGATGGGGAAGAAGAAATTCAATGAAATCACAAAACCAACCCTATATTTCCACAGACACAAACCTCAGTAATGGCTGGATAATGTCATGTGACATCTGGTCCTCCCGTTTGTGGACAAGAACCGAGAGTTTTCCTCTCTGGATGTCGCTGTCTTCCAGCTTGTCTGACTCACCAGGTTTTGTGGACCGTCCTGGGACAGAAGACTCTTGTGACGGGGATCGACTGGACAGAAGCACCTGGTCTCCTGTTTCAAGGAGACATTACTAAAAAGAGTCAGCACATTAAAAAGTCAGTCAGTCATTCCCACCAACATCGTGTTTTCAATGTCAACAACAGCCGAAAACAAAAATTCTTTTTTCTTTTTCATATTCACCAGCTGTAAACCCTGGCAGAAAGTTCTGGCTGTTTGGCAGTGTGAGACAAAGAAATGTTGAACCTCAAGATTTAGAGCCATGTGGCTAGTGCTGTTGCCACGGACTGTGCAGGGTAGGCTTTTTTTCTCTTTCTTTCCCACATGGCTTCCGTGGTATAGCGGCCAGATGCTCACCTGCGGATCGGAAGGTTGTGGGTTCATGTCCTGGCAGAGCCAAAAATGATCCTGGCTCCCAGGTCGACCCAGCCTTGACTGGGTACCAGGTTTATTCCTGGGAAGTAAAGGCGGCTGACATGATGTTGACCACATCATCCATCGAGTGCCAACTGATCTATATAAATAGGTCTAGCCCTATATGCCCAATACACCTGAAGACGTGGACAAGGATCCTTTACTTAACTGGTCAATACCACTGTGTATACTACCACTCTGAAATTAACGCATTCCCAATTCGTTACCACTGTTATCTCTTCATTTTAGAATCTCCTGTAAAACAGGTAAAGTTGTGGAAGTGAAACAATTGTCATGGCATTATGGTGCAGATCACAACTGTTTAGAAACTCCATACGCTGTGGCTTCCTTTCCTATGATGAGCTCATTGCCCTTTGGGAACGGGTAAACAGTGGGGAGGTGGAGATAGATCATTACGGTCTAAGGAGAATGGCGTTGCAAGGAGTTACCAGGGGATCTGGCCAATGCTCAACACTCAAGGGAAGGATGAGAAGGATTCACAATCAGATGGTTATTGATACCATCCGAATTGGAACTCTTCGCTTGCTGCTGAAGATGGGGACTGAGTACTTATGGGAGTGTCCCGAGTGCTGTGATGTTGATTCTTGATTCAACATTTGATGAGCTCCTCTAAACTGACACTCTTGAACATCTATTTTCCTTCCTCACTTTCTAGACTAAACATTTCTAGCCCTTCTTCTTCAAGCTTTGTTACAACAATTATTTCATCCCAAATCCCCATCTACTTCACTGGAAGGTGATTATGTAGAATGCTGACAGGCAACATGCTCAGAATTTTCAAGCATTCCATAAAGCTTATTTATTTAGTCTCCCCTACCGCTCTCCCAGCCCCTCTTTTGATAAATGCATCATCATCATCAAGTGCTTTGCCGACAGGCATGGGTGATCATGCCTTTCTACAATCTGTGATCTACAACTGTGTCAGTTCAGATTGCATGAACTGGGAGTAAAGCTTGGTGAAGCAAGTATGTAGGTCATCTTTGAGGTCAATATGGGATTGAACCCAGCATCCGGGCATTACGAAGCGTTCGCACTGACTTAGCCTCAGAGCCGACATCACTAAATATAACCACACACAAAATATAAAATCATCTTCGCATTCATCAGCCGTTAACTCTGGCCAAAAGTTCTGGTTGTTTGTCTACTTCAGGACTTTTAAGTCTTGCTCTAGAACGTGAGTTTTGCGTGCACATCCATTTTACAGATGTGGTTTATTTGTAAGCAGACTGTAGGTTCCTCACCTCTCAAGTAGATGCACACTGACTTTGAATGAAACACCCATAATTAGCTAACTTTTACAACATACTTTTTAGAGGGGCGGTGGGTCTAACTTTTTAGAGGGGCGGTGGGTCTAACTTTTTAGAGAGGCGGTGGGTCTAACTTTTTAGAGGGGCGGTGGGTCTAACTTTTTAGAGGGGCGGTGGGTCTAACTTTTTAGAGGGGCGGTGGGTCTAATGTTTTCCCTTCCACAGCAGGGTCCCGGGAAAAAATGAGAAAGATAACATGGGTCAGGCCTACCTGGCACCAGGAAATCACCAAGTTTAGCCAGCAGCAAACAGATGATCTTGGCCGGCGGGTCGGACACTGGCTGTGCTGAGCTCCAGTGGCTGGAGTAGAGCTGCTGACCCCAGGCCGGCAACTCCACCTCCTCACAGTCGACAGTGTTCATCAGGGGCAGAGAGACCCTGCACAGCTGCAGGATGATCAGCACCAACAGGGAGATAAGCACTTCTTCATATATATCTAATTATATATATATATCTCAACTATATATATATATATAGATATTATATATATATCATATTATGTTATTTGATTTTTCAAGCTTTAAAATAATGCTGTGCCTCTCACCACGAAATGTCAAAAGTGGGCGGGATGTGTGGGGGGGGGGGGGGGCATCTTTTAAAAATGTCATCACAGCACCAGGATTTTGTGCTTAGTTTCTATCCTGTTAGTGACTGTTCATACTGTTTAATTCCTTTCTCTATTCTGCACAACCACCAATTAATGAACGTTTGTAGTTTATAAGTAACTGTTGGGGGAGGGGGGGTTTGCGGAGTCTCGAGGCATGGTGTCTGCCTCGAGTGCTAGAGGTTCTGGGTTCAATCCCCTGTAAAAGGTAGGATTTTTTTCACATGGACTTGGACTTGTAGTAATTCCCTCTGGGTAGTGAGATCGGATGCCTGTGTGCATTGTTGCACACTTAACAAATCCCTTCTTAGCTGAAAATCGAAAAGAGTAGCCCGGGCAAAATTTGGACTTTAAAATCTACCCAAAAGTACTTCAGGATCCTGGCCTGTGCTACATAGCTTGTGCACTGTGCTGGACTTCTTTGGACTCAGACTTGAGTTAGAAGAAAAATGGAGCATGTATGAGTTATTACCCATGTACCACATGTATGAGTTACTACCCATGTGCCACATGTATGAGTTACTACCCATGTGCCACATGTATGAGTTACTACCCATGTGCCACATGTATGAGTTACTACCCATGTGCCATGATGTTAATCCGTTGTTCAAGCTATAGGTAACTGTTTTCATTGATGTCTCTGTTTCTGCTTCAGAAACCATAACCAGAAGCAAATTATATTACAAGGCTTAAACAGTCAGCCTGTCTATCTGCCATAATGGACAAAAACAGGTCAAAACAATTCTTCAGTTAGTACAATAAAACAAAGAAAGGCCAGCAACAAGCTGTGACTCACCTCTGATCCAGCAAAAGACTTAACAGTTTTGACACACAGGCTGGCTGGCTCAAAATTGCTTTACCCATCTTGCTTCTGTAATGAGGGGAAACACAAAAAAAGAAAACGGTCAAGTTTATTCTTTCTTTTTTTTTTTTTTTTAAACAGAAATGCTGTCAGATAAAACTTTCTATTTTGGTGGTCAGCAGGCTGCAGGGTTAACTCTGTAGTCTTCTTCTTCTTCTTCTTTTTTTCCGTTTTGTATGCTCTGATCAGACCATCAAGTAGGTTGCCTCTATCAACTCACATGTCAGCTGCAGGTCCTTCATAGTTTTTTACAGCTTGCTCTGCACAATTTGCTCTTAAGGCCAGGTGTCTTTTCAAAGTTTAGAAGGTAGAATGGGCATATCTGAAGAATGTGCTCAGGTGTTTGTGGTAGTGTCTGACAGGCCCACTGTGTGGACTGTACACTCTTTATTTTATGCATGTGGTACTTGAGCCTGCAGTGTCCTGCTGTATGTATCTTTCTGTTGAGTCTGCTGATGGCGTTGTGTGCATGTTTACTGTTGGTTTGTTCTCTCCACAATTCCTTGTATTTTTCCTTGATTTCTGGTAATGACAATGAATGGGTGTGTTGCCTTTTCTGTGGACAACTTCTGCGACAACTGAGTGACTGATTACTGTAGGTACAGTTTCCTGGTTTTGGTACAATTGTTGTCAGAAAGAATTCAGTTCCTGAAGTCATAATTCTGCAGAAAATAATTTAATGACAGTGATAGTCTACGACTCACATACCTTAAGTGAAGTAGCTACAGGGAAGACATCTGCCCCCAAAATTAGGACAAACCACTTGCCAAGCATAAAAAAGAAATGACAATGCCTAAGCCTCACCTTGACAGATTGTTGAGAAGACTGAGCACTTCCTGCAGGGCCTCAGTGCCAGCCATGGCATTGCCAATGCCCTCTGTAGCCCGGGCCAGGTGGTGAGTCAGCAACATGGATACTTGCTTGGCAAGACCAGAATGTTCTAGTTCCTCCACATGCGAGCCTGTTCACAGATGATTGAAACAACAGAATGGCTATGAGGAATATCTATTACAGAAATCTATGTGGAAAGTGGCATTCGGGAATTCCAGACTTTTCCCTTGAACCACACATGTCCTGCACACAGGTCTGTGGCATGAGACATACAGTACGACTATATGAAAAAAGCTAAATGACATAATGTTACGATCATGTTAGATGATAAAACCAATAGAAAAATGAAATGATGTAACTCCATGATACAATCGAAATGACATAATTCTAACATAAAACAAAACTGATGTAACTCTATAATAAAATCTAAATGATGTAACTCCATGATAAAACTGAACTGACATATATCTAAGATAAAGACTAGTTGACAAAGCTATATGATAAAACTTAAATTACATAAATACATGATAAAACCTAAATGACCTAAATCTATGTTAAAACTAAAATGATACAACTATAAGATTAAAGTCAGATGAAACTCTATGAAGAAAGATATATATAAAACTATATATCAGAGCTATTAAACTGGCAGCCTGTGGCCGAATCTGCCCACAAAGGTCTAGAAAATTGCCTGCGATTCATTGTCAATTGTTTTCTTTAAAAGATCTTTGCACGCTTGGGCTCAGGCCTCTAGCCAGTGACGATCCTCAATTTCAAAATTGTTGCCGCTAGTCAAACACAGCAGAACAGCTCTGCTCTATACGAAAGAGGAATGTCAGATCAATGATTAAAGTCAACTCTATGATAAAAACTGGTACTAACTGTCATCATTCTCCCACTTGACACATTGAGAAGCTAGCACCTGGAAGCCAGCCCAAGCTAGAGCAGACACCTTCTGCCTGGGGGTCTGAGTTTCCATGCCCAGCCCGTCAGCTCGGTGGTTGCCCAGGCTACAGAGTTTGTCCAGAAGGTGCACCAACCCTGACCTCACCAGGCATTTCTCCTCGGCCCTGGGCAGCAACAATACAGAAACAACATCAATCATGCAAATCTAACATTCATACATTTTTGCCTTTTCATCGTTCCCCAGCTGTAAACTCCGACAGAAAGTTTGTGTTGTTCGCCTACAATTGGACTTGACACTGCACTTAAGTTTTACGAGCACATCCATTCTGGCTTACCTGTATACAGACTGCTGGTTCCTTTCCTCTCAGGTATATGCACTCTGACTTTGAAGTAAACACCCCTAATTAGTCACCTCCTATGATATGCTTGTTAGAGTGGTAGTAGGTCTATTCTTTGTTTTCAAACTGGAGCCCCACAACCCACACAGGGATGGAGCCACAGAACCCACACAGGGGTGGAGCCCCATAACCCACACATGGATGGGACCAGAACCCACACAGGGGTGGAGCCCCAGAACCCACACAGGGGTGGAGCCCCAGAACCCACACAGGGGTGGAGCCCCAGAACCCACACAGGGGTGGAGCCCCAGAACCCATACAGGGATGGAGCCCCACAACCCACACAGGGATGGGGCCAGAACCCACACAGGGATGGAGCCACAGAACCCACACAGGGGTGGAGCCCCAGAACCCACACAGGGGTGGAGCCCCAGAACCCACACAGGGGTGGAGCCCCAGAACCCACACAGGGGTGGAGCCCCAGAACCCACACAGGGGTGGAGCCCCAGAACCCACACAGGGGTGGAGCCCCAGAACCCACACAGGGGTGGAGCCCCAGAACCCACACAGGGGTGGAGCCCCAGAACCCACACAGGGATGGGGCCAGAACCCACACAGGGATGGAGCCACAGAACCCACACAGGGGTGGAGCCCCAGAACCCACACAGGGGTGGAGCCCCAGAACCCACACAGGGGTGGAGCCCCAGAACCCATACAGGGGTGGAGCCCCAGAACCCACACAGGGATGGGGCCAGAACCCACACAGGGATGGGGAACCAGAACCCACACAGGGATGGGGAACCAGAACCCACACAGGGGAACCCACACATGGATGGGGAACCAGAACCCACACAGGGATGGGGAACCAGAACCCACACAGGGATGGGGAACCAGAACCCACACAGGGATAGGGAACCAGAACCCACACAGGGGAACCCACACAAGGATGGGGAACCAGAACCCACACAGGGGAACCCACACAAGGATGGGGAACCAGAACCCACACAGGAATGGAGAACCAGAACCCACACATGGATGGGAAACCAGAACCCACACAGGAATGGAGAACCAGAACCCACACATGGATGGGAAACCAGAACCCACAGGGATGGGGAACCAGAACCCACACATGGATGGGAAACCAGAACCCACAGGGATGGGGAACCAGAACCCACACATGGATGGGAAACCAGAACCCACAGGGATGGGGAACCAGAACCCACACAGCGAACATTTACAAATAAAAACACTTCTAAAGAACTCTCAGGCAGAGGCACTCTGACTTTAAAGGAAACCCATAATTAGTCGACTTTATGACTGCTTGTTAGGGGAAGGCAGATGGTCTATCCCCCCCCCCCCTCTCCCCACAACAGGATACAGGAAAATACATAGGGAGGACAATGCTAGCAACAACTGCCATTACTCCTTGTATTTACCACTTCTGGCATAAAGACGGGGTGTGGGCCTTTGACCTTGAGGATTTAAGGCCGCTTGGCTAGTGTTGTCACCATAGATTGTGCAGGTTAGGATTTTATTTTTGCCACAACAACAACAACAACAATAATAAACTTAGAGGATTTGAACCACATAAGAGCTCTGCCATTTGCAACAATGCTACTGACCCAGTGAAAATTAGCAAGCGCATTTACATACGGACAACACACACAAAGCTTCCACAACATCCAGCTTGAGAATGAAGGTTGAGGCAGTCACTGCAATTTTCCGCTGGTTAGAGAATACCACACACACACATCATGATTGTAATTGACTCAGAAAGCATGCTGAGGAAGGTGAGGACAGGCATTCTTCAGAGGTCACAGGTGAGCAGCACTGTCTGGATCTTTTCTTTGGGGTGTGCTGGTGTGTTCAGAAATGAACCCGCGGACAGACTGGCTGGTTGTGCACAACTTGGTGGAATACTGATGCATGATAGGGCAGATGTTGTTAGGCCCTTGTGGGAGAATGTTCAATTCAGAGGAGCAAATGGATCACCATAGTCTGGTGAGAGTGATGCAGTAGGAAGTGACTAGGGGATCTGGCCTATACACAGCGCTTAGAGAATAGGTCAGATGGGCGTATAATCAGAGTGCTACTGGCACCAAAGGTATTAGAACTCTGCGAGGCTGCTGAAGATGGGGATGGATCGCTTATAGGAATACCCCAAGTGCTGTGATGTAGGTTCTTGAATCAACTCAACGCTACTGACCTAATATATATTATTAACACACATACACAATACTTGTGCGCAGGCACACAGATACCCACCTGGTGTAAGGAATGGTACACAAGAGACCTACGCTACCAGCACTGGCTATGGGATGGTGAGCTGCCAACTGGACCACAGAGCTCATGGCTTCAGCAAAGGCTTCCCTGACTTCATTCACCATGCCTCCACACAGGAGATCATCCACTCTGAAAGAGAACCAATATACATGTTTATGTTTCTCCAACAAAATCTGTTGCCATGTTTCAACATAACCTGCTGAGGTGACCAACTCTTTTCCTTCTCACCCGTACTGTCCAATTTCTAAACTAATACACAAATTCTCAGTACTAATGCTGCATGACTAGAAATAAACAGATAGGGAACTCTTGAAGCTACAGAAAAAGTACATCTAATAAGCAAATAGAAATACACTGATGGGCACTCATAGAAAGAAGCAGAAAGATAAAAGGGCACACTTGACAACATGAAAATGGAAAGCTAAAGTTTTCCACGCCTTCAGGCATATTGGGCATATAGGGCTAGACCTATATTTTATAGATCAGTCAACACACAGTGGGTGGTTTGTGGTCAGCATCACATTAGCCGCTTTTATTTCCCAGAACTTTACCTGGTACACATTCAAGTGTGGATCGACCTGGGAGCCAAGTTTTTTTTTTTTTTTTTTTTTTTTAAGTCCGGCTCCACCAGGACCCAAACATACAAGCTTTGGATCCACAGGCGAGTGTCTAGCCACTACACCATGGCTGCTTCCTGAAGTTACCATGCTGGGAATCTTCTTCTGCTTCTTTCGTTCGCCTGAAATAAGTTGTCTACATCAGCAATTTTGTCTCTTGTATAAATATGCTGGGAATAAAACCTGTCAACTCCAAATGACAAAAGCACATTGCTGCATGAACAAGTGTACTAAGACACATGACCAGTTATGTAGCTTGTGTGTCCCCCATCTTTCAACTTCTTTCTATGAATGCCAATCTTTATATTTGCAATCTATTTGCTTATTATATACACATTTACAGCTGCAAGAAATATGAGCTCTGGAGTCAAGACTTTACCAGCTGTGGGACATCAGAGACTAAGCTTGGCAGGTAATGCCACACCAGATGTATCAATAGAGAGAGAGAGGCGCAGAGAGAGAGAGAGAGAGAGAGAGAGAGAGAGAGAGAGAGAGAGAGAGAGAGAGACAGACAGAGAGAGAGAGAGACAGACAGACAGACAGACAGACAGACAGACAGACAGACAGACAGACAGACAGACAGACAGACAGACAGACAGACAGACAAAGAGGCAGAGACAGAGAAAGAGATAGAGGCACAGAGAGAGAAGATGACTGGAAGAATCTGAGGGCAGTGCCCATTCACAACAGGCAAAGAACTAGTTTCTGTGACCACCTTCTATTCTCAGACAGATTAGGCTCTCAACTTTTCTTTTGCTGATGAAACTCATACCAGTTAACTCTTTTAGTACCAAGGAACTGACCATACGTTCACTTGTTACACTATATATGGTACACTTTTCTAGACTTTTCCTATGCCATCCCAGTCATATGTTAACCCATTATTTTCCAATTGTTATTACAACACCTTCTCTCACAAAAACTGTATTTTTCAGCTCTTTGTGTCGAAGAAATTGTTGATATAGGATACAACTTAAGCATAGGCACTGTTGAATTTAACACTATCTGGAACTGAAAGAGTTAACACACATATGGCAACAATCAGATCTATTCACACACACAATATGAAGACAAAGCTCCTACTTGGGTCCATAACGCAGCACAGAAGCAACAGCCGCCACCAGATGGGTGGCTCCCCCTACGCGGGATGCGGCAGCCAAGAGGTCCTTGATGTGGTCCAGGGCAGTGTTGCGAATGGCCCCACGCTTGCTCCTCTCTTCAGCTGCTTTCAGAAACTGTACACACGAGACCTGCACCCAAGGAGAAGGAAAAAACTTTGGGATCTAATGAAATTAACATTCTCTTTCTAAGAGTAAATGCTGTATTTGTTAGTAGTCATGTCTGTCCATAACCTTCTGTCTAATGTACTTTCAATCAACTCTGACACAGATGATCTTGGATGCCATGATGTCAAACTGGTCAGCATCCTATCTCTTGGTCTCCCTCTGCCTCTTTTCCCCTCTAACTTTCCCACCATCATGGTGTACTCCAGTTTTCTCCTTTTCATAACATGACCAAATAATTCTGATATAAGCAATTAGTTCTCTCTGTGAGTCAGTTTCAAAAGATCTTCATTACTCTTGTTATCTGTCCAGGCTGTTCTCATTATTCTTCTATAATAACATATCTCTGCTGCTTTCACATAATTTTTCATTAACTGGCCAACTGTCCATGATTCACTTCCGTATAGTGGAATAGAACTGAGAATTATCTTTCTCATCCCAACTGTCAGAGAGATTGCACTGAATATTCTTGATTCTGTGAAATTCTGCCTTTGCTTAAACACAGGAAATAGTAAATCTGAATCTTGTGTAATGATTCACATCCGTGTAGAATGGCTCATGCTGGGAGGGATACAGTTTTCAGCTGTACATGAGGTCTAACAGAAACAAAGCAATATCTCAAAACATTCATAAACTAAGCATCTCTTCTTTTCATTCTTAAGTGTTGGCCCTTAAAAGGGTGGCTGGTAAACTGTGCTGTGGTCTACAGCTAGGCTGCGATATCTGCTGTCAGACCAAGAAATCCTACTTCAGCGAACCCTTAACTCTTGGAATCCCAGGGGATTTAGCATCAGAGGCCCAAAGGGTGGTAATGCAATTTTAATTTTTTTTTAAATTTTACAAGTATAACACATTAAAAAATACTATAGGAATTCAGCTGCCATGTAACACACACATATTATACATCATATTATAACAAATAAACTGCGTAAGAAGTTAAATATTGGTAAATAAACAGACAGTAAGTTTGCAGAAATTAATAAAATGAAAATGTTTTCACTTGCCACCATGGCGCTCAAGGAAAACTCATTAAAATATTTCCAGAATAAATCATAAATGAAATTACTTTAATTACTTTTTTTTTTTTTAACTGATCCTCTAAAACTTTTAAATGCAGAGGTTCATAATATTTAACCTTTTTTGCCCTGCAAACACCCGGTAACTTATCAACCCCCCCCCCCTTTCCTTCCCCCATAATTTAAGAATGCATTTTACATTGGTTAAATATGTTTTATTTATCTACATTTTGAAATAAATTTTCTTTTTGGGGGGTGGGGGTTGATATGCAAATGGAATCATCAATAAACCTAAATGGATTGCAGCATTAGATGAAATACATTCCCTTTGACTTCAAAAAAAAAATATCAGTGATCCAGTAACCTTTTACCACAGGGTTAACAAAAGCTATTACAATCAAAAAAGAAACAGAAGCATTAGACATAAACATGATGTGAAAGTCAGGGAGACATACAGACAGAGAGACTCAGTTCATTACTCCTTGTTTTGGCAAGTAGCTGATTAATGATGCTGATGTGTGAGAGAGGGAGAGAGACACATACATACACACACACACCCACCCCCCCCCACACCCACCAACCTGCCCGCCCCGCCGCCCGCCCGGGCGCGCGGCAGCGCGCATGTGCATGCATGCACCCACACACACAGAGAGAGACTAACTATCAACTTACGGCTTTCTCTGGATCACTGCCAATGAAAGCAAACAACTGATCAATGACCACGATGTGCGGTGGCTTATCCTGGTCTCCGTCATCGACCAGGTCCTGCAGGATGGAGGCAGTAAACTTCTGCTTGTCTCCATGTCTCCACCTGGACAATGAGTAAGAAATCAATCTGTGTCATTCTGCCTGTCTGTTTCCATTCCTCTGTTCAGGTCCACCCTGAGCTTTGTTTACTTCAACTCTCTCTATCCTAGGTGGTAGGCCTTAATCTAATCAACACTGAGGTCTGACTCAATTCAGAAGAGACACTATAGAACAGAAGTACCTACACCACCTAGCAATTTGTTACCTGCCCCTGAGGTGGGGTAGCTTACTGTATAATCTGGCCCTTGAGTTAAAGAAACAGCAGAACAAATAACCAGCTTGAATAGACACATTTAGGAATATACAGAAGAGCTTCAGTGGCGAGTGTGTCTGGGCCAAATTGGTCTAGCAACAGATTGTAATCTTATATTGTCCTTTAGGATATTATCTGGTATGAATTTTAGCCTAGGTAACAGAAAAACAACACAGGTTACAATTTAAAAAAAAAAATTTACCTCTGATATTTGAAGGTCAAAGACTGGTCTGGGTCAATGCCAACAGGTGCAGACATGCTGCGGCTGAAAGCTTGGATGGGATGGGAGACATCAGTGTCAGATCTCACCATCAGATCTTCTGAAACACCGAGAGCCACTTCTCTTCAAATGTGTGTTATGAAGTTGCATCAATTAAACCAAACACACACTCACACACACAACACACATACACACACACACAACAACAACAATGAAAAATCAACATCATCATTGTAATTGTCATTATCATCATTATCACCATTATCATCATTATCATCATTATCATCATTATCATCATCATCATCATTATCCTGTTGTACCATTACATGTCACCTAGCGCTCACAGTCTGCTCCTCCATTCCATCATGTCCAGTACTCTCCATAATACACAAAAATACCAGTCATGCACCACTGGCTTCTCTCATCAATGTTCTTATAAGGATTTCTCTTGGATGTCCTCACTTCTAAAATTATTTTTTAAAATCTGTTTCTAGTGCTTTTTTTTTAAGCTAGAGTCCGCACGTCTGGCAACCCCTCGGGAATTAATTGGAATCATCCTAATGCCACCTTGTAGAAAACTGGGAATACAAACAAAGGATGGAGCACAAATTGGTTTTACACTGTATACATGAAATACAGGACATATACCACCTCTCAAAAAGACATCAAGGCATTCAGAATGCTGCAAGAAGCCTACCACCACATGCTCGCTTTAAAGCTCCAGAACTCCGAATAAAATACATAGACAAAAGAAACCAAACAGTCCGACCCAATCGCCCTTATAAGCTCATCGCTGAAGACAATTGATTCCTACCCTGAAGAATGGATACGTTTATACTGATGGATCTGCAGTCAAAGCTACCACTAAAGCAGGTTACGGAATCTACATAGGTTATCCTGATGGATCTATTAGAGAGATTTCTGATGCATGCTGGGAAATTCTGCTCACACCTACAGACAGCAAAAGCACTTATAATGTAACAGGGAGATGTCATCACTTGTTTGTTAGGAGGTAGGTTATTGTGCAGAGTTAGGATGTACTGGAATCAACAAGTTTTGATAATCTTGACGTTCTCTTTTCTAAAACAATCCTTTGTTTTTAACAGGGAAATATTTTGCAAATTAATAATCTATAAATAGTATTTGACGTCACTGTTGACGTGCCCTTTCAGAGAGAAAGTAGTAGTACTTGGTTTCTAAAAGCTCTATGTCGTCAGCTGTCAATCTAATAAGTATATTTAGGTGCAAAATAAGATGATGAAATCTGATGCAATTGAGATAAAATTAGAAAATCCCACATAAGAACATGCATAGTAAACAAGTTGAGCACACAAGAATATTCTAAAAGCAGAAAAAGTGAGAAGAAAACAAATAACTAGCATTCCAGCATCCAAGTATAAATAATGAGTGAGAAACCACTTTGGTATTAACCTTCAGTCTACAAGACTTGGAAAGGGGAGGGACTAGTAATATGGACCCTCAAAGAAAGCCTTCAGTTATAGAGATGTCAGCCCAACACTAGAAGCCTTCACAGCGTTGAGACTCAAAGAGCACTTTCAGTTGTAGAGAGGCCAACTCAACATTAGAAGGAGAGGAGTCAGTCTCACATGGAGCTTCAAAAACAGATGCTGGAGAGGAGACATGAAACAAGACATTAAGTTACAAAGACAACACTCAAGATACATGGATCCATGGTTAACAGAGACAAATCAGATAGAAACACTATTAAGATCCTAGAATTGACAATCAAGCCGTTAGTGCCAGACAGCACTAGAAGCCAGGTGGCAGTTGCAGACACTTGAACAAAGTAACTAGAGATGAAGAACACAACACGAACCTACAAGTATTTAGCCAAAAAAAGAACTCAGCGCTATTCAGAATATCATTGATGATGTTTGTGATATTGCTGAAGTATCACAATAAAGACAGTATAGACAAGAACAGTTGTTTCCAGCCATTTTATTATACAAGCATCAGAGTCACGTGAGAAGCATGCAGAAAGCAGGACATCATCATCATCATCGCCACTATTGACACGACCATCTTTCACCTGTCTATACCCTTTGAAATTGACTCCTCCTGTAGCAAAACCTAAAGACAAACCTGGGTGTGACATCAATGTATGCAAAGAACACAGCTGTGCTACAATAAGAGCTATAAATAAAGAGAATTGGCTGAACAGATGGGCCATGGGAGATACTGGAAGAGAGGTTTACAGACACATGGTTAGCCCTGATCTCAACAACAGCATAAACCACCAAACACGGAGGGACCAGGCCATCATTTGAGACTCAACAACATATTCCACTCAATGGACATCTAAACAGAATACAGAAACAACACTCCCCAGAGTGCCAGCTATGTAACTAACCATACGACGCTGTTGACCATCATTTCTTTGAATGTCAAAAACTCAGCGAGACTAGAAGAATGCTACTCCCTCCGAAACCAGACAAGTGGAACACCTTGTACAGAGTAAAAGAACAGCTTGTGAAAACATGTAAATTCCACTATATATCCCTGTGTCAAAGGGTGAAAGCTACTGCGCAGCTGGATCGCTAACAACAACAACAATTAGCAGCCATTATAAATGATGAGTAATCGAGGGTAACAGCACCCTTTGAAAACATGTAAAATTTAACCAATTAAGCACTTGCTGAAATTGGAGATGTTGGACTGAAAAGAGCAGATACTACAGCCTAGCTGAAACCTCGACAAAGCAGGTTAACTGTCCTTTGAAGGGTAAATGAAGCAGAAGAAAGTCCTGCTAGAAATTGCTGTCTCAGTGACATAAAAGTTCCAAATAAGACTCCGTGCGGCTCTGCAATCACAGCTTAGTGAAATGGTTTAACCATGCAATCTACAACACTTGCCAGGCTTTGATTCCTGTAGTGGGTGATTTGGCTTTCTGACAGTGGTATGAGAGTTGTACTGTGGAAGAAATTGGGGCCTCATCAGATAATGTTCCCATAGTAAGCAGTGAATATATTGCAGCCTACCTCCATTGTGGAGACGGCACAATTTAAAAAACAGAAAACAAGACTGACCTTTGAAGCCCTGAGTGTGAGACATGGTGCGGGTCAAGGCCGACTGAGCATCCACAGGGATGCTGTTGACATGCAGCAGAAGCTCCAGCCGGGTCAGAATACCACTGACAACATGCTTTGTCTTGCTCAGGCTTCTCTCTTCTGTGATCTTTCTCCCTGCCTTGTACGCCTGGACGTCAGTTTCAAACTTCTCCCTGTGTACATAGGACACTTGGTGTCAGTTAAACTGTACATGGGACACTTAGTGTCATTTAAAACTGTACATGGGACACTTGGTGTCAGTTAAACTGTACATGGGACACTTGGTGTCAGTTAAACTGTACATGGGACACTTGGTGTCAGTTAAACTTACATGGGACACTTGGTGTCAGTTAAACTTACATGGGACACTAGGTGTCAGTTAAACTGTACATGGGACACTTGGTGTCAGTTAAACTGTACATGGGACACTTGGTGTCAGTTAAACTGTACATGGGACACTTGGTGTCAGTTAAACTTACATGGGACACTTGGTGTCAGTTAAACTGTACATGGGACACTTGGTGTCAGTTAAACTGTACATGGGACACTTGGTGTCAGTTAAACTTACATGGGACACTTAGTGTCAGTTAAACTGTACATGGGACACTTGGTGTCAGTTAAACTGTACATGGGACACTTGGTGTCAGTTAAACTGTACATGGGACACTTGGTGTCAGTTAAACTGTACATGGGACACTAGGTGTCAGTTAAACTGTACATGGGACACTTGGTGTCAGTAAAATGGTAATGGGCTCTTTAAGCCAGTTTCATCTGGGCATATAATGCATGATAGACTCATATTTTCCTAGACAAACTGGCAACACTCAATGGGTGATGTAGTCAACATCACTCCAGAAATCTTGATTTCCCTGGACATTACCTGATACCCCTTTAGGGTGGGTCGAACTGGGTGCTAAGGTAATCTTCTTCTTTTTCTTCTTCTTCTCTAGTATGTTCTGCCTTTCAGTGTCAGGTTTCGAAGAGGCATCAGCTGTGAGCCTTGGTATGTGCTACATAGATGCTGTTTTTTACGGCCTTGTATATTTCATCTATCCATCGCTTGCATGGCCCATCTCTAGGTCTACTTTCATTGAGTCTAAGTGACAGGGCTCTTTGTGGTGCAATAGCTGATGGCAGTCTTAGCATAACAACCAAACCATCTGATCTGTTGTCTCTTGATGTAGTTCAGTACTGGGTCCATCACAACTTGATTTCTGATACTGTCAATTCTGATTCCGCCTCTTCTAATTACATTTAGGATTTGTTGAAGACATTTCATTTTTGCTGCTTCGATTTTTCTTTTTTTTAACCCTGTGACTGTGTTAATGGCCAATGTCAATTTAAAAAGAAATAAACCAGACTATGTGGATTTGTACACAAGACTTTCGGGTCAGTAGGCGAGCATTTAGCCACTATGCCACAGTGCGGCTTCTAGAATTTAGTGTACTCACATTTTGCTGTACAAGGGTAGCAAACAAAATAACTGCGGAGGTGGAATTTGCATTTTTTTGGACACTTCACAGTAATGGAAAACTGGAGTCAACCCTGTGACAATGAGAAAGCTGGAGGGGCAAAAAGCCAAAGGGTGACCAAAAGAGAAGACATTGGACTATCTGGCATCATGGCAGGAACAAACATCTGTCAGAAATGACAAGCGGTGCAGGGAATGGAAAGCTATGGGCCACAATAATACAATGACAATACCATCTCTACAAACACACACCTGACATACACCACCACACACAAAAACAGACAGGTGTCTCAATACTCACAGCAGGTGTTTTGTGCTGGCCTCCAGGTCACTGGGCTCCACCACCACATCTTTCAGGAATGCCAAGATGGCCAGCTCCTTATGTCGGTGCTGTGTGTGAGATAACAAATCTGGTCATGTGAAACTCTACCACCACACAACTTATGTTTTTTGCTTCTTTCTATGCTTTCCCTTCCAGATTTGCAGTCTGCAGGAATAACTTCTCAAGGATGATTATAATATAATAATAAGAATTCTTTAGCTGAAGCATGGACAGCAGGAGTCTACCGATCTTCAGTAACTATCCCCCTTTCAACAATTGTTTCGGTCTGAGTATTCCCTAGACAATCCTGAGTGTGTGTGTGTGTGTGTATATGTGTGTGTGTGGGGGGGGGGGGGGGGGGGGGGGACCTGGATCATTACTCAAAAGCCCCAAACTTCTCTTGCTGCGCCGGTCGGACATTCAAACATGTTATGGTGATTTGCAACAGGTATTGGGGTGTTAGTGATATACATCAAATAGGTAAAATGCCCAAAATACAATTCAAGGTTGTATATATAGCACAATTATACTGGGGCACAACACAGCTATGAAGTAAACTGTAGTCCAGCGTGTGTTATACTGGGGCACCACAACACAGTTATGAAGTAAACTGTAGTCCAGCGTGTGTTATACTCATGTGTACAAAACGGAACATATTTCATTCTCACCCCCGTTGGTCCTAGAGCAATGGTGGAGGGGGGAGGGGGTGGGATATGTCCACTGCCCTCCTCCAAACAAGTATGTTATAATAGGGTGACATATTAGGGGTCAATGATTTCAGAGAACATCAAAGAATTTAAATGGTTTGGTCTTCTGGTCAGGATGAATCAAAATCAGCCAGCAGCTAGAGCGTTCTACATGAGAACAACAGGCCAAAAGGCAAGAGGCTGACCAGGAAAGAGATGAGTGGAGGGAGTAAATAAACACAATAGAACACAAGCTACGCAACCAGCAAACGACAGGAAACCACATCTAATGACTGTTTGTGACGTTTTGTGACATACGTGGTAGGACAAAAGAAGGAGAATCATTAGTAGTTTGCTGAAAGTCGATGTGTTGGGCCGAAACGCGCAGATATTACAGCCTAGCTGTAAACTACAACACAACATGTGAACCACCCTTTGAAAGGTGAACACAAAAGAAGAAGAAATATTTAAATCAAATTCTAGAGTTTTAATTCATGATTAATTACTGCTCCTCATAACGATCTTTAAAAGCACGGGGAAATGAGGAACACAAACCCTAGGAGAAATAGTAATGAAAGAGGCCAAAGCTGCTGGACCGGATTTTAGAAATGATACTGAAACAACTACACAAAATAGAACAGAATGGAAGATTAAACTCTAAGCTATGAGTTGGGTTATCTTCACAGCACTCCGAAAAAACATGAGGATGTCATATACATGGAAAAATATAGTTATCTGTTTGCCAGTGAGCTACGTTCTGTGGATCCCTCTAATTGTTCAAAGGTCTGCCATGTTACCCATAGTTCTTAATAGTCACATGAAGAAATGATTATCATTCAGAAGCATCAGAATCGCACAAAGGAGTGCATCCTCTTCTTCTTCTTGGGGTTCACCACCTGTCAACTTTGATGGAAAGTTCTGGTGGTTTGTCCACTTCTGGATTTTAGTCTTATTTCAGAACTTGAGTCTTGCATGCACATCCTTTTTTACGTGTATGCAGACTGTTGGTTCTTCGCCTCTCAGGTAGAACCCCTTCAAGGGGAAATCCCCTAATTAGTCACCTTTTATGACATGCACATAAAGGAGGCAGCGGGACTGTTCATTCCCCCCCCCCCCCCCACCCCACAATAGGGTCCTGGAACCCACACAGACATGCAAAATGGTGCGGGGGGGTTGCGTTCGTGTGTGTGTGTGTTTGTGTGTGTGTGTGTGGGGGGGGGGGTGTAAATGATACTGTGTTTAAAAAAAGAGGAAAAAAATTTGTTTTTAACGCAGGACCCTATTTCCATGCCTTCAAGTGTTTTGGCATAGAGGATGACCTATATTTTATAGACTAATCGGCACACACTGGCCATCTTTGCTTCCTAGGACAGTACTTGGTACCAAATCAAGGCTTGATCAACCTGAGAGTCAGGGTCATTTTCAAAAATAAAAATCTAGTTCCGCCAGGACTTAACCAGCGACCAATCAACCTGCAGGCCAATGTCTAATTGCTACGCCACAGAGGCTCTCAAATGATAACAAGGACTTCTTAAAACTGTTTCAGAAAAGCCTGGTTTCCAAGGACCATCAAATAGGAAAGATTGCTTAAGAGAAAACTCACCGTCTATTTTGTGACCCTTTAAACAAGAAAATTTTATTTTCCGCGCTCCTACTCTCCTTTTTTCTATGTCTTCTTCTCCCTCCACTTTCTCATCTTCTCTTCCCACTCTCTCCGTTGCCTGAAGATGATATCAAAAAGCTCAGAGCATAAACTCCGCATCTCTGGTCACGATAGGAACTCTGAGCTTGCTGCTGAAGATGGGGACAGAGCGCTTACAGGAATGTCCCGAGTGCTTGGATGTTGATTCTTAATTCAACATTCAAAATTTTACAAATGAAGTTTGTTCATTTCTTCACTTGAGGAGAAACAACTCAAGCTCACAAGACAACGAGCATACCTCTTGAAGATGGTAGTCATGGAAGAAAGGAGGTCCCACAGATGATGCTCTGGCAGTCTCATTGTCTGAGTTCACGGATACATCCACCAATCCATGCTCCTCCACCTCAGTCTCCCAGCGTTTCTCCAGCTCTCCCATTATCTGAGGACAGAGGTTGATCATCTCGCTATATATATGTGTCTATAATTATATATATATATATGTATGTATATAAACACCTTTATTTATCTATATATATATATATATATATATATATATATATATATATATATATATATACACCTTTATTTATATATATTTATATATATGCATATACATATATACACACACACACACACATATGAGTTAGTGGTTCAATACGTCAAGATCTTGAAACCCAGGCTTTACGAACTTGAGTGGATCAATCAGTTACGATGGTTTGGACATGTGTGCAAAATGGAAGAGAATCGGCCATCCTGGCACGCATGGGAGGTCAAGAACCAGGGAACCAGACTTCCAGGTCGATTCAGGGTTTGCTGCGAATATAACAGACGAGAGTCCCTGACTCACAGAGGACTGCAATGGAACAAAGCCAAAAAGAAAACTGTTGATAGCAAAATCTGGTGATGCTCCTTTCTTGTCCTTATAAGTTACACTGAGTGTCTCTGTTGTCTCAACTGTCCACCTGTCTTGTCTTTATAAGTTACATTGAGTGTCTCTGTTGTCTCAACTGTCCACCTGTCTTGTCTTTATAAGTTACACTGAGTGTCTCTGTTGTCTCAACTGTCCACATGTCTTTTCGTTATAAGTTACACTGAGTGTCTCTGTTGTCTCAACTGTCCACCTGTCTTGTCTTTATAAGTTACACTAAGTGTCTCTGTTGTCTGGACTGTCCACCTGTCTTGTCTTTATAAGTTACACTCAGTGTCTCTGTTGTCTCGACTGTCCACCTGTCTTGTCTTTATAGTTAAAACTGAGCGTCTTTCAATGTCTTGACTCATTATCTATCTTGTTTTCTTAGTTACACTGACTGACCGTGATGACTCAACTGTCCATCTATATTGTTTTTATAGTTAAAACTGAGTGTCAGTGTTGTCTTGATAGACCACCCAGTCTGTCCTCATTGTAAAAACTGAGTGTCTCTGTTGTCTTGATAGACCACCTAGTTTGTCATAGTTAAAACTGAGTGTCTTTGTTGTTTTGATAGACCACCTAGTTTGTCATAGTTAAAACTGAGTGTATTTGTTGTCTTGATAGACCACCTAGTTTGTCATAGTTAAAACTGAGTGTCTTTGTTGTCTTGATAGACCACCCAGTCTGTCCTCACAGTTAAAACTGAGCGTCTGTTATCTTTGTTGACCACCTTGTCTATCCTCAGATGCGAGTGAGAGAGAGAGAGAGAGCAAGAAAGAGAAAGAGAGTATCCTACAACGGTCAATGCATGTGTGATTTGCTTCAGTGACCCCAGCAACTTGTGTGACCCAGTGCGCAAAGAAGCTAACAACATACCTGAAGTTGTCGAACCAACACCTCAAATCTGCGGTAGCTTTCCTCTAAAACTGCCATCAGTGCTGCCAGGGCCTGGCCTTGCTTCTCCACCACATTCCTCAGGTCTCTCAGGGTGTCGGTCAGCCCCAGGTGTTTGGCTACTGCAGATATGATGCTCTCTTCAAGTGTTTCCACCTGCAGGCTGGGCCTGAGCACATGTTGATATGTTAAAGTTCACATTATAACAAGTTATCTGTGTGTCCTTTAATAGACTATAGCAGATATGATGCTCTCTTTAAGTGTTTCCACCTGCAGGCTGGGCCTAAAGATATGTTGATATGTTAAAGTTCACATTACAAAAACTCAAGTGTCTGTCCTTTACAGGATACTGCACAACTATCCCCAGCACGTTTTGGCTTTTTGTGATTTTTCTAGGCAATTTTACATTCAACAGTTTGCCGCTTCCTGAACAGTAAGTTCTCGACACCATTGTTAAACCCAGTACAAAGCAGTCTGCTGCCAAATTGCAAGATGTTTATATCATAAATAAAAAAGACTGGCTTGAGAATATTTTGGTGCATTTAATTTACCAACAAATAGACTCAGACTGTGTGATATCTTTGTAAAGCTAATGTGACATATAAAGCTGCTTAGTGTGTGATATGTTTGAAGCCTAATCTGACACATAAAGATGCCAAGTGTGTGATATTTTTATAAGTCTACTCTGACAAAAAAATACTTGGATGGGGAACAGTACTGCAGTTAAAAGGTTAAATGAGGGAGCATTGATGTTTGGGGAGGTGGGCAGCGCACGCGCCCGCCCTGCTCTTTTGTTCTATCGTTTATGCCGTAAAGCGTTGCAGCAAAATTAGATGTAGTTTTCTGTGTTTTGCTAGTCACGTAGCTTGTGTATGCAGTGTCTCTTTTACTCCCTCTATCCTTTTCTTTTCTTGTTGGGCCTCTTGTCTTCTAGCCTGCTGCTCTCATGTAGTACGCACCTGCTGCTGGCTGATTTGTGTTCCATTCTGTCCCGATGACCAACCCATTCTAATCTTTGATGTTCTATGAAATCATTTACTGGTACTGTGCCTGCCATGGTCCTTGATTCCTTGTTGTTGACAATATAGGCTGTTAGCTGTCCATCACTGCCCAGAAGACAAACTATAACTAAACAATCCAGTCCCTGAGCAACTGACCTGATGGATGCTCTCAGCTTGACTGGCTGCCGTTTGACGAGTGCCCTCACTCGTTCCATGATGTCAGCTGACAGTCTGATACGAGGCAGTCGAGAGCTGACAACGGCACCTGGCTCTCCTTCCTCGGCACTCTTGGAACTCACAGGTGCAGGAGACATCAGTTTTCTTGTTTGGCTGGTTGCTTCTTTTGATTTATCTTGTATGTCAGTGCAGCGTTCAGTTTTCCACACACACCTAGAGACAAACACATCAGGTACTTGTATTTATTTAGAGAAAAAACATAGGATTAAATTACTTGTTTCTAGAGAAATTTCCCCAAGCAATTCTATGGCCCCCTTTTCGGCTCCCAGTCTTCTTCTGCCTTTCTAACCCCTTTCTATAAGCCCTCAACCAACACGCCAAGTTGTTCTATACTTCGCTATCGCATGCAGCTCTCACCTTTAGTATTAATATCAATTTCTTTTGACCTCCACGAATTCCCTAGTTCTATGAAAGCTCCTCTTGCTTTTTGTATGTGTATTTTAATATGTCTATCAGTTCCCCCTCTTTATCTACATTACTGCCCAAATAGGTGTACTACTATATATCTTGGAGTGGGATACCATTGAGGGAAACCACATTACTATTTGTCTGAATTATTCTCATTATCTTTGTCTTTCCCTTATGGATTTTCAGACCCAGTTGTTGTGATCTCACATCAGGTATATTCAATTTATCCGTGAGTAGGACAAAAGTGAAATATCAGCAAAGTTCCAAGTCCACAGCCTTCCTAAAAAGCATGTTGTACAAGGCGACTGCCGAACCTGAGAGGCAAGGAAATAACAGTCTGCCTACAAATAAGCAACTTATGTGTACACAAAACTCAAGTTCTGGAGTAAGACCAAAGTCCAGAAATGGTCAAACAACCAGAACTTTCCATCAGAGTTAACAGCCGGTCAAAGCTAAGAAGAAGAAGGGAACATATATGGAACATAAGTTTTCATGCTACAAACTGATAGCAAAGAAGGATTGATGAAACTGATTATTGTCAATTAACAAGACAGCACTTACATAATGACTAAAAGATCCACTACTACACAAGGAATACTGAATTATTGGATAGACTAATTTACAACACCTGAATTATAGGACAGACTTATTTACACACTAATTTACAACACCAATACTGACTCCTTACATCAAACCTGCACAAAGTATGACATAAGAATAAACAACGAGAAAACTGAGGTAATGAGGATAGGCAGGAAACATAATATCATGAACGCTCATGTTTGAGGTATTACAATCAAAGAAATATGAGAGTATAAATATCTCATCATCATTATCATGTGCCCTGCCAACTGGCGTAGGCGCTTATGCGTATCCACAGATTACAGCAGAACATCTGGGAGGAAGGCGAGAGGAAGACAAAGAAAGAGAAGGATACATGGTGTAGCAGAAAGCTGCATACAAATGAACAAAATCTATCGCCCAAGTCACCCGAAAAACAAAGACAAAAGAGCAAAACCACGACACTGGGCTACAACCTGGTATCAGTGAGACGATCCCCCAAAAAAAGGGGGCGAGAAGAATATCGCAAGGAAAAAAATTACTGCCGAAGTTAAAAGTTACAGTGAAAGTAAAGAAGCCTTGTTACATCAGCTTGTGCATCAGGCGTACAACCCTTGTCTCATATTTTTTTGTCCGTGGGTAATATGACCACCATTGTGCCAGCTACCTCAACTTCCCAGGACTTGACCTAGTACCCATTTTAGGCTGTATCGAAATAGCAGCAAATGTCATTATTTTTCAAGGAATAAATCTGACTCAATGCATAGTTGAACCCAAGACATTCTGGATGGTGGCAAATGCCTAGTCGTTACAACAATGCAGTTCCCAAAATGGACAAGAGAACAGTGAAAGTATGTTGTTGTGAGCAGCTGACAGGCTTCCCAGATGACAGTGCTATACTGTGCTAGGAGCAGGCATGGGACTCACAACCCATGGCCCACGGCGAACCTGACTAGCAAGACCCACCAGATATGTTGAGAAAATGCTTCTGCAATGAGAGTATGGGATTTCAGGACCACTGATGCCATCACATGTATTCTGGTGTGCTTCTTCTCAGATGCTTAGCTCTCAACCTTTTTGCAATCACTGGTTTGCTCTTCATTCTCATTCCCCTCCTGACTTGGTTCCTTCAAACCAAATAGTCTATTGCACTTTCCCGCCCCAGGAGTCTAGCTCAATACTTGTATCAGTTATGTTCCGCTTGTGGCACATTTTTGTACTGTAGAAGAAGCCTGCCTCAAAATATTCTAAACAAATTCTGAAACTACGGATAAATGAAATCATACAGACACAATAGCTGACCTCTGTAGGATCTTGGAGCGCAGCAGATGTTGGCAGTCAATCTCATCCTGGGTGGGGGGAGGGCCATGGTAGAGGAGGGCCAGTTGTGTGCACACCAGAACTGACAGTCCCAGGGCCAGGTCAGACAGGAATGGCAGGCCTGGGGTCACCTCTTCCGCTGATTCCTACACATTAAACAACACAGTTCAACTTCCCAGTCTCTCCCCAAGTCTCTCTCTCTCTCTCTCTATTTCTCTCTCTCTCTGTATATGTGAGGGATGAGTGTGCAATGTGCTTATTGTGAATGCAGTGTATATGTGGTGTGTGTGCAGTTTGTGGTGTGTGCACAGTTTGTGGTGTGTATTTGATATGTGTATGTATGCATGTGGTGTGTATTTGTGATATGTGTCATGTAACATGTGTGTATGTGTGCATGTGTGTGCAATGTGTGTGTGTATGTGTTGTGTGTGTGTATGTATGTATGTATGTGTTGTGTTATATGTGTGTGGTGTGTATGCAGTGTGTGCACAGTGTCTGGTATGTGTGATATTTGTGGTGTGATTAACACGGGTGTGTTGTGTGTATGTGTGTGCACGTGTGTGCTTGTGCTGTATTGGCAACATCCAGAAAACACAATCTGTCGTAGGGAAAGGTGGTGAGGCTATAACAACTGCCCCACAACAGTAAAGTCAAGGACACATTTCAGACCTTTGTCCCATTGGACATTTAGTGCTAGCCCTAGATGTTTCAATTACTGACTTGGGGATTTACGAATCAACATCATAGCACATGGGACATCACCCAGGGATACTCCAGCTCCCGCAGCAAATGTCTCAAGGTGTAGATGCTATAGCACATGGGACATCACCCAGGGATACTCCAGCTCCCGCAGCAAATGTCTCAAGGTGTAGATGCTATATAGCACATGGGACATCACCCAGGGATACTCCAGCTCCCGCAGCAAATGTCTCAAGGTGTAGATGCTATAGCACATGGGACATCACCCAGGGATACTCCAGCTCCCGCAGCAAATGTCTCAAGGTGTAGATGCTATAGCACATGGGACATCACCCAGGGATACTCCAGCTCCCGCAGCAAATGTCTCAAGGTGTAGATGCTATAGCACATGGGACATCACCCAGGGATACTCCAGCTCCCGCAGCAAATGTCTCAAGGTGTAGATGCTATAGCACATAGGACATCCCCCAGGGATACTCCAGCTCCCGCAGCAAATGTCTCAAGGTGTAGATGCTATAGCACATGGGACATCACCCAGGGATACTCCAGCTCCCGCAGCAAATGTCTCAAGGTGTAGATGCTATAGCACATGGCACATCACCCAGGGATACTCCAGCTCCCGCAGCAAATGTCTCAAGGTGTAGATGCTATAGCACATGGGACATCACCCAGGGATACTCCAGCTCCCGCAGCAAATGCCTTAATATGTAGATGCTATAGCACATGGGACATCACCCAGGGATACTCCAGCTCCCGCAGTAAATGTCTCAAGGTGTAGATGCTATAGCACATGGGACATCACCCAGGGATATTCCAGCTCCTGCAGCAAATGTCTCAAGGTGTAGATGCTATAGCACATGGGACATCACCCAGGGATACTCCAGCTCCCGCAGCAAATGTCTCAAGGTGTAGATGCTATAGCACATGGGACATCACCCAGGGATACTCCAGCTCCCGCAGCAAATGTCTCAAGGTGTAGATGCTATAGCACATGGGACATCACCCAGGGATACTCCAGCTCCCGCAGCAAATGTCTCAAGGTGTAGATGCTATAGCACATGGGACATCACCCAGGGATACTCCAGCTCCCGCAGCAAATGTCTCAAGGTGTAGATGCTATAGCACATGGGACATCACCCAGGGATACTCCAGCTCCCGCAGCAAATGTCTCAAGGTGTAGATGCTAACTGTTCTCATAGCACTGATAATATGCCCATCCTAGGCAGGTCTACTCCTAAGTCTTTGTTCACACATTCTTACACAAAGTCTCCCTTGTGCAGTACAAGTGTTCCCCTAGCTATCGCTTGTGTATTTTGTTTATACCAGGCAGCACTGGATGTGTTGGGTAGTCATCATCATGCTGCCTGCCTTGACTTCCTAAGACAACATCTAGTATCTATTTTAGACTGGATAAATGAAGGAACTCTCGGCCGAGCATGCTTGACATGCTCTATGTGTGGTTGGTGTGACATGTGTGCTACATGTGTGTTTGGTCTGCTATATGCATGGGCGGTGTGCTATGTGCGTGAGGTGTGCTACATGTGTTGTTTGTGTGCTGTTTGGCGGTGTGCTATGTGCGGGTGGTGTGCTACACGTGTTGTTTGTATGCTGTCTGGTGGTGTGCTATATGTGTGGGTTGTGTGCTACATGCATTGTTTGTGTGCTATGTTGGTGGTGTGATATTTATGTGGGTGGTGTGCTATATGTGTTGTTTGTGTGCTATGTTTAGTGGTATGCTACATGTGTTGTTTGTTTGCTATGTTTGGTGGTGTGCTATTTGTGTGGGTGGTGTGCTACATGTGTTGTTTGTGTGCTTTGTTTGGTGGTGTGCTATTAGTGTGGGTGGTGTGCTATATGTGTGGGTGGTGTGCTATTTGTGTGGGTGGTGTGCTACATGTGTTCTTTGTGTGCTATGTTTGGTGGTGTGCTATTAGTGTGGGTGGTGTGCTATATGTGTGGGTGGTGTGCTACATGTGTTCTTTGTGTGCTATGTTTGGTGGTGTGCTATTAGTGTGGGTGGTGTGCTACATGTGTTGTTTGTGTGCTATGTTTGGTGGTGTGCTATTTGTGTGGGTGGTGTGCTATATGTGGTTGGTGTGCTACATGTGTTGTTTGTGTGCTGTTTGATGGTGTGTTATTTGTGTGGGTGGTGTGCTATATGTGGTTGGTGTGCTTCATAAGTGTGGGTGGTGGTGGTGTGATATATGTGTGGGGCGGTGTGCTCTATCTACAGATGAGACTATGTTCAGCATATGTTTGATTGGTATGTTTATGTTGGTAACTACTGCCACACTCTTTACCCTTGCCCGTATTGACTTACCTGAGCTCTGATGGTACAAGAAAACCCCCACATGGCCTTATCCGGGGTGTTGTGTTCCCGACCACTGCGCATCTCAAATGTCAGCGTCACTGTGTCACCTTCCACCTGAACAACAGAAGTAACATCCCAATCTTCGCAAGTGGTCAGATATATTACAGCAACTGTGTCAACAGAGGCAACAGTAAAGCAGAGAAGAGAGTGAATGTCTGGGAGTGCATATGAATAAATGAGAACAGAGAGAGAGTAGAGAGAGAACAAGAGAGAACAGAAAGAGGAAAACTGAAAGTTCATATGGTTTGTGTGTGCATATATTTTGTGTGTACATATATTTCACTGTCTTTTGCTGTCAGTCTTATATTTACCTGACCCCTACCCATGGCTTTTTTCTTGGAGTGCACAATGGTAATCAGTACCAGCACCTTTTTTATTTTTAGTATTTCTGTTTCCCCTTGATCTACTGTTAACAGACACTTTATGATGACTGCCAGCATCTTTTTTATTTGTTAAAACACTTTGTGTTGAGCACATTCATTTATTCATTGTTCTATTGTGCTACGATATGTCCTAAAAAGTATGTAGCCCATGTCTCCATTTCTTTCCCCATTTGCCTTAATGTTTCTCTAGGACGTCCTTGTTTCCTCAATCCATCAATTTTATTTGTCAATGCCTCAAGTGAGTACCCGGCCCATTTTCTTCTGGGGGGGAGGGGTAGGAGGGGAGCCTTGCTCCAACATTATAAGAATATGACAATGGGGAATGGAGAATAATGGTGATGAAATGAGCAAGCCAGAGAGACTCAGCCGGAGAAAGTTGGATATCATATCTTTCTTCTTTCTTTTGTCGTCTCATTGTTACCAGGTTGTAGTCTAGTGTCGTGGTTTTCTGTATTTGTCTTGCGCTTCTCGAATGGCTTGAGTGATCGATTTGTTCATCTTTTTTTTTCAGGTTTCAGCTGTACCATTTATTCATCTCTTTCTTGGTCTTCCTCTCGCCTTCTCATATGCAATCTGATCTGGCTGCATTCTCACTAGATGGCCACACCATTTAATTCTTTATCAATATAATCCAGACATGGTCTTATTCCAACTTTCTCTCTAATGCTGGTATGTGTACGTACCCTGTCTCATGTTTGTCACCTTGCGGAGACAGCGAATTTCACATGTAGTCATTTTCTGTTCTAGTGCCCTATTCATTGTCAATATTTGGCACTGATAACATATAGTAGGGATAAAGAACTATTATTCAACTGCTGTTTTGCTGGAAGGGAAACATTTGGGTGTCTAAACAGTGGGGCTAACTGGTAGATGACAGCATTTGTCTTCTGTACTCTGACTTCTATATCTCTATCTAGTCTGCCATACTGTGTAAATATGCTTCCTAGATATTTGAATTCTCACACTTGTATAATTGTAGTACTGTTAGAATAAATGTTGATGATTTTATGTTTCCTGCCTATCCTCATTACCTCAGTGTTTGCAGTGTTTACTTCACATCAACTCTGAGAATCCTATCTGGACGAGTTAACTAAAGATATCTCATTTCCATGATTGCAATCAAGTGTTGTCAGAGTTTCCTCTAACAAGCCTGTATGGGTTCCAAGAACTCACTGGGGGCGGTGGTGGGAGGGGAGGGAGAGGTGGGACAGACCGCTGCTCCCTAGCAAGCAAGCCGTAAAAGGCAACTTATTAGGAGTTTACTAAAATCTGACGTATGGCGACAACAGGTGCAGATATTGTAGCCTAGCCTTTTTTCTTAATGGTGCCAAAAACCCATTTTAGAGGACGACGACAATGTCGATGACAAAGAAGACAAAACAGAAGAAAAAGAAGAAGAAGAAGAAGAAGAAGAAGAAGAAGAAGAAGAAAAAGAAGAAGAAGAAGAAGAAGAAGAAGAAGAAGAAGAAGAAGAAGAAGAAGAAGAAGAAGAAGAAGAAGAAGAAGAAGAAGAAGAAGAAGAAGAAGAAGAAGAAGAAGAAGAACAAGAAGAACAAGAGAAGGGGTAGGAGGAGATGATGACGAAGATAAGGAGAAGGAGAAGTTTCTCTAAACTCTACCTTGACCAGATCCTTGGGCCAGCCACTGCCAAGGACACTTCTGCTGCCGTAACCAAAAGAATTACCCCCATACT